ACGAACAAACAAACAAACAAACAAACAAAGAAGCAAGGAAACACACAAACAAAGAAACAAGGAAGGAAGAAAGAAAGCAAGCAAGAAAGAAAGAAAGAAAGAAACAAACAAGCAAGGAAGCAAGCAAACAAGCGAACAAACGAGCAAACAAACAACCAAGCAAATTAGCAATCCAGCAAACAAGCAAGCAGGCATGCAAGCATGCTTTCAAACCCACAGCCAAACCCGAATCCATGCAAGCTGCTCTTCATCCAGGGTGTCAAATCCTCTGTGTGGATGTCTGGCGCCTTGGATGACAGACTTTCTTCTGCACTGCCTGGATGCGCGCAGACAAAACCAAAAAGAGACAGGCCAACAGCAAGAAGGTTCGCTAAACTGACAGCGCTGCACATGTTTAGACATATGCCGAGATTTTCCTTGCGACAGAACTTGTACATGGTGGATGGCGGATCGCTGGTTCTACAAGATCTCGTCGATTGAAATACGTAGCATAGAGTTGATGCAAACGCAGGCTATTCTTGGATCCTTTGCTCAAACATGTAAAGTAGCCTCCTGCGTCACAAAGGGAAACTGATGTCAACACGCAAAATCAGGGCTCTCGACTGGCTTCCCAGCCAAACAACCAAGTTGTGCCGATGATCAAGAAACACCTGCGTGACGCTCAAACAGACACGTGCTGTCAAAAATTGGCTGCTTGATCCCTTTCACACCTGCGAAGCCGAGGAAAGGTTCACTTCCTGAGTGGATTGGCCAGAAAAAGACAGAGCTTTTGGTGTACCACTCCCAAAAACTTGGTTGACGTTGGGTTTGGGGAGCCAAAATTCTCAAATGTTAGCAGTTAAGTGGTTGGATTGTTTAAATCACTAAACCACGATAAGCAAAATGTAAAAACGTAAAACCCAACACCAACCATGAAAAAGTGACCAAAGCCCCTGAGATATGAAGGCGTCCCAGGCCAAAGGGCGCAATGGTAGACGACCTCTCTGGTGACCTGAAGGTGATGCCATGGGAAGTCCGCATGTTCTCTACAACTTTTCGTATGGGCTTGCAAAAAAACTTTGTGTTTTGCACCCCCGCCGCAGTAAAAATGAACAGAACCCAAACAAAAATAACACATGCCAAGAACCGTGAACATGTTGAATGAAAACGAACCACTGGAAGAGTCTTCATGACTTCCTCTTCAGGAAGCACTCCAGTCTATGAGCCTCTGATTTTGCGTTGGTCTTCTAAAAACGTGTCGCAGAGTTGCAAAAAACAAAAACGCCTCATGCGTTTCGTTCCCTCAAAAGGGCATCACGCCAGATCCTTTTTGACTATCTCCAGTGGCCGGAGCGAGTTGAAATCCAATTCCTGAAGGGCCTGAGTTCACCAAGGGTATGGTGTGCGCGGAGCCAACACTGCCGGATTTTCAACCAATGATTCTGTCAACATCTCTCCAGAAATGGGCGGCTCATGATTTGCGCAGCTGGGATTGGGATTGATTTGCCCTAATGCTGGATGTGCAAGATAACGCATGACGAGATAAGACATAAACGTGTGTCAAACTGAAGACTTCCCCAAAGCTGAGCAAGTGGCGAGGAAAGATTTGTGCGTGGAGCATGTTCATTCTATGAACCAGCATTTCATCAGCTATTCCGTGAGCGGGTTGCGACGAAAAGGCCCGACAAACCGCCGCTCGCAGTTTGAACTGATGCGTGCAGCTGTTTGGGGAATTGCCAGTTGCCGGTATAGAGGTTGCCTCGGAACTGCAATTTTACTCCATTCAGCTGCAAAATGCTGCAAATTGCCATGGAGCCCAAAACGGTTGGGTCCCAAATCACATTCCTCCAAGAAGGATAATTAAGCTTTTCGGGCTTCACGTTTTTCTGCAGCAGTGTGCTGCACGCAGTACTTTTTTTCCAAAATGACTTGCTCAAGCAGATTGGTGGCCCAACCTCTGAAAGCTAAGCCTGGTGCAATATGGGCGGTCCACCCTTGAGGTTGGCTGAGGATGCGAAGGCGATACTGAAACATGAGGCTAGTTCCTTCAAAGTATACTTCATCTTGATTTTGGATAGTGGGATTGATGGCAGCGCGCTTTCCAAGCAAGTGATCAAGACTGCCAAAAGGCCGCCGACTCCAGCCGACCATGTGTCATGCGCAATTCCCTGTGAACTCCTTAGCAAGTTACGAGATGCTGACGACTTTTCTGCCAAGCGCAAGTGGGGGTCCTTTTCTAGACGGGGCCGAAGCGGAGCCCCTCCCCCCCCTGAAACCCTCCGAGATCCAGGGTTGGATGGCTATGGGCTGGGTTGTGCTAAGCAAAGAGGACACAACTTCTCTACTCTTGACATCTTCAAGACCCTTCGGCGATCGGACCGTCGGAAGCTCGGCTTCGTCAGTGCTGGCACATCCCCCAGACATGGCTGAGCTGCATTTGAAGAGTTGGACGAGTTGGTCACGGTCGCAGCTGCCTGAACAAGAAAGCGGCGGTCCACACCCTGGACCTGCCCCACATATCACCAAGCGCCTGGAACAAATCGCGGTGAAAGAACGCTTTGCACAAGGCCTTAGGGCTCCCTCGTAGGAGAATCTAAAAAGAGACTCAAATCAAAATGGCCCCTGTTAAAGCACCCTTTGGCCGAACCACAAAGAACTCAGACTCTGAGCCTCCGGTGGCTAAAGGAAAACAACAGAAGGCACATCTCAAGGTCCATTCAGTCGGTGTTTGACAACGAAGGGGGCCCCACAAAAGTAAGTGCTTCAATGCATTCTTCGGCCTAGGGGACCGGCCTAAGCGCCGCCTTCCATTGCTTGAGGTGATTGCCAAATCGACCCTGACTCGGGGGCCATGCGCGCCTTGCGCGCGTTCAGAAGGCGCCGGCGGTCCATGTTACCCATGTTCTTTCGGGTCCGCCATGACTTGTAGCCAACATAGGCCAAAGGAAAATTTATGGTAGGGAGAAAACGTTCCTTGGAACTGCCGTGCGGGAATTGATCATAAGGTACCACTTGCCACGCCTGGGCAGGGGCCCTTGGAAGCACGAGGCATGACTGAACCGTCAGACATTTGTCATCCCTGAGAAAGCGGCATGAGTAACGACAAGCATCACATCAAGCCAACGAAGCCGTAAAGAAACCCGCCCCTTCCTCAAACAAACTTCGACCAGACTTAGGCCCCATGCAAAAAGCTTCACTTGTTTGCTAGTTGACAAGTACAAAGATGGAAAAACAACAAGTTGAGCCTGGCAATGTTAAACAGGCAATCCAACTAGTTCCGCCAGTACACTGGTTAGAATAAGGGTACGAACTTTTTCTGTAGTCTATTTTAGTGCGGGAACTCTCCCCCAAAAAACGGGTCAAAGGGCACTGCTGGGGGACCAACACGCAGAAGCAGAAAACCAGAGGAGATCTGCCACTCCCCCCCTGGAGTCCTGAAGCTGTCGTGGATCGCTGGGCCTAGGCGCCACGCGGACGCTGCATGGCTGCATGCGAGAGAACTTTATCGGGACCCATTTGGCTATGGGTCAAAGCCCCGTACCCCCAGTGAACATCCCAACCCCCACTAAAATAGACTACAATGGGTGGTGCACCTATCCCAAAATGGTACCATTGGTTTTGAACCATGGCAATTTGGATGACTGTTGTCTGGTGGTGGGAAAACTATAGCGCTTTCCGTTGGCCATCTGGAAATGGCTTTGAACAATTTCATGAACATCCTCCCCATGGTCCAGGGGGACAACGAATCTCATGTTGTCCACAAGTTGCCCAAGTCAGGCTAGATAAATTTCCTGCGGCCCACTTTGAGAGCACACCTTGACACCGCCAAGTTGGCCTTGTCAGAAAGAAGTGAACAAGCCCACGCTGGCGGCGGCACGACCGAGCGGGGACCATGTTGTTTGGTAAGCCACGCGCAATGGGCAAACAACAAACGAATCAATACACAATCCCACCATCACAAATTCAAATCAAGCGGGTTTAGAAGGAGGCGCGGAGGGAGCCTTTGCTTGAAGTAACCTATCCTTGCACCCGTATCCAAGCCATAACATGGGAGGGCTCACCTCATTGGGCTGGCAACTTCTCAAACCACAGGGTCATCTAGCCAGACGGCCAGGCTGTGTCCGCACCTTTCATCCCATCTGACATGCCCAAATTCAAAAGGAAGCACATAGTGCCATTGTCGGGCCGCTTTGACAGGGCTGCGCGGGGCATGCAAACTATGGCCAGCCTCTAAAACAAGAAAACACAACAACCACCAAAACGGCCTGATAGCCGCCGAGTTTCGTGTGATTCGTGGTGCCGTTGCCTGCGGCCAACGTGGCAGAACGGTTGCTCTGCTGCCGACACAAACGCGAAGCCAGTTAGCATCCAAATGTTGCTGTGTCGAAAATCAAGTTCAGCTTCCCCCGAAGTCTCTTGATGTTTTTCGGGCAACCTGAATCCACAGCCAGCAATCTTGGTTGCTGCAACGGCCCCTCTGAAAAAAGTATATCCGCCGACATTGCTCGGCGTGTCGGACGCCTAAGAGAGGATAGAGGATAACCCCCCAACCCCCGCCCGCCCGACGTCTGATACGTAAGGGTACAGGGGTGGGGGGGTCACGTTCCACTAAACGTAGTCTTCGGGGAGCCGGTGTCGCCGCCAAACAGGGGTCCCAGGCTCGAATCCCCATGCCGGCTCTTTCTCCTTTTGCCTAAAATGTGGAAAAACTCTGTGTTTTTGGACGTTCTCTTTGCGAAAACGCTGGAAAAAACCGTGTTTTTTTGCGGGACATGCTGGGGAGCACAGGGGAAATGCAAGGACGTGCAAGGAAATGAGGGGAGGAAATAGGAAGCCAACATGACAGGAAAGCAATGGGAAATGAAAGGGAAACAAAGGGGAACTGAAAGGGACATGAGAGGGACAGAAATGAAAACAAGGGGAGTGCAGGGGGAATGCAAGGGAAACAAAGGACAAGGGAACCAATCGGCACGACGGGAGATGTAGGGAACTGACTCGCAACGAAAGAACGGGACATGCATGGAAAATGAAGCGGACATACCGAAAAAATGACAGCAACATGAAGGGGGAGTTGAAAGGAATGGAAGGGACATGACCAGGACATCATGGGAAACGTGAAAAGGACATGAAGGGGAAATCAAGGGGAAAGCCAGTAGTGAGATGACAGTTCAGGGTCATGAAGGGGCAGCGCCCGGACTTCGAGGCAACTCAGGGGGGACGTGACGCTGCAATGCAGAGAGAGAGAGAGAGAGAGAGAGAGACAGGGAGAGAGCGGGAGAGAGAGAGAGACACAGAGAGCGAGAAAGAGAGAGAGACAGAGAGAGACAGAGACAGAGCAGAGTCAGAGAAAGAGACAGACAAAGAGAGAGAGAGAGAGAGAGAGACACAGAGCCAGAGTCAGAGAAAGAGACAGAGACAGACAAAGAGAGAGAGAGAGAGACACAGAGAGAGAGAGAGAGGCACAGAAAGACAGAGAGAGAGAGAGAGAGACTAGGTCCAGGGAAATAGAAAGAGACAGAGACACGAAGAGAAAGGGAGAGAGAGAGATAGAGAGCTGGAGAGAGACAGAGACAGGGAGATTGAGGAGAGAGAGGCTTGGGGGGATGGGGAGGATGGGGAACAGAGGGAGGGAGAGAGGACGACAGAACACGCGGGGGAGGAGACAAGGGAGAGAGGAAGAAGGAGAAGAGGGAGAGGACAATGTCGGCGGACTGAGCCGGAGGCTCTAAACATTGTTTTCTGGGTTGAATGGAAAACCCCCCGAAACAGTGTAAAGACCCAACGAAAAAGCAATCAAACAAAGAAGCATTAGCTAAACGCGAGGCCAAGCAAAGCCTCAAATTCCACTAGATACCTCTGTGCAAGTCAAGCTGTGCTGCATGCTTCACATCTCTTTGGACGTTTTGTCCAATTCTCAAACGGGGTCGTTCGTGAAAATCCATAATTCACCAGGTTCCAAAGTAGCGCCGTGGGTTTCGGACACACATGAAAAACATGTCACGCTAGCGTTCATTTCAACACGTTCATTTGAGCACATTGTTGTTTATCACCCTTGGATTTGAGGATTCCCTCCCTTGGCCCATGGCCGCACCAAGTCTACACTATACACCTGAAAATTGCCTTGTCAATGGTGGCGTCCCTTAATTTTGGTGGAAAAAGCCATGTTTCAAATGGGCAAAAGGTATCTTTAAGGAGCCCTATAAAAGGCAACATGCTAAACATTGGATGGGTACTTCACATCTCACTCCGCTCGTTGCCTGCGAAGTATCCCACCACCACTGGCGGCTCATAGTCCCCCAAAGACGCTGCCACCATCGCCTCGTAGTCTGGCGTCTGTTGCCTGACAGCCGGGGTCGCACGTGCACGTGGCATTGGGCCCTTTGCTGTTGGTGTCTCTTGTAAGTGTCGTCTTGCTTCCCGTGTCAAAACTGCAAACAAGAGCTTCTCATCTTGGCCATCCTGTACTCCCCGAAGCATCAATATCTCATGATAGCGCGTGTGCAAATCAAAGGTTAGACATTTGGACGTCAAGCAGAACTCATTGCCAAATAAAAGATACAACATGAAACATATTTAGCAGTGTGCGTCTGGGCTCAGAATTGGAGTGCAGGAATAGTGCCCGACAGTACCTTAAGCGGCTGAATCTTCACCAACTCAGTCAATACACGGCAAAGGACTGTTCCAGCAGGTCAAATGAACGAACCAACCACTTGGCTGGTTTCGATTTGTCATCACGGGTGAACCCTTGCCATCTGATTTCGGCTTTCGGCTTTCTTCTCCCAAGGGCAACAGATCACCTCCTCTGGGCTAAGCGATGTTTGGCACATACCAAAGAACGATTACCTCACGCATTGTCAGTTCTGTGCCAAGACCATCCAAGTTGCATAACATATTTTCCCCTGGAAGAGATCAAGGGGCAAGCAAAGATCTTGATTTGCCTGGTGAAACCTATCACGGTTGCCGTTTCAAGCATCGCTGCATCGTCAACAAGTACTCTCAAACAAGCAAGCTCATTCCTAGACCTCAGCATATATATATATATAAAGCAAAGAACAATCCAACGTTCAGCCGGTTCAAAGAACTCCTCAGCCATGGATCCAATAGCAAACCATACTCACGCAAGACTACTTGAATGGACCCACATTCTGACCTGATCTCCAAGAATATTTTGTGTATCGATCGCTGTTTTATGTTACTCACTCTGGATTCAGCGACAATCTGACTTCACGTCACTGAGAGAGGGGCCTGTGTTCTTCTTTGGCCATGTCAAGTCCATGGAGCTGAGACGAGCTGAGCATGTCTCTTGCCAAAAGAACCCAGAGGCACAATTCCGAGCCGTTCGGTGCCTAGCAACTTGGGCAGTCTTGTTTCTTAACCCATGACCCTAAACAACAGCCAGTGAGTCAACATGTCGACATTGGTCGGCTGGGGAATGTCCTTAAACAGGGCTCTTGTTATGGTGCAACCCAAACCCACGTGCTTTACAGGGGGATCCTCTAAATCAGCTGGTATTTGGGATATGTTTTGCCTGGCCCGAGCTGGTTCCCTTTAAGGGGAGGCAATTGGGGTTGGTTCACGTAACCTTCAATACCATGGTTTTAAGTTATTTGCTTCAGGAACCACAATTGGTGGACATGAATTCCACCATGACCACCATTTCGGGCGCCCTTTCTTAACATTCATACTCAAATCTGAACTAGGTCCTCCAGTAGAACGGTTAGAATAAGGGTAAGCAGAACGGTTAGAATATGGGTACCAACTGTTTTTTTCTTTTTCTGTAGCCTATTTTAGTAGGGGAACCCTCCCCCCAAAAAGGGGAGAGAAGGGCACTACTGGGGGACCTAGTCGCCTTTCAGGGACTCAAATCGGTTCGGTGCCTTAGCTGAATCTCCTCCAGCTGCTGCAGCGCACGAGCCAGAAGCTCAGGGCTCGCTGCATCCAGCGGCAAGTCCTACGACGCGAACACACAAACTCCCTAGAGTGAAACCCGGCCTTGGGAAGCTCGAGGAAACCAACAACCTATCTCTGACTTCGAGTCTGTACCAGATAGACACACATAGGGTCCAGGTTGAAAAGACTGAAAATGGCAGGAGCCTTCTCACACGCTGGCGTCCAGAGTTCAGTCGATTTCCCCTTCCATCAGACTCAGTCGGCTTGAGATCTGCAATGCGCTCGCAGAAACAACAGTTCAGCGGTTCTTCGGCAGACGTGGGGTGGGACAAGCCGCCCCCAAGCCGCCAGAATAAACGCTTGGGAAGTGGAACAAGCCCTCAAACAACTCCCGGGCAACCGCCCACAAGTCCGTGAGTATCCAAAGCCAGCGGCCCCATCATCTCTGCCGTACATCTCTACTCTTGGTATGGTAGCGAAAAACTTTGTTTTTTGCAGACCCCCAGTAAAAATGAACAGAATCAAAAACTAAAAAACCAAAAAGCATGCCAAGAACAGTGAAGCGTAGGAAGCACAGTTTCTGGCAGACTTGCAGAATATCATGCGGACCTACCATGATTCCAAAGATTAACTCCCCAAATCAGACTTACTTTCCAATATGTCTCAAAGGCTCCACCGGCTCTTCAGTGTGGTTCGCCAGAATCCACACCTGCCAGCGCATCTGATAAAGAAGATCTAGTGTATCATGGCAGCCCAAGAGCAACCAGTGGCGGAAAATCTTTGCCGTGCCAACTCAAGGTTTGATCGAAAAACAACTGTTTACAAAGTGCGAGCTGTCTGGCACCCAGAAGGGTGCCAACAAAAAATGGCTGAATGTGCCATACAGCGCGTCAGGGCACGACATGACTTTCATTTCCCTAGAAGTAGATCTTCAACACATCTACGTTTGCTGCGAATGAAAGGCGGACTACTTCTCACCCAGCGATTAGCAGTATATGGGTGAACGTTTGTGGATGGACGAGAGGTGGGCATTCACTGGCACACATGATCTTTTGCAAAGAAGGGATCTTTCTCCTTGTAACTTACTGCCCATTTGCCTTTGGGTAAGCTTCGTAAATCGGGAGTTGCATACCTGACACTTCTCTATACACATCATCCGTCAGCGTTGGCGAACCGGGCAGTTGAATGCAGCTGTCGCAACAATATGTGCCTAGATCCTCAAAGCACTCCCGATACCGTTGATTGGATCACTTCCCGAGTTGGCCCAAGAAAATGTCCAAACTTTTTGCTTACCGCCAAAATGGTCTTCCCAACACATGTTGAGGTCCAGTACGTCGATGGCAGTGAGTTGGAAGGGTCGCAGCGAACAAAAAGGATCCTCTTGATCAAAGGCGGCGTTGCGGATTGCAGCGCTAACTTTTCCACTGGCGAAGCCCGAGCAAACGGAAACTTGGCTTGAACCCACTGCAGGTTCAACTTTTTGTCGGTTTAGTGAACAACCCCTTGACTTTCCAAAAAGTTAAAGTCTAAAGTCCAACCCAATAGCAGTCAAGGAAAACGCCCGGTCACTCAAATACCAGCGGCCTGCATGCCCTTGGACGTGTTGCCTCAGATACGGGTTGCACTGGTTCCGAAATCACATGCCATCAGCAAAAGGCTCCAAGCAAGCGCGAAAGCAAACAAATGCAGAGAGGGAAATAAACAACAATGAACGATACGGACTTGGACATGGCCAAGCCACAAGAAAGACTACGGTATAAAGAAATGATGATCAAGAAGAACAAAAACAACCACCTTCCTTCAACAGGTCAATGTAATCTTGCTAGAGCTGCAATTGCCCTGGCAATTGTCAAATGACCCTGAAAGAAGCACAAACCCATACACAGCCCTACATACATGTTGGGGGCTTGCCGTGCAAAGCTGTCTTCAAAGCCAGTGCCAGCTTTGCGAATGGATCGAAGCGTGTGGTATTGCCGATCGGTCGGACGTTGCATACCTTTGGAGCAAGCACTTGTTTGTCCTATGCCTCTCTCCCATCGAAAAGCCGAGTATCCCAAGTTCCCATACAGCTTAGCTGGTGCGGGCTTGACATCAAAAGGCGGTGCACGAGTTGAGATGTAGACTTCCAACATACAAAGCATCTAAACAGTGACCCTCTGGGATGCGGACAGCCGCCCCTCTTGACTTTCAGCAAAGCAGCTGTAGTTCTCGGGAAGCGCGACATAGTGATTCTCCTGCGGAGCGTGAGTCTTGCACGAGAACATCTGTTCACAACAGATCAAGGACGCCAATCACAAGCTTAGCCATCTGCAGGTTGGGTCGAGGAAAGGGACTGCAACAAGTTGGTTACAAATGTTATTCAAACAATGGCAGGACTACTGTTTGAAAGCGAGGCGGGTGAAAGTCCACTCTGCTCATGTTGCTTACCGCTTCGCTCAGGCGCAACCAGTTCCGGCCCGGTAATCTCAGCCTTAAGCCCATGAACAGTAAAAGTTGCTTTCCCAAACCCCACAAATACCAATGATTGAGAAGGCCAACTCTCAGGAAACTAAACCAGAGATTCCTAGAGGCGGGGGAGCACTATTTGGAATGAATCTCGGCTACTTGAACCTGATTTCTTGTCGTTCCAAACCTTAATTGCGGAAAAAGAGAAGAACTGCTATACATTGCAAACTCACACCCACAAATCCTGGGGGGGGGCTTCTCATGACACCTTTCTTTTCCACGGACTTGCCAACCAGATGTGCTTTTATTACTTTGGGGATGGGATTGCGATGCCTAAAAGTCATATCAAGTTCTTTGTGCACGTCGGTGACCAAGTCAGTGCCTCATACTTTCAGTGTGTGTTCATAGCTGCAGATGGATTCTGACCAAAGCCATCGGCTCAAGCAAGAGCTCGCTTCACAAAAAAAGGCGCATCCTCAAGGATCCCTTTTGACATTCCCCTGCGACCGATGGAACCCAAATGGGGGTCGCTGCCTCTACTCACTTGCCCCTTAGGGACCTGGAAGTAAAAAGGTGATTATATGGCTGTGGCTCAAAAAACCGGTGCCAAAATGGGTTGCCCTGGTAAGTGGAAACATGGACCAAAACCTGCGTAACCCCTGCTGTTTAATTTTGAGCCACAGCCATATGTTGGAACCCAACAGAAGGTCAATTCGCTCGATTCGCCACCGGGGTCGAATGCTTGCGGGGCGTGCCTTTCGAGACCGTTTGGCTGCCATTTGCTTTTTCGCCCCCTGGAAAAAACAAAAAGAAACATATTTCTGGCAGTGATAGGACCCCTTTCAAGCCAGCCCAAATATCTCCTGGGAAAATAAAACCCACAAAAAAACATATGTCTGATGGGTTCCCTTTCAAGCCAACCTCAAGCCAACAACAACTCTTCGGCAGCAAGTTGCGCGCCCGGTCCAGCTCGTCGAGGCGCCGGGCGGCCAAGTTTTCGAAGAAGGAGAGAGGCACCTGGACCGAGCGAGTCACTGGGCATCTAGGTAGGTGGGCAAACAGGCGGGGGAAGGGGAGGGGGAAGGGAGTGACTGGTTATGAATCTGCATTTTTCGTTAAACAATCCAAGCCTGGAAAAGAAACAAACATATGGAAGTGACTGGTCATGAATCTGAATCTGTTGTACAAAGCAAATCCAAGACCTGAACAAAATAAAAATGGATGGATCTTGCTGCTGCGCGCGTTTTTTTCCCCCAGAGGAAACCAGAAAAGAGGCAAACTAATGCCACCGCCTGTGGGCCAGGGAGGGGAGGAGGGAGCAACTGGCCCCAAGGTGGGCAGCAACTTAAAGCCTCGGGTGGCCAAGTATTTTAGGGGAAATAGATGGCCCTGGTAGATGATTCAACCACCAGGTAAACTAGGGCCATCTGAGCGACTCTATAAACCTCCCATGAATCCCTATGTCGTATCAAGTTGCTTACGCGCAAGCTTGCGCTTTCCTTACGCGACCCATGTTTTAGCTTCCGCGGCAGTCAAACAGCATGTAAAGCTTACGCATCGCTTACGCGTCGGCGCTTTGAGCGTTTCCCCTCAAGAATTGCTTACGCGGGCTTCTTTTCCCGTGCAGCCGCCAGAGCTGTTGAAGATGATGTGGATGACTGTGTGGAAGAGATGACGAAGAATTACGCTCGCGAGCTTCAGCAGCTTGGCGTTGTTGTTTTTGCTGCAAATCAAGAAACAGGTTTTTGCGGTAGCGGCATCCATCACAAGGGCTAGCGGGCAGCTGAGCTAGGCGAGCTTACGCGAACCTTACGCGCCTGCTTACGCGAGCTTACGCGCCCGCGCCCCTGTAGTTTTCCTCAATCAGCGGCCACTGAAGCCTTTGTTTGTCCTAGTGGAGGTTGCGACAGCACCTAGCATGAGCCCCAAGAGCTCCCAATCAAAGTTCTGCTGGCTTTTTTTCCCTAATGGTGCGCACATGCGGTCTTAGATGTCTTCCTGCAGCCAAAGTCCTCCGGGCAAGTTGCCAAGCTCGACTAGGTTGCAGCACAAGCCACCAAAAAACGCATAAGCACATGTGGGACAACTCTTCCGAGCATGCTTACAAAGCTTACCAAGCAATCACGAAGAAGAGCTTACGCAGGTGCTTACGCAACATGTTTCCCCAAAAAGTGCTTACGCCCGCTTACGCCGTGCAGGCTTTTGCTTACGCGGGGCGTTGTTATGACACAACTCTTGCTTGGCATGTAACGGGGGGGTTTTTAGAGCTGCTCATCTATGCTACCAAAACACCCAAAAAGGACACCTATGGGCACGATGAACATCAACATATATCAACTGCTTGAGTTGTTTCGCTAGAAGTGACTAACTTTTAGTGGCTTGAATGGACATCCCCACTAAACACTAAAAAGCTAAAAAGCTAAGGGGATGGCTAGGAGCGACCAAGGTTTGTTGAACAAACATAAACAACTCTTTGACTGCCGGGATGCGGAGGGAATGTGGAAATGGTTTACCACTGCCTTGTTACCACATTGATTCAGGAGGCCAGACCATGACCCACACACAGAGTTTTGACCAGGGCATCGGGTTGGTCGTGGGAGGGTCCAGTGATGAGCATCCTGCCAGTGATACCTGACCACAACAATTCGAGCACCTGTCCTCCCTCCTGCTGTGAAGCTGCAAGCGCATGAGATTTCCGAGATACTGCTGACGGGCAAACTCCAGCACCGCATTCGCTGTGGTTTACAAAACCCTCGTGCTGCACATATAACAGCTGAGTCATAATCAAAACCCGGTACTAAAATGCTCGACCCAGAACCACGCTTCAAGAATTGTCCGAAGGCGGAATTCCGCCGCTATTTATGGCAAGGGGATTGTCCCTTACTAGCCTTCATCAATCCCCGAATCGGTTTTGAGCACGTGGCTCAGCTCAATTTTCAGGGCCCGTTGCAAACGTGTTGCAATCACCAAAATCCTCCGCCAGCTGTTGCGAATGTCAATGTAACAAAGGGAGAAAGGGGTGCGCGTTGAGGCAAATGGGCTGGTTGGGAGAGTATGGCCTTGCTTGGGGCCAGGACGCAAAGAAATCCCAACTCATGACAATAAGTATCAACAGTGTGCACCTCATGGTGTAGATACACAAGCGTATATACATGTATGTGACCGTATGTGCATGAATGTAGAGGTTTCAAAAAACAAATCAGGTAATCAGAACAAATCTCAGCTGATATCAATATTGCAGGCCTACAAATGCTTACTTTCCTCTTGCCCTTCCTTCCAAACCAAACTGAAGTGCCTCTCGTCGGACATATTCCTCGCTTTCCACCCTGGGACCTGTCAGCTGTCGAGGGGATGCATGGCTTCACACCGGCTCAGCCATCGGAACTTTGAGGTGCTTTCACTCACGTCCCGAGTGGGGCGGCCACAAAAAGTAACCAAACCGGGTAAATACTTAGTACTAAAATGGGTCATACCAAGAAGAAGAAAGTCGTCCAGCGCCTCTTGTGTGTGCGGGTTACTCTGGGACAATCCGAAAAAGTGCAGGAACTCAGGAGGTAAGTTCAGCACCCAACTGCCAGGCTGCTGGCAACTCCCTGCAGCCAAAAGACGATCTTGCCACAGGGGCGGCCTCAGGTTGGACTGTCGGGCTAAAAAATCGGCCCGACCAAAGTCTTGCAGGTGTAATTATTGCGCCCATCTGGTCTCAGTGAATGCTATGTGTACAGTTGGCTGCGGGTTGTACATCAAAAGCAATCCCTTTGAAGGACACGATTGGTGGGACGACCCAGCCTGATACTATTGGATTCTTTGGCTAGCTTGGCTGGAATTAGGACCCCCAGCAAAACAATATATTATCTTTTTTGCCTGGTTTTCGTGGAAAACAAAAGGGGCCACAAGAAAGCAAGAAAAAACTGGAAAAAGGACAAAATAGCGAAAAAAAATGAAGAAAAAGGGGAACTCATTCTGGGGAAGTTCCCTGGATGGAAGATCAGAAGGGCGGCCACTTCGAACAGGGGCCCATGGAGCCGGCCGAGCGGCATCGGGCCAGGTCGAAGACGCCGGGCGGCTGCTCGTCGGAGCAGATGCGGCACATGGAGCCGCGAGTCCTTTGGCCGAATCCATCGACTGGTTCCAGACTCAAAGGTGGTCAATTAGAGCAGGTTCAACTGCTAGACGCTTGAGGTCCTAAAGCCAAATTTCTGATTTTTTGTTGGTAGATTTATGCGCGCGTGAGCCTTTATTCGCTACACAGCATAGGCCTTGCCATCGCAACCTCGTGCATAGGAAGGGATGGCGCAAGGAATGGCTATGGACGAACTCTAATGCCTGGCCGACGGTCTGACAAATCAATGGCCAAAACACATTAAACGGGTTGCGCCTGCAAAGCATGGCTGTTGATTTGTGACCCACGGGAACGAGCAATCAGTCGGATTGACTGCCATCCCTTTGCCAGGCGACATGTCGGGCAAGGTCACAATCTCCACCAAGGACTGCACGTTATGCAGGACAATGAGCAGCTGGTTGTCAATGCGAACATCTTGAGCTGCAGTTCCCTGCAACCCAATTTCAAAGCACATGCGTGACCAATCCCGATCTCAGCCCCAAATCAACGCCAAAGGACTCGTTGCGTCCTTGGCCAACCAAAGACTCTCGGGACCCTGCTTCAAGTCAAGCCTTGGAATGCGCATGCCTCGGGGCAGAAGTGGTTGCTGGGGCAGCGGAAGGCTTTGCGGCCGCTCCCGCCGGACTCGCCCGTCTCCCTCTTGCAGTAGTAGCCTGCGGCGGACGCTAAGGGTATGCCAGCCGCCTCAAAGAAGCCGAAGATCAAGTACATGAGAGGCAAGGACCTATCAAAGGCCTCATGTGGGGTAAAAAAAAGTGGGGGTGAAGCAAATGAGATGCAGCTTTAAGCCTAAGCTGCGTGCCACTCTAGCTTCACCAGGTCATCTTCAATGTTGATACAGTTTGTTGTGTGTTTGCCCGGTTGATTGCGAGGAGTACAAGGTGACCGTGGCTCGCCAATTGATCTGCTGCCGTGATAGCAGGCAGAGTGACACCACGACCAGGGGCGACCTGTATTATAGGTGCTCTGTGTCATTGAAATCCCCACCCAGTCAGCCCTAACAATAAAGGGTCCCCGGATACTAAAATTACCAAAAAGTAAATTCCGCCATCCCAAATACACGTTAGAACTGCCAATTCTAAAGCAATACTAAACTCACGATTTCTCCCACCGTCCTCTCCTCCAGTCGAACAGGAGTGCCTGTTATTGTGTTAGGGATCGAGGAGCGCCTTCTATTACTGGAGGAAGCTGATTTTTGTTGAACACAATCCTCAGGCAAATGGAATGATAATTCTGCCTTGGCCAGGCCACACGCAGAACACGATGGCAAATATGATTAGTCTTCCACGTGCCATCGGCAGCCAAAAAGCTGCATGTACCAATAACCTAATCGCACAGGCAATGATTTGATACGAGTACCAAGTCCGCCGTGGCCTGGTACGGGGCATCATGACACACAGCGTGGCCTGCGGTGTTTCTGTGTTTCCCAGATTTCGGATTGGTTCAGAAATCGGCTCTGGTGCTTGACCCTGTTCAAACATGAAACGACATTCACTAGTCAACCTCGCTCGGATTTGCATCGAGCAACCCAAAAGCACTTTCTTAACTCTCAACGTGGTTGCCAAAACTATGCCCTCAGCCAGCGGAGGTTGCAAGGTTGCCTAAATCAAACATGGCCCGTTCACTGGATCCAAGCTGTTTCTCAGAGCAAGGCCGGCCCATTAGGTCGGAACAACTGAATGCCTTGGGGTGCGTCTGTAGGAATATGACGACTCATGAAGCAAATGTTGCTACAAAAGGAACAAAAATGTACATTCCCTGAGGGTTAAAAACAAAGGTCATTTCACACGGGTCAACAAGTGGTGGTTTCCCTTTTTACCAGCTCCACCAGAAAGTTGCTGCGAACATAACAGCTTCCCGACTTCTTGCCGCGCTCGATCGCGAACCCGCGAGAGTGCCGTGCCTGCGGGGCAGACCAGGTTCCGAGTCTCCGAAGGGATGGTCCGCACCTTGCACCAAAAGCCAGCCTCGCAGTAGTAGTCGTACCTCAGCGAGAGGGCCAGCAGACAGCTTCTACTGGTGTGGATGGACCCACACCCCGACCTACAAAACGATGAGCCCTCTGACGCCGTCCCTGAACATTACAAGCCATATTGAAAAATCAGCCTGGAAGAACTGAAACACCTTGGCGGCAAAAAATGTTGGGCCCTGGAACATCCACAGAATTCATGGGCAATGTATCCCCCCACCAGAAGGGGGAGGGGATGGGGGGTCCCCAATTCCATTTATCTAGCCTTACATAAAACAGGGAAAATGGAACCAGACATGGAAATCCACGAATGGCCCCCCTCTCCCAATCCTATGTTTAAAGGACCCGGTGGGGATGGAAATGTTTATCCTTAAACAACCATGTAGCCAACCATTCCTCTCTGAAAGGTTGTACCCATGGGAGAGGTCATGCACTACGCCTAACATCTGAAAAGTTGCAGCTACATGACTACAACCAATTTGAGGTCCCCATAACATTCGGTAAAAATTGCAATTCTTATCAGCCTGCGACAACTATATGAAGCGAACCAAACTGCTTAGACCACGCAAGCCTATTGAGTCATAGGCGCTGCGTGAAGGACGTGGTGGCTGGTCCGCAGCCGTAGCCCTGCGGACAATCCCAGCCTTGGGAGTTCTCGTAGCCTCGGGGACGTGGCGATGGCGACAAGATCCGCTGGAACATTTTGGCCCCGACCACCCAGAGACTTAATTTTGACCCCGGATTAGTGAACCCCAGTTAATTAATATGGGTGTGTTCCCCTCGGAAAGTGATAAATCCCCACTGAAACCAGGGACACCCCCATATTAATAAACTGGGGTTCGTTAATCCGGGGTTAACATTATGGACCAAGGGCAACAAAAAGTGTCAAATGGAATTGGGCTTATGCGCGACAAAGGAAGGATGCGTCAGGTACTGTACCCCCAAGGTTGCAAATTGGACTCTCTACCCAAGCTACCCGAAGTGTCTTTGATCATTGCACGCCACCAGGAGGGACGCATGTGTTTCAAGGGCCTCAATCCACCATCGGGCAAAGAGACAACTGAAACTGCCGTTCGTCGAATTCGTCTTCCCGACGGTTGCAGCACCCACAGAAGCAAAGGCCATGTTGGGTTCCGCCGTGGGGTACACTGGAAGTATATATGGAAAGTGCTAACTGAGAAACATGTTCCAGATTCAGACAGCTTTCACGCAGACGCCAAAACAGCCTACGGGACATCAGCAAATGGATTCGGCGACTGGCAGCAGGCCAACTTCTGCAATCCAAGCACCACATCAGCTCAGGCGGCCATGGCAAATTGCAGCCACCAGGCTCAATCGCATTGTTCTTGCGGCATGCACTCGGTGGAATGCCGTGCTGCCATCCTGGAAGTTGTTTTAGTAGGGCCAATCGAAACCACCAGGCGCAGATTGGCATTGAAGATGCAATTCCTATCGTGTCAATCCACAAGCCGGAACCCCAATGGAGTCGTCGGAACATATGCCCAGTTCCTGCAAATAGGGAGTACTACTTACTCATCCCCTTTCTGGTGCCCCTTCGGGTAATGAATGATGTTGACCCCATAATCATCAATAGGGGCATGTTTCCTTCCAAAAGTGATGGTCCCCCACTAAAGCCAGGGACGCCCCCGAAGGCCCCCTATGAATGCACTGATTCCTTTTAAACACATATATATATATATATGTAAGTAAATGTGGTCCATTTGCGTTTTCCCCTGTTGGGTGTGGGTCAAAATTGATCCATCAGGCGACCGCCTGTTTTAGTCACGGGTTCCATTTACCAAGGTTCCATTTTGGTACCGGTTTTTGACCCACAGCCTGTTGGTTTCAAAGTGGAGCCTCGGGTCTTCCGCACAGCTTGTTTTTCAAATATGAAAACAGGTGCTTATGCACCACCGCCTCTGTCAATTTCTATATATATATATAGAGATCTTTGTTTCCCCCCGTTGGTTTCAAAGGGAAGCCTCGGGTTTTCCGCAAAGCGCCGCGCGTCGCCAGGCAGCAGATGTCCGTTGGGAGGGCGTCCGCTGCGCAGGGCTGGTCCACCGTGGCGAAGCGCACCGTGCCCTCCATGGGGCAAACATACCTCGGTGTTGCGTTCTGCTCCCCTGCGGTGTTTTTTTTCAACACCGTTTTGGGATCCCATTTTGGTGTCTTCACCGCCCATAGGCGGGATTTTAGTGGTTGGATCTTCACGGTTCCAAGCTCTCGCTTGGCGGGTCAAATGGATGTTCCACCCCAAAATGGGATCGCCATAGCCTATGCAACCCATGGCCACTTCCGAACGAGCGGCTTGCCCAGAAAAAGTAACCAAACCGTTTATATTTGGCGCTAAGCTGGCCATACCGAAAAGTGCCAAGTCCAGGAACTCAGGAAGTGAAAGTTGCCCAAAGGTTGGGTCTTGGGATCTGGGCAGCCTGGACCCAAGACGTCGACAGAATGAGCGGCAGCCTCCCCCCCCCAAAAAGAAAATGGCGGGGCAATCCACCTGAAAATGGATTGGTCGTGAGACTGCCACCTTTCAATTGGGTCCAAAACCTGGTATACTGAGCCGATTCGGGCGATGCAGAGACCTGCTTGACGTAGCCTCAGGCTCCGGAAGGCAATGGTTCAACCTCTCACAAGAGTTGCACTTGTGCTCGAGCAACGGCGCTCTCAAAAGTAGACTAACTGGAGCGGAGCGGCAGCATGGATCTTCCTGTAGTTTGTCCCTAGTGCAATCCGTTTTGTCTCAAGGGAGAGGACCAAAAAGGGCCCGGACAGGACCGCTTTTCACAAGGCCTAAGGGCAGTCCAGTCCAAGTCAAGGTTCGTTCATGATTGTTTGACAGGTAGCCCAAGGAATCGATCGCAGGCAGGCTAACTACCTATCATCAAATCCCATTTCCTAGGCCTGGCTTGAGCGGATCTCTGAACCAACATGGGAGTGGTCTTCCGGCCGTTTGAACATTTGAACCTGTCAGCTTCCGTAGCCAAACCCCGAGAAAAACCAAACGATGCGGAATCAAATCCGTCCGGTTTCCGTCGGGCGACCGCTCATTGCAGTTCTTGCAGTCCAGCACAGAGGTGAGGCCCCCCTGCGCGGACCAGGTACCCTGTGGGCAGGGCGTGCCTTGGCCAACCGGTCAAATACTGAGCCAGCCAGCCAGCCAACCAAGAGGCCGCCCAGCCAAACCCAACACCACCTAGCTACGTGCTGGCCACATGTACGATCACTGAGGAGTAGCGGGCCACTGCCACTTCCTTGTGAGTCCATGTGTGATCACTCCGTAATCCGTGCAAAATGGATTTTCTACAAATTCCACTTGTGCTGGATGTAATTGAGTTTGGACAATCTGAACCACCCACAGGGGCGGAGACAACAACCTGAACCCTTCAGGGCTGATGTTCAGGCGCATTTGCACAAGGACACTTTCTGTAGCATTCAGGCATCCACCTGGGGTGAACACAAAACGGCTTCCCCCTGCCGCAGGCCCACCTTCACCAATACCTGGACGTGAGAGAAGCAGCTTCCTTGAGACCCGACCCTTCATTCTTACTTTCTGCCAGGCCATTTTCTACGGAGCCCCAGAGCTGGGTCCCCAAGTGGTTCCCTTTTGGTTTCCAATAAAAGCTATTCAAACAGGGACGGGGGTTCGCCTTTCTCTGGATCTAGTCTTCTCTGTTGAGGCTGCCCTTTGCGGCGGGGTCGGTTTACAAACAACAAAAGTAAAGCAGCCATTTTTTTTAGGTACCATCACTTTGAGAAACGCCCAAATCAACTTTTTGGCTGTGTGTCCATCTGGGACATTCACCAAAATAGGGGCTGTCCAGTTCCATTCGGAATTCAATCATGTCAAAAGGGTACCTTCAACTTCCATTTGCTTGAGCCCCCCCGAAAAAAAGGAAAAAAAAAAAAGAAAAAAACTAAACATATTTCCCAGTAGTGATAGATTCCGCTTAAAACCACTGAGGAAAATAGCAAATCTATTCATTGCAGCAAATGGAAGTCCAAACAACAAATATACTGTGGATGGACGAAATCCTGCACCACCTAAGAAACCTGGAATGACGATACCCCTTGTAAATACCAACCAACAATGGTGATTCCCATGGTTTCCAACGGTGCGAACGGATTTCGCAGCCGCCCGTTGGATCCGAGGGGCACATGACGTTCTTCGTGGGGTCCGCCCCTGCAACTGTGGCCTCGCGGTAGGACCCGGGGCGGCACACCGTGGGCACCACGGTGCCGTCCAGCGGGCACTCCGTGCCCGCGGGGCAAGGGTCGCAGGCCACCCTGACGCTGGCCGGGGTTCTCTCTGCCCTGCCCTCGGATCCCCCGCTCAAAGTGACCAACTTTTAGTGGGCGAAATGGAAAGTACCCCGAACCACTAAAAGGCTAAAAAGCTAAGGGGATGGCTGGAAAGGGGAGCAACAAATTGAATTTTAGCAGCTAAGTGGTTGGATTTCAAACATGAAACCACGATAATTAAGCAAAAATGAAGGATGTTTCCCAACAACAACCATGGCTGGATGGGCTTCTCGGACCGCCCAGAAATTCACCTATTCCGCTTTGGCCCCCAAATTCGGGTTGCATGTGGGAAATCATCATCGTTGTGGTCTTCCCCAATGGTCATCCGACATTCACATCTCTACTCTTGGTATGGTAGCGAAAAGCTTTGTTTTTTGCAGACCCCCAGTAAAAATGAACACAAAAAAACATGCCAAGAGCTGTGAAGTTCACCTTCCCCTTGGTGGTTTGGGATGGAGGTTTATTTACCCTTAGGTTCAAAACGAGTGGAGGTCGAAAGGTGGTGACCCATTTGCCTGCAAGTTCGAATCCAAACCAACAACTCAGGCGTCCCTGACAAATGGGCTTCGGCTTTCCATTCGTGGCATCTTGAATCTAAACGTCATGACCATAGGGAAATCATGCTAGTAACGCAACCATACAAACAATGAAAGCTGGAAGGCGGGTCTCCCAAAAAGAGATTCCTCTACACATGAGGGACCCCAAAGTGGGGCCTGGGGATTTATACCAGGGCTTCCTAGCTCGATATCATACATCCAGCTGGTACACGTGGATCTTGTGCTGTTTGTTGGTTGCAACCCTTGAAGTTGCATGCAGCCATGGCCGTTGGGATTCTGGAAACGCCATCTTCTCGCTGGAAAGGCCAAGGCTTTGGCACTAGTCTGAATTTGAACGGCCCGGAGCTCGCCGCTTCCATTTGCAGTTTGCGACCGAGCAAATGGAACGGGGTAGAAGTGCACAAGAGCGTGTTGGTCCCTGGCCTGGCGTTGCGGAAACTGCAGTTCTGTCAAGTCATTTGCACATACTTGTACGACTGAACTGATTCTGATTGGCCCTTGCTCACGCGCTGGAAAAGCAATCGATGCTTAGGGTCATATCTGCAAAAGCGCTTCTCGTGCTTGAATTTTGGCGCTCATTTGCCAGTCAATGGCGGGACGTTGGGGTGGCAAATCCACTGTGCAACTTGGCAAGGCAACGCTTGCAAACAACTTTAGGCAAGCACCTAGCAACCTGCGTGGAATGAACCTACGCACAGGGGCGGGTAACGCAAACCAACCAACAGTCTATGTACATGGCCAGAAGGGAGCCAGCATGGGACTCTTTCAGCAAGCGGGTGCCACCCACCCTGTAACTTCAGAGTGCCACTATGCTCTGATTAGACTCGTTCCAACTGGAGTCACACTATCTGCAGTTGACGCTTAGCTCCTTACGACGCTATCGCGATGGCCAGGTTGAAGCCAAACACTGCAACACACACGCAAAGGCCCTAAAACATCAAATAAAACCAAAAAATGGGGGGGGGGGGGCTTTGAAACCGTGCGGGTTGACACTTATATTACTCATCACACCGCACTCTGCGGTGCAGGCAAGGGTGCAAGACTTTGGGCAAAAATCCGAGCACCAAGCCGTCCATCACCCCGAGTTCTGGGGGTCCCGATGATCGAAGCGTCAAGAAATCCCGGACGCCAGAATGGAGCCGAAACACTCGTAAATCCCACACCCGGCCGGGTGTTTCTCAAAATCGAAGGTCCCCTTTTTGGGATGGTTTTAAGAGGAAACTAAAAGGAAACCCACCACTTGAAGGGGAACACCCCACATTTTGGCAAAGCTCCAAAAGGTCTTCAGCTCACTTCCATCGGAAACGGAGGACTGTGACTTTTCTTTGGACGCAGCCAAGCAGCATCAGCCAGTTCGCCGCATAGGTCCCGGGTCTGCACTTGCTTGGGTAAATGCCTCAGACAGCCCATGCTGGTGGCCGAAGCCATGGACCTGCCGGTGACCACTTTTCAGGGCACCAAAGAAGGATATAGAAGCCGTCAGGTCCGCCTTTTGGCTCCGCGGACATGGCTCTGTAGCTGTGTCGGGCACTGTTTACCTCTGGGGATTCCATGTCAGGTGCTGCGCAAGACATGGCTGTGGGTCACAAATAGGTACCCAAAATGGAACCCTGGTAAGTGGCAACATGGACCCAAACCTGCGGTCCCCTGCCCCTGCTGGTTGACTTTTAACCCACACCCACATGGACAAACGCACCAAAGTCCGCCATGAACGGATTGGTCCTTCTGGCAAACAAAGCTCCGCGGCCTTCCGGCAGGCAGCAAGCTACAGGAAGATGTGAGAGCCGCATGTTTTTTTTTACTGGGAAGTCAGCTGCTCACAGAAAGTAGATGTCCTAATTCAAGATCCGGTGACTGTTTGAGGGTGTTGAATAGTGGTCAGCTGGCTCACGCGGGAAGATGTGGGCAAACATATCAACGGCTTAGCCTCTAATGTTGTAAAGGGTCGTTTGTCTAAGTCCGGGCTAAGAACATCCCCAGACCATCAAACTTAACATGATTTCATTAAAACAATAAGCTCACACAGTCACGGGTTGCCCGCGGGAGCCGGGGATCCTGTTTACTATGATTGTTTGGGTGGCTTCGTTTATGCCAAGCTTTTCTGGGGTGGGGAAAATCTGGCAATACTAGATTAAGTAATGGGGAGAGTAAATAGAATCCGCAATAGTAGAACAAGCACAAGCCTCTGAAAGTAAGTCTTGGCAATACTAAATTGAGAATAGGCCGTCCTAAATTGAGTGCTGCGCAAGCCCTTTTCCCACTAGAGTCACTAAAGCGGGTCCCGGGATGTCCCAGGGACTGGTGGCACTGTCCGGGATTCAACATCCTGGCCCCTCAAACGACCTATTGAGCAAAGCCTGTCACAAGCACCATCAAATAATTGAGCCTTGCGTGCATGCTTGGTCTCGAACTTGCAACTCACAGTTGTTGTGAGACTCCGTTGACCTGCTTCCCGGTGCAGTAAAAGTGTCTGGGGGCAAGCGCTCCCAATGCATGATTCCCAAGTGAAACTAAGGACTTCGACCAAACAAACTGCTGCCAGGTGGCTTCCGGATTTGCCCACGTAGTGCCCGGGCGGTGTGGGTTGGGGAGAGCTCACCCCTGCAGGGCAATACCTTGGCATGTGGCGCTTAGCAAATAAACCTTGACCATGGTCAAAATTTGCATGACCGCCCCAGAAAATTGCAGCAGCCAAGTCTTGTGAGCACAACATGGACAGTCTTGCTAGGTTCGCGCAGGCAACTTGTCAGGACTACAGGTTGAAAGGGATGCGTTGACGTGATACAACCCTTGAGCAAGGCTGGTCGCCTGTCGGCGTGCTTTGGCTACTCTCGCCATTCAAAAGGGGATCTAAACTTGCCCGCACGCACACACACACGCTCACACCAGTTACACACGCACACGCACACGCACGCATCCACAAAGTCTGTGTCTGTGTGTCCGCGTGTCTGCGTGTCTGTGTGTCTGTGTCTTTGTGTCTCTGTGTCTCTGTGTCTCTGTGTCTCTGTGTCTCTGTGTCTGTGTCTCTGTGTCTGTGTGTCTGTGTGTCTGTGTGTCTGTGTTTGTGTGTCTGTGTGTCTGTGTCTGTGTGTCTGTGTGTCTGTGTGTCTGTGTGTCTGTGTCTCTGTGTTTCTGTGTCTCTGTGTCTCTGTGTCTCTGTGTCTCTGTGTCTCTGTGTCTCTCTGTCTCTCTGTGTCTCGTCTCTGTGTCTCTGGGTCTCTGTGTCTCTTTGTGTCTCTCTGTGTCTCTCTGTGTCTCTCTGTGTCTCTCTGTGTCTCTTTGTGTCTCTCTGTGTCTCTCTGTGTCTCTCTGTGTGTCTCTGTGTGTCTCTGTGTGTCTCTGTGTGTCTCTGTGTGTCTCTGTGTGTCTCTGTGTGTCTCTGTGTGTCTCTGTGTGTCTCTGTGTGTCTGTGTGTGTCTCTGTGTGTCTCTGTGTGTGTCTCTATGTGTCTCTGTGTGTCTCTGTGTGTCTTTGTGTGACTCCGTGTGTCTTTGTGTGTCTTTGTGTGTCTCTCTGTGTCTCTGTGTGTCTCTGTGTGTCTCTGTGTGTCTCTGTGTGTCTCTGTGTGTCTCTGTGGGTCTGTGTGTCTGTATGTCTGTGTGTCTGTGTGTCTGTGTGTCTGTATGTCTGTGTGTGTGTATGTCTGTGTGTGTGTGTGTGTGTCTGTGAGTGTCTGTGAGTGTCTGTGTGTGTGTGTGTGTGCATGTGTGCCGACATGCGCCCGGTTTTACAAGAAGCACGGCCCACATCGGAGAAACCCTTAGCGGACTTATGGCAAGGCGCTACTGTGGATGGACAAAATTCTGCACCACCTAAGAAACCATGCAACACCATTGTTTGTTGGTATTTGCAGGGGGGTCCTTATTCCAAGGTCTTCTTCGGTGGTGCAGGATTTCGTCCATCCACAGTATGTCAACGTTTCTGTTGGGGGAAGATCCAGTTGGATAGGACACCAGGCATTTTGGGGCTCCCCGACTTTCACCTCTAGATAAGGCCTGTGCTGGGGCTCCACTCATGGACGACCCACTGAATTGCAGGTACCTGCATCAAACACCATGGTTTTGGTGAAGCTAGCATCTGCGTACAAAAGAGCTGGCCAAATTCATCACTTGGCCATGGGTCAAAATCCAGTATTGCCAGTGAACATCCCAATCCCCACTAAAAATAGGTTCTAAACTGGATGGCGAATTCATCGATCCAAAACGGTTTTGACACCCACAGCCACATACGTGGTGCAACAAGCCTGCAGCCATGAAGCTTCAGGCAGGGACCTGTCACCAAAAATGGCTTCCTGCAGACATATCGCTTGTCAGTACTGCACTTGGCAGAATTGGACGAATTTGGGGCATGGGAAGCGCTCATCAAGACTGATAGCTAGACAAACATAAGGGCAAACTACTCTCAGCAAGCAAGAACCTTCATAGGCAAGGTTTTCCAGAGTCATCTTCGATTTGTTTAAGTTCAGCCCAAAATGAAGATACTTCCAGCGATCGATTCCCTTTAAACCCGGGGAACACAAAGCCATGACCACTTCCCACGGCAGCCGCGTATCTGCGACGGCGATGTGGCGCACTCGGAGCTGAGCTCCCCTGCCCTTCGGAACAGTTCTTGGTAGCTGCAACAACCCCTCCGCAAAAAGCGAATCACTTTTTGCGGCAAAATGGAAAACCCAACCATAGCAATCAAACAAGATAAGGTCTAACATACTGCTATGGTCTCAAATTCATGTCCCAAACAGTTAAGGTCTAAAGATCCAACCACAGCAATCAAGAGCTGGGAGCCTGTTGTTGGTGGTTTCGATGGGAAGCCAACAAGAAAATCACCAAACATATGGGTTCGATTTCTGTTGAAAAAATACACCAAACAAAAATCACCAAACACCTGGGTCCGATTCCAACAAAAGTTGCACACCCACTTCGGCCCAGTTGCCATCGAGGCGGGCAGTTGTCGGTACCGCCTGCCGTGGTGGTGTTGGCAACGCAGAAGGTGCCCTGGGTGCACTGCTTGGCCGTGTCCATGCCTCAGCTTCGCATCGGAAGGGCCCAAGATTCTTTTTCGCTCACCAGCTCAAGGATCAACCGGCTTTTACAAGAGGAACCGCAGCTTCAACTCCAACAAAATAACCTTCCGGAGATATGACACCATGCCAAACAAAAAACGGTCGCCACCTCCGCTCAATTGCCTCCCCGATTGTCCGAGGCACTGGTTGGGTCCACGATGGCTGAGGCGGTGCCCGCCATACAGTAGTACCCCGGCGGGCACACCACGGGCCCGTTGTCCGAGATCCCGGCCAAGGTGTTCAGTGTGATCACCCCCGGGGGGCAGTATGAGCCTCATGGACCCAGGAAGGACCCCTTGGGCGGCCCAAGGCCTTCGACTTGGGGCGGCCAAATGTGAAGAAATGGTTAAATGTGGCTGTGGGTCAAGAATAGGTACCCAAATTGGAAGCCAGGTAAATGGAAACATGGACCAAAACCTGGTGGCTTTATTTTGACCCATACCCATGTGGCTTGCCCAGCGCGAACGAGGGCAGCCCAAGGAATGCTTGCCATTTCATCGCCAAATGTCGCCAATGTGAAAACACAATCCAGGCCCTGGATGCAAGCTACAAATATCTTAACTGGTCCTGTTTCCAATTTGTGTGCCTCAACAAATCTGAGCTGTCCTCAGATCCCCCGCTAAAAGTTTAACTTCTAGTGATTCTAGTGGGCTAAACGGACAACTCCACTAAACACTAGGCTGGATGGCTGGAAACCACCCAGAAATGTTTTTGTTGCATAGTGTTTCCTTTAATCAAGGCGCATGTTTGCCTCCGATGCCTGGGATGAGGCCTTCAATCTGGGAACTGGCTCATGCAAAGCAGCTGGACATGGCTTAAGGCTTTCGCCCAAAAGGCGCAATTGGCTTTCTGGCCGCTTCACTGCAAGGAACTCATTTCACAAAGGATATCGGATTCCTGGAGACCGGCGCCCGGCCCCACCCAAGGCTAAGCCCTTGTACACCTTTGGGCTTAGAGTGCAGGTGCAAAACGTCGGCGCAGTGGCCATCGCTCATCCAAGTAGATGAACGGATCAGGAGTCAAGAGCATCCCGATATCACTAAACTGGGGTTGATTCATCTGAGGTCAACAATAGGCCATCGAATCTCAGTTGCTTGCCCAAACTTGGTCAGGCCTGGCTACTTTGAAGCCAGCGCAGAAGGCACCGACACCCGCAAACACCCAATCTTGAGTTATATTGTCCAAGCCACCTGCCGGGCACAGGTACGACGGAATCTCCCTGCCCGGGTGGGCGCAAACACGGCCAGCAGGACCTTGGCAACTCCACCATGGGCCCCAGCCTTCCAACTGCTGCACGTATGCCCTAGAGAGCACAACCCCTTCCGGCGCGAATGGGAATTTGCTTCGAGGCGTCAAAATCAGCAACATTTGTCAAATAAATCTAACTATCCATCCAAGTAGGGACTTGCAGGCTACAGCTACCCCAATTCATTCATTTTGTCCCGACATGACAGGAACAAAGCACAACAACATAAACCACAAAGAAAACAAGTTGAACATATTTGAACCCAAACACGCGCCTACAAACACGCAGACACACAAACACACAGCCACGCACACACACACACACACACACAGAGCGCCTGCCCCCGCGCGCACCGACCCAGACCCAGACCCAGACTCAGACTCAGACTCTGACTCAGACACAGACTCTCACTCACAGACACAGAGACACAGAGACACACAGACACACAGCACACAAACACACAGACACACACACACAGACACACAGACACACAGACACACGCACAAACACACAAACACACAAAAAACACAAACACACACACACACACACACAAACACACAAACACACAAGCACACAAGCACACAAGCACACAAGCCCACAAATGCACAAATGCACAAACGCACAAACGCACAAACGCACACACACCCACACACGCACGCGCACGCACGCACGCACGCACGCACGCGCATGCACGCACGCACGCAGGCAGGCACGCACGCACGCACCCACACACGCACACACACACACGCACCCACACACACAAACACGCACAAAAGCATAAAGGCACAAAGGCACAAACGCACCACCACACAAACAAACGCAGAAACACACAAACACACAAACACACAAACTCACAAAAACACAAACACACACAAACACACAAACACACAAGCACACAAGCACACAAATGCACAAACACACAAACGCAGAAACGCAGAAACACAAAAACACACACACAAACGCACAAACACACAAATGCACAAACGCACAAACACAGACACACGCACACGCAGGCACGCACGCACGCACGCGCACGCGCGCGCACGCACGCACCCACCCACCCACCCACACACACACACACACACGCGCACACCCACAAGCACACACACAAGCACACACACAAGCACACACACACACACAAACACACACACGCACACACGCACACACGCACACACACACACACACACAGACACAGACACAGACACAGACACAGACACAGACACAGACACAGACACAGACACAGACACAGACACAGACACAGACACAGACACAGACACACACAGACACAGACACAGACACAGACACAGACACAGACACAGACACACACACAGACACACACACACACAGACACACACACAGACACACACACACACAACACACAACACACAACACACAACACACAACACACAACACACAACACACAACACACAACACACTACACACAACACAAAACACACAACACACACACACACACGCACACCCACACACACACAAACACAAACACAAACGCAAGCGCACACTCGCACGCGCAAACAAACAAACAAACAAGCAAACTAGCAAACAAACACTTATGTAAACAGCCACGCTCACACTCACAATTACACAATTACACTTACACGTGAACTTACACTTGCAGTTATGCCTACCCACGCACGCGTGCACGCACGCACATGCACAAATGATTACGCATGCACGCTCCCCTCCAGACTCGCAAGAACTTGACAAGGAAGAGGAAGGAAGGCAGGGAGGGAGGGCGAGAGGAAGGGAGGGACGGAGGGAGGGAGGGAGGGAGGGAGGGAGGGAGAGAGGGAGGGAGGGAGGGAGGGAGGGGAGGAAGGAACGAAGGAAGAAAGGAAGGAAGGAAGGAAGAGGAAGCAAGGAAGCAAGCAAGTGCTAGACGCACGGAACGTGTAAGCTCTGCTCAAGCCACAGAGTGTTGGCAGCGCACTGCCGAAGCCCGTGCAAATAGTGCCGGCAGTGCAGGTGGAACAGTCGGGCGCCTCAGAAAACGCCGCACAATGAACCCAACTTGACCTGTGCAAATTTTGAAACACTGAAGTTAGTCATTCCTGTCGGAAGGGCGAAGCCAAACAAAGCTCAACCTCCATCACACTTCGAATCAAAATGCCTGACAGCACAACAAGAAACAAATTGAGTGTCTCTCCTCCGACCTTGTCTGTTTCTGGTGGAACGGAGCATGCTCTTCCTGAAGTCCCATTCTAGTGAAGCTTCATCAGAATTGCGCCCACTTGCCATCTGGGCGCTGCGTGGGAGCTTGTGGGGCCACCAAAAGCCGAGCAAGTAGACATGAGAAAACCAAGCATCCGACAGCTCCAACAGGGGCGATGCTGATTTGGGGCTCGCAACCATGCAGGGTCTACATTTTCAAGAGGGTCCAAAAAGTAAACCCTGGGCAGTAGGCCGTGAGAAAGCGGGTCCCAACTGTCGAGGCCGCCTGGAGCGCACACAAAACTCCCTATGTTCTGGCGGCTTGGATTCACTCCTCACAGGTCGCCCTCTTGGCCATCCAGCAACGGCATCCGAACCAGTGACAAGTTCTGCGAGCCGGGTGAACTTGAATGGGCGTCCTTATCAATTGCCAAGCGTCTGTAAAACCCAAAAAACACGTTTGTACGCGCGTGAAGGCGCGGAGAACCCGTCTTTTGCTGGTTCCGGGGCCAAGCCCGGAATTATCTTCCGTCGCGTCGATTTGGGGCCGAAAACCGGAAAGTTGAGCTCGAGGCGCTCCGGAGCTGAGTTGGTACTGCCCCGGCGGGCAGGGCTGCGGGAGCAGGAAGCCAGGGCCTGGCAAAAAAACAACTCCGCCCGAGGGTGTGGGCCACATGGGATGCAACGAAAAAAAGGGCCAACAAAAACCAAAGGAGAGTTCCACTGCCATTCACTTGGCCTTGCTCTGACAGCTGTGTAGTGAGCAAATCGCCTTGCATAGGATTGCGGTTCAACAGGTTTGAGCCCAGTGGTTGCTTTGATTGGCTTGGGGTTACTGCCCGTGGGCGTCACATGCTCCAAGGCTTGAACAGCCAAAGCACCAATCCATCCATTGGGCAGTTGAAGCACTCGCCTGGACAGGATTCATTTGTAGCATGTCAAAAGCAAGCACGCATGTTCGCAAATGGAAAGCTCGCAAAATCATTGTGCTTCCCCTTTGGGACCTTTCGGAGCAAAACAACACATAGCCCACAACTCCGGGAAACAGTGACCTTCAGAGTAGCGCTGGCATGCTATGTATTGAGCATTTGTCTCACTTCACCTCCCCAACGCCTGAACAGGACAAATACCCAAAAGAACAAGTTAAGCAATAGAACTGTTTGAGTTTTTTTTTTGTGGCCGTCCCATGGTCCCCGTTTCAATCCATTAAAGAGATCTCCTCCCTGTGCCTCCGGGGCAGGACATCCCCACGGGACAGGGCAAAACGCCGCTGTTGTCCGGAGCAACGTACTCCCCAGGCCCCGCCACCACGTCCACCGACAGCGGATTAAAGGAGCCCTCGCTGCACCTGCAAACGCATGTGGTGATTCTGTGGGTGGACGAAATCCATTTCGCACCACCTAAGGAGTCCTAGAATGATGATTCCCCTGTCAATACCAAAAAAAGAAATGGTTTCCCATGGCTTCAAAGTGGTGCAGGATTTCGTCCATCCGCAGTAGGCGGCACAACTTCCCTCATGTTGGCTTCACCTCCTTACCCGCAAGGGAATTGTGCTATCTACTTTCACTCGCTTTTTACACGCCCATCTGTTGGCTTCACCTGCCTACCCACAAACCAAGTGTGCCATCTACTTTCACCCGCCTTGTTTTTTTGAACACGCCAAGACAAAGTAGAGCATCCTAAACAAAGTCCTGAGATCGCGAACATAGCCGCGCTCAGTATCTATACTCTACCGTTCAGGGGAAAGTGGCTTGTTTCACAAAACTCCTATGCCGGCGAGGCATTCAATGGACACATAGTGGAGTCCAAGAAAGTCAAACTAGAGACAGAACATAAGAGGCACCTCCTGAAAATTCCAGGCTGCTACAAGCACCCGGGGAATACAAGCAGGCCAAATCATTCTAGAATCACCGTTCCCAGGGAGGTAAAGAACCCGAGAAAAAAAAGAAAAAACACTTGGGATTGTTCACAGGTTCCGCTTCAGGTCCCAAGTCCCCCCCCAAAAAAAACATTCAAGTGGTGTCACACTTCGCCACATCGCGGGGTCCTCCCAGGCCCAATTGAGGCATGAAACGTTCGTCACCTCAACATGAGGTAAGTAGAAACCACTCGCTCGTTTGGGCGATGCCTCGGCCAAGTTGCCGGAATGGCGAAAGGGCCCCCCGAATAAAGTTTCGGGCATGCAGGGATCTGGCAGCTTCAAAACTCGATGGTGAACGCGACTGGGGGAGGGTCGCCTGATTTCAACACCCATGTCTTCGCCGAGTGGCACGATGCCCAGGCGGGTGCAAGTCATGGGCGAGACGAAGATCAGTTCCCCCGTGAAGGGGTCGCGCTCTGCCACCGAGCCCGGAGGGCAGAAGTAGCCTGCAGTGGACGCAAAGCACACGCACACACCCATCGAAAACCAAACAAAACGACACGGATCAAGAGATGCTGACAACGCTTATTAAGCCTCATAAAGGGCCGCGAGCTTCAAATATCTACTTCCTGAACGGCCACCCTCACTCCAACGGTCCATTTTGGCCATGGAGCTTCCCTGGTTTTCATTGACTCGAGCTCAGCTGCCCAAGGGTCTCCCTCAAGCAAGTCAGCACTGCCAGTGACTGAAGACTGCGATTTCTTCAATCGATGCGTTACCATATTGAGCCGCAACTTGCTAGACTGCAGGCGTGCCCAAGCAACGATCCGTATACGCATTTGCTTTGTCAGGTGAGGCATGCTGGAAAGCTATACACTGTGTGAATGGGACAAAAGAACTCCAAATTCCAGTGTCTGGTGGGAAGGTCATAACGCCACTTCTCTGCATCATTCTGCGCAACCATCTGCATAGCAGGTCAGCCCACGAGCAACCCAACCACGCCATCTCAGCTTCACTCCAATTCGTGATTTGGACTGGTGGCTTGGTGGTTCAGGAGGGGTTGCTCAGTTGCCCCCCTATAAGAACTAGGGTTCATCACCAATCCAAACCACCAATCCAAACCACCACTCAATCCAATCTAAACCACCGACTACCGGCGACGCCTGCCGGGCAGTCCATGATCTCTGTGGCTGGCAGCGCTGACAAGCGCAACCTTCGCTCCTTCGCGCGAAATCCACACGGGGACGTGGCGGTGATTCTGAACCGAGGGGCTGGGTGACTTTCTTGCTGTTCGAAACATAAAAATCCAGAAGAAAAACAAAAAAACACGTGGCCAAGGAAAGCTCATACATAAAGCAGGACCTCTTTCAGAGGTAGCCTCTAAGACCCATAGAGCGGTCTTGAGCCTCAAGGGGTATGTCTGTGGCTGGAGATTCTTCGTTGAACCTTGCGCTCCCCGGGAAAAACAGATTGCGCTGAACGGAGCCTACCCCAGGCCTTCAACATTGAGTCGGTGGCCCCGTCAGGTTTCTATCATCGGCAGCTGTTACCGGAGATTTATCTAATTCCTCCACACATGTGGCAACGATTTGTGTGCTCTCCTGGCCATTCTATGCAACATCATGTTGCCTCCAAAGAGGCACGCAAAGCAATCCGATCAATCCATGTGTGGCTGAGATCATCGAGTACGCCGGACAAAGCTACTCCATTGCAAATGGCAATTGAACCAAGACTCCTGATCTAGGAATGAGATCTTATGGCTTTCGTCGGATTGATCCAAAGAACCCCTTGAATATGCTAGTGCTGCCGTGACATGTTGGAATGATTGCATGCTCCCTCCTCACTTTAATTCAATCAGGGAGACATTGGACACATACACTAGATTGCACTCGACTTGCTCGAAAGTACATGGCTCAACTCCACATAGAGGCACAATTACAACCACATCAGTAAAACAGGCTTCAGCTGTAGGTCACCGCTGTCATACCACAGCCATGTGGATACCACTGATTTTAGTGCCCGTCGAAGGTGCCAACCGCGATCGACTTTCCAACTGAATTTGTCGGCCTCCTCCAAACGTCGCCTCGGATTCCGTAAACGCTGTGAACCTTCACGCTTGAGCTAAGGAGTGAAACATCTCAACGGGCCGTGCCTTAATACAGGGATCCTTACATTATACACCTGAACATTGCCTTGTAAATGGTGAGTTCCCTGTATTTTGGTGGAAAAAGCCATGTTTCAAATGGGCAAAATGTATCTTTTAAGGAGCCCTGCTTAGTGGACTGCATTGTACCAACCGCCACCGAACACTGCAGCGCTTGGTGTGTGCTCAGCCGCCCGAAAGTGGACCATCGAGGCTAACACAGATTTCCCCAAAAGAAAGATCTCGTTGAATAACACCCGCAAGCAATCGCTGCGACTATGCGCTGAAGGAGTCACGGAGCCCCCAACATGACTCCGTACATTTCGGAGATTCAGCTGGCAGAACATGGCACCCGGCGTGATCAACTTGTACCGGGTGCCTTTTGCAAACCCTGCAGCCATGTTTATCGCCCTTTGACCTATGGCATTTCGGCCACGATCCAACCCTCACAGCATTCAGGGGTGAATGCAGACATGCAAGCACAAGCCGCCAGTAAAAACAGGTATGCCCAATTCAATATATATATATATATACATATATATATATATATATGTTCTAACATTGCGAGGAAGACAAAAAAAAAGCCAAGACATGCATACATAGATAGGTGTGTGTGTAATATTATGTGCTCTGTATCTGCACACTGCTGGAAAAAAAAAAAAAAACATGCGCGTGCGCGATGCGCTAACACACGCTCGTCAACACTCACGCGCGACGAACACGTATTTACACAACAGAAACCCAACAAAACGATTCCTACCCAAAGGCGTAACCAACTGAGGCTCGCGAAGGGGAAGCGTGAAGAACTCGTAGACACCGTCTTCCCGTAGGCAGGCTTGACGCAAAGCCTGAAGGAGGGTAAACGGCAAGCGATAGGCCTGTCACAAGCCACGGCTATAACTGGTTTCCATCTGGCCTAAGGCGCTCTCAATGAGTTATATGAATTCTTCACTTGGATATCAAAAGCACTGCTATGCCTTGAACTGGCTGAAATACAATATGTGTGAGATGGACTCCCTGCACTCTGCAAATAGAGTGCCCGGCTTTTCCTCAAGAGGGTTCTCCCAGCACTCCCCAGCACTCTCCAGATTCGCAAGCGTAAACAGCTAGATATCCTAACATACTGTGGCCCAAACCCCCGTCCCATTTCCACAGAGTTGACCAAGGTTCAGTCAGAGTTTGCAAGCTTCTGTACAGAACGGCCCAGATCTTAGCCCCTCAGCCCGGATCACACCCCGACCCAATGCATCAGGCGCACCACATCGAATGTCTTTTATCATGTGTCAAAACAAAAAGTCATGAGACTTTTGTAAGTTACCAAAAGCCGGGCGCATTGACCACGTGCTCTTGCAGATGCGGAGCTTTCCAGCCGGGCAAAGTGCCAGGTTGGCATCATAGCCGGTCCCAGCCCAGCAAATGTAGCCCGTCTCGCAGTGCTCAGGCTCAATCATAGAGTACCTCCCCCGCCCCACCCCCTCCCCCCCCCAAAAAAAAAATGGTATCCCCAACATCCCCACAACCCCGGAAACCTCGCTGAAAGCTGCTCCGAACCACTCCGGAGCCTATTAGCTCCTATTAGTGCAGAGACCCCATAGCTTCCAGCTGTTCGGAAAAAAATCCACCGCTGGCCAAAGCCTTCCGCGCATCCCAAAGCTTCTCCCACACCGCCGCGTGTGACCTTTTTGTTTTTGTTTTGGCAGTGCTGCTTTTTGACTGCGAGAACCGGCTCCCGATTGCCGAAGGCCCCAAGGCCCGGGTATCTCCGGTGCAAAAGGACTGGTTGGTTTCCTGGGTCTTCTCGAGCATCATGGATGGATCCCTGAGGCCACGAACCAAAGTCTTTCAAAGGCCACGGTCGCCAGTGAAAGGGGAAAGCAAAGGCTCATGCAATGCTGCTTTGGCCGCACACGAAGCAAACAAACCTCAACCCCAACACCCCACCCCAGTCACCACCAACTCCACCCCCAATTCGGCAGCAACCCCTAAGGCGCCCAACCCACGGTCAAACCCATGGATCTCTCCCGGCCTGGGGCAGTAGACCCCCTCGGGGCAGGTCTCGCACTCGAAGTAGCCAGTGGCATTCATCCAGGTGCCCGGTAAGCATCGGATCGGCGCCTCTCCGGGGTACGTCAAGTCCGATTGGTTCACGCCTACCTCGGACGGGCAAAACGGCAAAACTGGCAAAACCCTGAAGTCATCCAAAGCGAGATGGGTGTGGTTGTCAAAACCCAAGCAAACCCCGGGTGAACATCAAAATAGGTGGAAATCAAATGGATGTTCATCCACCCCAAAATGGGATCGCCATAGGTTATGCGTTTCCCGTGGCCACTTGGTCTTAGGTCCATCAGCCATAGGTCTCATGAAGCAAAGGGGCATCGCGGCGATCTCGGAAAAGAAAAAAAAAGACACCTGGCCGACTTGATGTGCCCCACGGCGAGCTGTGTCCCAAACAAAGCTCAAAACATCTGGCAATTGGCCGGAGAGCGGACAAAACCATGAATGCTGCATTGCTGAACACCCACCTGCCGTCTCTTCAAGAGGCTCCTCAGAAGTTGGGTGGGAGAGCAAAACGAAGAAGTACATGAACCAACTGGACAAAGCAAGCTAGACAGCCCAAGCACATGGTTACTACCGATGTGGGCCATCGTATCACAGAAAGTTGTCCTTAAGCCTCCCCTTATTTGTACCACAAGCAAGGCCTGAGGTCCCAAAAGCCAAGGGAGGGACCCTCTTGAGCTTGGCACCAGCGTCCAACCAAACCTCCCTGCGACGCATGCAAGCTGGCTGCGTCTCCCTCTCGGCCGGGAACCCGGCCCCTTTAAGGCGGGCAAGGCGCCCCGGGGCACGCGTGGCCCTGTGGGCAGGGCTGCAAAGTTCCGTTGTGCAGCTCCGGGCGGTAAAAGCTGCCCATGGGAATGGGGTTGTACCCAATGTTGAACTCCACGGGCGTGTAGTCCTGCACTCGGCGCCGATTTTTTGGGCGAAGCGAGGCCCCACACTCAAGCCATAGCGTGCTGTCTCGTGGCTCTCGACTTGCATCATCCCCTGAACTGTGATTATCCCATGTGTGCATGTATGCGCTTCTCCTTGCGCGCATGCGCACAAACACATAGGTACATGTGTATTGATATGTCTGCTGTGGTGTCATGCAAATCCATTACAGATATAACTAGATATTACTGCATACGGATCATACTGACATGTAAATGCATGTGTTTCCTTGGGAATATGCGTGCGTGCCTTTCAGCTTCTCCACTGTTCTTCTATTCTAGCGGAGCCTGAAGCTTTCTGTACGAATTGAAAACTTCTTGTTGATGCTGGTTGGGCAACTGTGCCAGGGATGCGTGAGGCAGAAAGAAACAGACAAAGAGAGAGAGAGAGAGAGAGAGAAAAAAAAAGAAAAGAAAAAGAGAAGCATAGAGAGCGAGAGAGTTCGCTAGACTCGCGCACAACGGCCATTCCGCACATGCTGACTTCAATTCCTTTGTGCAAGACGCCCCTAAAAAATGCCAAGGTCCTTAGGATTGACGCCAAGGTCCTTAGGATTGACGCCTCTAAAACATGCCAAGGTTGTTGCGTTCCCATCGAAGCCCGAAACCAACTCTCCGTGCCCCTTTGTTTCCAGGGGTGCTTGTACATACCCCTTTTACATACCCCTTGCACAATTGAAGCCAGGCCTGATGTTCATATCCCTCTCCCCAAAAAATACCTTTATAAAGTGGGTTGGAAACCACGGAAGCCAAGGGCTATGAACGAGGGCTCAGTTGTTCAGTGACACTGGAAAAAAAGGGAACCCTTTTTGGGGAAGACCATTTTTAGTGGGCCACCAAAAAAACAGAGGAACAATTATTGGTGCCACTGAACATCTGGGAGGGGTGTGTACTTCCACCCTTAGATTGTTCGGCTCGTTCCTTCGAGCGCCCCAACCTCCGGCCTGCAGGTTACGCGTGAGGCGCAGCGGCTCCGCCCGAGGCACCGCGGCCATGTGGGGCGTGGGCGGGAGGCGCACGGTGGCCCACATGGAGTCCTGCGCGCAAAGCTCGGCTCATTCCGCGCGTTTGTGTTGGGGAACCTCGTTTTTGTGTTTCACCCTCCAAACCTTTTTGTTTCACCCTCCAAACCTTTTGTTCACCCTCTAAACGTTTTTGCTTCACCCTCCAAACCTTTTTGTTCCAACCCTCTAAACCTTGTCTTTTCCAAGCCTTCCCTGCTTTTGCCACCTGATTCCTGCCAAAAAGATGGCCAAAGCTAACATAGAAGACCTGCAAGGGAGGGTCTGGTGGAAGTTGTCTACAAACATGGACCTGTCAGGATTTCTTGAGCTGATAACGCACCTGTGATGCCCCAAAGACTACCCCGCCATGTAAAGAGGATAAACCCCTTGTATCACAGAAGTGGTTGGATAAACCCCGAGTGATCCCACAACCTTGCTGTTGACGGAACCCCGGGCTCCTTGCCGCGGCGGGCTTCCAGTAGGTGGTCCCCAACGGCCACAAAGAGCTTTGCACCTATCCGGGGTTCGTGCCAAGCTCCATGCCAAACCAGTGGATTGGCCAAAGACAGGTCTAACTTGAAACATTTGCCACGAAAATGGTCCAAAACAAGTGACTAAAGCCCATGAGCTCAGAGAGTGAAGAAAGGAGAAGTTTGTTTCCTCTCAAAAACGGGGCTTGGCGAGAAGCAGGCTTGCCCAAACAAGCTTGGCGGCACGTCCGCTGTCAAGCTGCAAGGGCATGGGCCAACTATGCATCCAGAGGCACATGCGAAGCAAACAAAAACTGCCCCACGGTTGTGCAATCTCCGCACTTGGTTACAACTGTTTGATCAACGTCCACGTGTGTGGCGTGGATGGCAAATGATGGCAAGAATACGACTAAGAGGCTACAATACACATGTCCCGGAACCAGAAAAATCGGAGGAAGGTGCGTTTGACTTCGGTCTCGTGACTTGTCACGCACCGCAGCAGTGTGCCTGTCCCGAATGGAAGACGAACATCGTTCCCCGATGAACAAACCTGCACACAACAAATGCCATGTTGCTTGAGCCTCCAGCCCTGGAGACTTGTGACTCACAGTCAGCTGGGCTGCATGTACTTTTGCTTGGACACATCTGACATGCCGTGTCATGGAAATCCAGCTTGAAAATCGATCTGTTCCTGCTCGTGTTCTAGGAGGGGCAAAGCCCACTTGGGTAAGAATTGAATGGCAACGCATCGGGGGGGGGGACTGGGACAAGACCAACGATCATAGTTCAGCTTCCCTCTATTGGCTGGCTTGGAGGCTTGCAGTGCTTCCCTTTTACCAGGATTGCCTCTTGTCATGAGGACTGTCAATCAAGTGCAAATATCAAGGCTTGGCACTTCTGCGGGCTTCAAGGGGAAGCCACAATTTGCGGTTTCATTGTTTCTCTCTAGTTTCCCGGCTAAAAACCCTTTCTTGGCCTACCCCAAAATACACCAAACATAAAATCTACAGACCCTCTTTCAGAATTTGCCAACCTTGAAATATCACATGTAACATTGGGGGGTTATGTAACAAGAGCTTTCACCAGGGGCTCTTGTGTGCCTGTTCGATTCCCGGAGCCATAGACGAAATCTTCGGCCCAAAGGTTGCCGCGCAGCGTGAGGGTGCAGCCTGAGCCAAGGATCTCATGGGCCCGGCTGGCCCGGCTGGCGCGGGGAGGGTTTGAGGTTTCTGGGTGCGGGGGCGTAGGGTTTGGGCCAACCATTGGCCAGGGAAAACGGGGGAAACGTTGTCAAAGACATTTTTTACGGTGTGGTCACTCAGGATGTGGGCTGACGCAAGTGGGTGACAACAGGCTTCACTTGTCAAAGAAAATATTGGACAAGTTTATGGCTTCAGCGGACATGGCTCTTCCGTCTTCGTGATGGGGGGGTGCATTGAACGCTTGCCTGCTGACAAGCCTTTCGCAGAAGCCCACAGCCAGCCGGCGTTTCGGTGCGGCAAGCAGATGTAGCAATCAGCCAACCCCTGAAAGCGACATGATGCGCTTCCCATGATGGCCCCCTCAGCAAGAATAGCAAAACATGCTAAAGGAAATATCGAACCTATGAGGGATACCCGGGAAAAACTAGACGACGAGTGGCCCGGAAGCATAGAGGCAAGTTGATGCAGGTGAGGTAACTCTCGCAAAGTTAGCATGAGGAGTTGGCAGGCGAAGCAATTCTCAAAAAGTTGGCATGAGAAGCTGGCAGGTTAAGTAACTCTCGAATAGTTGGCTGGCAAAGTTGGCGGGTGAAGTAATTCTCGCAAAGTTGACATGAGAAGTTGGCAGGCGAAGTAACTCAAGAGAAAAGTTGGCATGAGAAGTTGGCAGGTGAAATAACTCTCAAAGAGTTGGCATGAGAAGTTGGCAGGTGAAGTAACTCTCGAAAAGTTGGCGTGAGAAGCTGGCAGGTGAAGTAATTCTCGAAAAGTTGGCACGAGAAGATGGCGCGTGAAGTAACTCTCGAAAAGTTGGCGTGAGAAGCCGGCAGGTGAAGTAACTTTCGAAAAGTTAGCATGAGAAGTTGGCAGGCGAAGTAATTCTCGAAAAGTTGGCGCGAGAAGTTGGCAGGCGAAGTAACTCTCGAAAAGTTGGCAGGCGATGTTGGCAGGTGAAGTACCTCTCGAAAAGTTGGCATGAGAAGCTGGCAGGTGAAGTAATTTTTCGAAAAGTTGCCACGAGAGGTTGGCAGATAAAGTATTTCTCGAAAAGTTGGCATGAGAAGTTGGCAGGTGAAGTAATTCTCGAAAAGTTGGCAGGTGAAGTTGCCACGAGAGGTTGGCAGGTAAAGTATTTCTCGAAAAGTTGGCATGAGAAGTTGGCAGGTAAAGTAATTCTCGAAAAGTTGGCATGAGAAGCTCGCAGGTGTAGTAACTCTCGAAAAGTTGGCATGATAAGCTCGCAGGTGAAGTAACTCCTCGAAAAGTTGGCACGAGAAGTTGGCAGGTGAAGTAACTCTCGAAAAGGTGGCATGAGAAGCTGGCAGGTGAAGTAATTCTCGAAGTTTCGGCATGAGAAACTGGCAGGTGAAGTAATTAACCCTCAAAAAGCTGGAGCGGCGGAGGCGCTCCGCGTGCTACATTTGCAATTTACAGTTGCGATTTTCCAGCCATTTGTATCTAAAAGTTGCGATTTTCCAGCCGGAGCTGCGGGAGCACGCTCCGCGTACTACGTCTGTACTTAAAAAGTGCGATTTTCCAGCCGGAGCTGCAGCAGCCTCCGCGTACTACGTCTGTACTTAAAAGTTGCGATTTTCCAGCCGGAGCTGCAGGAGCACGCTCCGCGTACTACGTTTGTACTTAAAAGCTGTGATTTTCAAGCCGGAGCTGCCGCGGACCAGGGGGGAATCGAGCCCGGGACCGCGGGATTGCGAAAGCAGGCGCGCACACCACGAGACAACTTCCAAAAGCCGTTTCGCGAGCAAGAAAATCGCACGGCGCCACAGCGAGAGCGCTTCGACACGCACGATCTCCGCAGAGGGTTCATCGGGCTCAAGACAGATGCGCACGGCGCCACAGCGAGAGCGATCCGACACGCACGATCCCCGCAGAGGGTTCATCGGGCTCACGACAAATTCGCACGGCGCCACAGCGAGAGCGCTTCGACACGCACGATCTCCGCAGAGGGTTCGCCAAGGTCAAGACAAATTCGCACGGCGCCACAGCGAGAGCGCTTCGACACGCACGATCTCCGCAGAGGGTTCGCCAAGGTCAAGACAAATTCGCACGGCGCCACAGCGAGAGCGCTTCGACACGCACGATCTCCGCAGAGGGTTCGCCAAGGTCAAGACAAATTCGCACGGCGCCACAGCGAGAGCGCTTCGACACGCACGATCTCCGCAGAGGGTTCGCCAAGGTCAAGACAAATTCGCACGGCGCCACAGCGAGAGCGCTTCGACACGCACGATCTCCGCAGAGGGTTCGCCAAGGTCAAGACAAATTCGCACGGCGCCACAGCGAGAGCGCTTCGACACGCACGATCTCCGCAGAGGGTTCGCCAAGGTCAAGACAAATTCGCACGGCGCCACAGCGAGAGCGCTTCGACACGCACGATCTCCGCAGAGGGTTCGCCAAGGTCAAGACAAATTCGCACGGCGCCACAGCGAGAGCGCTTCGACACGCACGATCTCCGCAGAGGGTTCGCCGCTCAAGACAAATTCGCACGGCGCCACAGCGAGAGCGCTTCGACACGCACGATCTCCGCAGAGGGTTCGCCGGGTCAAGACAAATTCGCACGGCGCCACAGCGAGAGCGCTTCGACACGCACGATCTCCGCAGAGGGGTGCGTTTCGTAAGCTCCCGTCGGGCCTACCCCCGCCATAAAAAGAAGAAGAATTAAGAGTCGAGATGTGAAGGTAGAACAGAAAAGTTAGCTTGTGTTTTTAGGATAGTGAAGTAACACCCGACAAATTAGCTTGTGCTTTTAGTAGAATGAGATAACAGCCGAAAAGTTGACATGAGAAGTTGGCAGGTGAAGTAACTCTCAAAAAGTTGACATGAGAAGTAGGCACTCTCGACAAGTTGGCATGAGAAGTTGGCAGGTGAAGTAACTCTCGACAAGTTGGCATGAGAAGTTGGCAGGTGAAGTAACTCTCGACAAGTTGGCATGAGAAGTTGGCAGGTGAAGTAACTCTCGACAAGTTGGCATGAGAAGTTGGCAGGTGAAGTTGGCAGCCGCTTTTAGAAGAAGAACCCTTCGCAATGCTTCCGGGAAAAAAGAAAAAGAAAAACAGCCTGAGTAAATTTGAACTTGTCCGGTTCACACAACCTGCGTTTGCAACTTTAAAAGCAAGAGCAGCGGGACTCTTACGGTGTGCAAACTGGCCCAGCTTTCACACGACAAGTGTGCATCCAAACCTGGGACAGGGCAGACCGGCCCTGAAATGATGCGACCGCCCCTTGGCACACCTCTCCTCCACAGTTGGCATCAAGCAGGTTTCTTTCAACTGGTTGGTTTCTCGAGAAGCTACGAGTTTCTTGTAACATTGACCCCCTTATTAATCAAACCCAGTTTATTTGTAGGGGGGTGTTCCCCTCCAAAAGTGAACAATCCCCACTAAAACCAGGGAGACCCCCATATTAATTAATAAACAGGGGTTTACTTTTTAGGGGGTGTTCATTACCCAGGCTTTCGAACAGAACCCCGGAACACCGGCAAATCCAGGCCTCCAGTCACCAAGCAGGTGGTCGGGAAGACCGCAGGCCCAGGGAAGTTCCCCAAGGAGGAGGCCGACAAGGACATGCGATCCTCCGCCAAGACCGTCTGCTCGGAGGCAGAGTCTACCTCGCCAGGTCTTTGAGGTAGATTCATTCGGCGAAAAAAAAAAAAAAGAAACCGAAAAACGATCTCAAACTCTGTGGGTAGGGAAGGAACGGGGGATGACTTGTGGGGAGTTTGCATAACTGCATACATAGCTTAACTGTGACTCTGCTGAACCAAAGATCAACTTTGACTAAAACGACACGTCCTCGACATGCGGCTGAGTGGAAGTTACTGAACGAGGTGAATCCGATGCGCTGCTCGCTCAGGCTGAGGTGTTTCTGATGCTGACTCATGTATTTCAAGGGGTGGGGCGTACAAGCTGGCAATCTTGAAAACGTAACAGGGGCTGCATGGGACCCTCCATGCCAACGTATATTTGCAACACTCTTGGAATCTAGGGCGGGCCCAACCAACAGACGAGCAGTTGTCTGCCCTTCAGCACCCAGGCAAGCTTCAAACATGTTCCAACAGGGTGCTGACAAACAGGCCATGTTCCGTTGTGCAAGTGACAGCTCTCAAGCCAGTCTATGCAAAAGAACAACCGCGAGATTTCAAGTCACGACCAGGATAACAGCAATTGCTCACATGCACCAGCAAGCGCTCAAGGCAACGAGCTTGGTATAAACCAACTGCGAGGTGCGGCAAGGCAGGCTGAAAGGATTGTGCAGCCTACCCGGCTTATGCCCCCCATTTTTTTAAAAACAAATCGGTACTGTTCAGCCACAGGCCCGGCATTTGCTTTCTCCCACTTCCTGCGTGGAGTAGTCAGAAAAGTCCAAGCTCCTTGTTTGCTAATATGGTATCTCCAAAAAGTTTGAAGTTCAGGAACTCAGGAAGTGAGTTGGGCCATGGATCCAACCAAGCGATCCGGCTGACCCGCCTGTGTGGACATGGACACTTCCAGATTCACCCCCAGTGGCTGCAGCTTGTCCTGGCGCAAGAGCCTTGACTCGGCAACTTTCCCGATCAACGCTCGACAAATGGGAAGGGAAGCGTCAGGCCAAGTCTAAAGGACCCTGGATGCCCCGATTGGCATAAAGCAACGAATCAGGACAAATCGGATTGCGTCTTGCCTGCTTGCGGCCGCCTGCAGAATCTCCCTTGTGCTTCGTGCGGTACAGATCATGTTGCAAAACAACGTGTGCAAACATCAATTTCGGAGTCTTTTGGTTTTAGGCAATCAACCGTATGCTGCCCCTCAACATTTGCATTGCTGCCGTAACGAGAAGGATACCTTCAGAAGATTTCTGATCACCGGTATGGACCGTTCCGCGGTGATCCGGACGTCTGGATCAGTCTGGTTCACTTGCCTTTTTGTGTGGATCGGTCCTTTTTGGGTGTGGGGTTTGATCCTTGGTCCGGACCTCAAATTTTGAGCCGCAGCCTTGTGTGTAACTCCCCTTTGAGCCAGTGGCTCGCTACACCCTCTAGCAGCCAAGCCACTCAGCCTAAACATGCTAGGAGGCACAAAGAGCGAAGGCACAACACCATGTTCAGTCACAGCGAGAATTCGTGTCTTGTGCTCACCTACCAGGAAGCCCATGTGAAACCAACCATGGCGTGAAGCAACTTCAGCCTCAAAGGATGCCTGCGCTGACAATGCCATGACCCCTTCCCTCCACTCCACATGTTGCCGCAGTTTGACCCCTGAAAAGTCCCTTGTTTTTTTTGCCTCTTGGGAAAGCAGCCCTTTGCTCTGCCCGCAGAACTCTCAGAACAACTTTTCGGTCCGTGCCGACCCCGGAGGCCGCCGCCGGCTGCGTGGGGCGACACCGCAGCACGTCCGGGGCCAAGAGCTCCGCGGGACTGCGCTCCGCTGGGAGGTACTTGTCCTCGCGAGTCGGGGCCCAAGGGTCCCATGACTCCCCAAGGGCCAAAATGTTTGGTTTGTTTGGTTCTAAAAATGGAGGGGGGGACCCCCGCAAATTCGGTTGGTGTGACTAGAAGGGACTCAAGGGCCAAAATGGTTTTGGTAGTTTGTTTGGTTCTTAACACGGGGGAACCCTGAAAAAGCCATCCATATTTTGTTTGGCGTCCGTTTGGTTCTTAAAAAAATGTTGGGAGCCCGAAAGGGCCATACTTTTTTGGGTAGTTCGTTTGGTTCTTAAATTGGAGGAACCCTGAAAATGGGTTGGTGGCCATATTATTTTGCAGTTCGTTTGGTTCTAAAAATGGAGGGGTGGGACCCCCATAAATTCGGTTGGTGTCGTTTGGAATAAGCCCCAAGAAGGGACCCTCAAGGCCAAGATGTTTGTTGTCCATTTGGGTAGGTCTCTCTTTTTATTTGGGTAGGTCTCTTAGAATGGGGGAAACCCTGAAAACCGGTGGCTTCCTTCGGTGTTCTTTAAGAAAAATACTGTCCGACAAGACACATTTCGGATTTAACCACAAAAGTTATAAATCAGCGGGAGCGTCCACATTTTGTCCCTGTCCAAAAAGACACACTTGGTATAAATCAGGGACGCTCCCGCTGGGCGCTGGATCCCGAGACTGCGAGGCTCTCGAATATGGATTGACCTCCGATCACTCCCCCAAGCCAGCAAACCAAACAGGGGTGAATGCAAGAAAACGCTGCCAAATGCAGCATTGTTCAAAAAGTGGCCTGTTGCGCTCTTGCTGCTTGACACGCTTCAAAATTGCCGATTTGCTTCCAACTCAAGGAATACCATTCAAAGTGGTAACCATGAGGAGGACCTCAAGAGTTCATTGCTGCGGGGAAATCCAGCGACCCCTGTTTCATGGGTGAGTTATTGCAGCACACCCAGGTGGAATTCGTTTAACTAGTTCCCTGGCTTTCAGAGAGCACTACATGCAGCATGCATTCCAGGTTCCCAGCAAAATCGTGCTTGCTCAGCTTACATTGACATCTTCAAGTGTCACAGGAAAGCAGGGTCCCCAAAATAGGGCCCAAAGAAACTCCGCGACAAGCCTGAATGCGCAGTTCTAGTGTCTAGAGGACATCCTGTCAAAATTAGGGGATGTCTACTGTATATTAAAGGAGCCTTAGGTCGCAAAACCTTTGACGCCTGAAGTTTGCCTGGATCCAACTGGTGGTTTGGTTTTTTCGCTGTGTTCGGGGACCTTTACCTTCCCCATTTGGCTTAAAGAGCCGTTGTCAAACCCCCAAGCCGCCCACAAATTAACATGGAACCCAAAAGTTTTTGAGTTTTTTGGGTTCCATGTCGAGCTGTCGGGGAGTAAGGGGTAGCTAAAGGATTGGCTCCAGGGCGCGTAAAGCCAGACGCACTCCACCAGCTCTGGCTGCAGCAGGCGGAAATACCTGATCGGGTTAAAAGGAGTTAGGCCAGGAAAACAGCAACACAAACCAATCCCCTTTGCGCCTTCCTAGCACCCAGATCCTTTCTTTCAGTCCTGGCAGGGATCCCTACTCAGTTCACATAGGATTCCCGCATCACACCAAGTGGCCCTTTCCGCAAGCATGACAGGTTGTGACCAACTTCCCTTCCCCGAAACTTCACTAAGATTTCAGTGAGTGTCAAGCACGCCCAACCGAAGCCATCGTCACTTTCCGAAGGGAAGTACAAGAAAGAAGACGTGCTGTGCGAGTGGCTGGTGATAGCATGCGGGTTCCTCTGCATTGTAGCGAGCTAGGGATCATACGATCAAACCTTGAAAAGCCCCCTGATATAAACGCCCCCATTCATGCCAAAGGTTCCCTGGAGGTTGCTCTTGCATTTCAATACGAAGATCCTGGTGTAAATCACTGCCTCGTTGAGATCCGTGCAAGCAGCTTGGCAATTACAGCCGGACTCGGACGCTCCAAACTGGCCTCATTATTTTACCATGGTCAAAGTCACCCTCTAACTGGTGGGTTAAAGGGAAATAACCCCATTTCTGACTTTGATAACCCCCAAAACCCGCCAAAGTAATGACCCCTGCCAAAACAGTTCATGTTTCAAGCCAATGGCAACCTGCTTAACAACCAACCGTCGGCACTGAACATCTGCCTCGGATACTCACTTAGACCCGTTGTTTCCTACTTATGGGCTCACAAGATGCAAATGCTTCCCAACCCTTTTGCAGTGCAACATGGAAGTGCAGGGCTGCAATGCTAGACTGCAAAACCATTTCATCTTTGTTCTTCAATTCATTTGTATCAATGGGGAGCCGGCGTCAGTCTTGCACAACTGTCCAAACCTTCCTCTGCTTGCACTGCACGTGCAATGGTGGAAGCAGTGCGTTCTGCCACAAACAGCGCTATTCTCCACCCGTTGGCAAGTGTTGCAGGGTTTGGGTTTGTCATGAATTTAGGACGACCCCAAAATGGTCGCGTTAAAAGAAGACGCAGCACCCGTTTCTTGAGGCCTGCCGGTGACAATGAAGTCACCCTCCGGCGCGAAGGTGCGGAAGGTGGTGTTCGGCACAATGGACAACACCTCTGGCTCCCTGGCGGGCACCATGAATGCACCCAACTGAATGGCTCGTCTTTTTGGAGGTGACCCTGTGGGCTGGTTTACTGGGAAAAAAAAGAAAACCACAAAATGGTGATCCCTAAAATGACATGCCTGGGATACTTCCTGGTGTACATGACGTGCCTTGTACCTTGAATGCACATGTACCTTTTACCTTGAGGAAACAGGACATCGGCAGCATACAGCAGTCCAGGTACCCTGCCCCATAAGTACTTCAGGTGTCGCCCCCAGATCCGGATGACTAGAGGCTGAACAAAAACAATGGGGACTTGGCCCGCGTAGCCATGGCGCCAGGTTCAAACCTTGAAAAGCCTTCCCCTCTCAATACATCTCTATGTCATAGTCTACCCTTGTTTGGTTTGGTTTCAAAAGGGAAGCAAGGGAAAACCACGTTTTCCAGCCCCCTCCCCTCAAAACAAAAACGCCAGCACATAATATATATATATATATATGTATGTGTGTGTATAATATATATATATATATGTATATATATATGTGCTTTTTACACATCTGCAGGTGCATTTAAGTAGCTACGCAACTACAGGGTCACATGAACCCATGATCCATGCCAGGTCCTTCCGAGGATCCCGGGTCTGAACATCATATCTAATGAAGTGGCCATGGCTTGGAAAATACGTGTATATATATACATATGTAGGCATCATTCGATTCTTGTTGGTGCAACGAATTGGGGGCCAAGCGAATAACATCATTCAAGAGAAGCATATCCAGAAAAGATGTATCCGTCTGAGTGTCTGCAAGCTAGACCGTAACGGGCACAACTGACAAAATGATGACGCCAACAGAACATCGCAAACAAAAGCCGTCCACATGGGGAGGGTAAACAACAGGGAAGACTTGGATCAAGCAAATCTCTCCGAGTGAAAGCTTGGTCTGCCAAACCATTCCCAATCGATTGCCCGAGCGGAACGCGCCTATACCAAAGCCAGGCGCGCTTGAAACGAGTCCAATCCTGACCATTGGGGGAAATCTCGAAGTAGCTGAGAACGCTGTCTGCAGTCCTGGCTTGGACGACGAGCACAGGTCCATGTGCAATCCGGCCACTCACAAACTAATCAGCATATGTAAGAATGCCGCCTTCAGTTTCAGATACAATTTGAGCACATGTGGGCATAGCACGTCAACTTGGCCAGCATCCGGCAACGAGGAGACCCAACTGGATGCCCAAGAGACCCGACTCCACGCTACCAACCATGCCCACTTTGCGTTTTCAGGATGCCTATCTTTCAACTACGTAGTGCAACTAGTGGGCCTGCGCCATCGGGTTGTATACCAAATACGATAAAGTTTATCCAACATTCTTCTCCCGAAATGAACAAGGGTACCCAATACAATAAAGTGCCTCTTACAAAAAGAAGCAGGGACTTAATCCGGGCAACAAACCGTTCTGTTTTCCGGAGTTTTTGGTTCTGGAACAAGGCCCATCCCCCAAACTGCCGATTTCCTTGCTTATCCGTTAAAAAAGTGCTCTGAGCAAACAGCTTTCAACTGGCCCCCACATCCGCCATTCCTTGATGTTTCAAGTTGATGTGAATGAACGCATCCTAGACATGGCATTGTCTCTATACCAACTTGTTGGCCATGATTGATGTCAACTGGAAAAAGCTGCTTGTCAGCGAAAGGTTTCGATTGGATTCCGGTCGCCTATGCGACCCCCTCGGCAGGTGCAGCCTGTGAAGACACATTCAAAACAATAATTGATAGCAAACAGTTCCAACATGGGGTCCACCGAATCAGCTTAGAGTGCCCTCTGCCCTGAAGAGCGCGTTCGTTAATGATCAACATGAGGCGGGGTCAAAATCCTAGCACCAAACTGGACAAAATGTCGAGGTTGGCTAATGCTGGAAACTAAAGGGACCCCTTTTGCAACTACATGCGCCCTCTGAAAGGATTAAGAATCAGCTTTGAACAGCCCAGTTCACCTTCAAACATAAAACGCAAACAAAAAAAACCAAGGCGCACGGCATACCTCCAAAGAAAGGGCCCACACCATTGATGTCTTGTTGCTGCTTAAGAATGTGTTCCATGTTCCCCTGTTGGTTTCACAGGGACTACGTCCGTGCCGGAAACCACCCGCCTGTTGTCCGGGCGCAGGTCCCATGGCAGCTGCGGGGCCGTGCACCGCATGAAGCCCGGCGTGACGTCCGTGGCAGGGCTCTCGCCCTCGGGGAAGTCCACTTCCCATGGGCGGAAGGGGAGGAGCCCGGGGATTTCCCTTTGAAAAAAAAAACAAGCACACCATATTAGGAGGGACTAAAAAACACCATATAAAGTCCCAATTAGGGTTGACATACAATAAAGACACACCATCTTAAGCCCCAAACATCATGTAATTTACATTTCTGACCCTCCCCCCCTAGCCAGGGTTTAAGGGGGTGGTGATGACACACCATGACACACCCACATACAACTCGAATCCGCTCTGGGACATGGGTCCAGCATTCATAGGAACTTTGACAGGGCATAAACGAAGGTTGGGTACTTCAAACCAAGGGAACGCATGAAAGCTTTAAAGAAACCCTGCAAACTGCGTTGTTCCTCCCAAAATTCAAGCGTTCCAAGGCTTAGGTCATGCCTCTATGGCATCGCTCCTGTAGTAAAGTCTGATGATTCAAGTTTAAGAAGCAGGGCTCTTCCCACTGTTGCATCACTCTTGACATGCAATGCTGGCAGTTCAAAGCTCACCTGCAGGATAGAATGCAGAACATACATTGAGCTGGAACCATCACAGGTGGCTCTTGTATCCCCACTTTAACATCACTCAGAGTTTGAACATGGCCCAAAGTGATGCCGGTACCCAAAAGGGAACCATATCGGACCGCAAGGAGCCAACCGAGACTGGATTGACTTTCCATGGAACCTGCTTGAGGCTGTTGGGACGATCTTCCGTCTATCTTCCGTCTCTGAGGGCCTTCTGGTGGGTTCAAGGTTGTTCAAGTCAGACCAAACCGGGGCTGTGCGAAACGACCACTTCTGTGATACAACCAAGAGGGCGAACCACAAAGGCTAACCCTCCACAAGGGCGAGATTCCCAGAAGTATCACAGAAGTGGTTGGACCCCGAGTGATCCCACGACCCTGGACCAAACTAAGGCTACTTCCTGCGGACTGAACCTCAGCGTGACGTCTGAAGTCGGTTTCTTCAGGGCCTGTCAAAGCGAGGGAGGTTCGCTTGGGAAACCTCCGGTCCCATGTCGAAGTCCCAAACCCGAGCTCGCGGATCAAAAAAGCGGGAGGAAACAAAAACAATCAAAGGCCAGGGATGCCAGGAGAAGAACGAGCAACAGTCAAAAGCAGGGAGGAAAAACAACCACAATCCAAAGCAACAAACAGAACAGGGCCCTTTAACAGAGGACTCTACACATTGGACCCGACTTTTAGCAACTCACATGGACCCCTCGTTTTGCTTCAAGGTGCCAGGTCGGACCATCGGCACCACATCGGCTCTTGGAAGTTCTCGCCGAACAGGGCGATGGTGAGATCGTTGCCTCGCGGGGTCGCTGGGCTTTTTCACAACCCAAACGGTATGGGAGGTGAAGAGAACTGACAGGTTGTTGCGGCCCCCTACTAAAAATGAACAAATGAACAGAACCAAAGAAAACAAACTTGGCAAGAGTGAAGTTAAGCTTGGTAGAATGGTAGAGGGGCGGCCTTTGATTTTCCAAGGAAATCATAGGGGTTTTGGGAATGAGCCCTAGGAAACCGGGATAGGGTCATTATCTTCCCCGATCGAACCGATCGGTCTTTGACGGCAGTGGGCTCAAAATGGGCTGGGATCTGCAACCCTAATTCATTCCGTAACGTCTAGTGGGATATGGGTGTCTGTATTTAAGGAACCCTTAAATGGCTTCGGCTTTCCTTTTTTTCTCACTATCCCAAAACAATATGGGGGTGCCAACTCAAACAAGACACACCCCATATCACTGCAAGTACGACCAAACCCAGGTGTCCCTCTGAAACGAATAGATGGCACTGGCGAAATGTGAGACACTTTTTCTGGCCTGAGCATCTGGCACTCAAAAGTTGGACCACCAACCTATTTTCGGAAAACGCAAAGAGTTCAGCTCGAGGCAAACACATGACATCGACACCGAGACATCCCCCGCTGCAAACCAGGGTGCTCCAGCCGCTGGCAGGGAAGGGGCTGGCATACCTGACCTGGATCGATTCCAGTTGCAACATGGGTGTGTGTTTTTTGGACGTTTTTTCTCGCGACTGAATTTGTAACATTGCCTTTTTGTGGACGTTTTCTCGCACCGCCTGAATTTGTGTGTTGCTGAATCTTAATGTTGGGTCGTGAGTGCCGGCTGTCTGGGACCCAAATTCGCCTCCTGAAAGGCAGTTCTTCCGCCATTCCCCAGAAATCCACGGTAAGCTGACGCCATAAGCCCGACACCCAGTCCCATGGTCCGAGATGGGCTGAACAATTTCTGCTAATAGAACGCCCTCAGAACATTCATAGCACCAAGGAACATGGTCGTCACAGGGAAGGTTCCCTTACATACTTGTGTCACGGATGCACTTCGGGATCAAATGCCCCAAGAACCAACTCTGTATGTTGTCTGGAGCCTCATGCCGGATGCCGGTAAGACACACTCTCTTGCGACTTGAGAGGACCCCCCCCCCGGAGCTGCGCCAACTCGTCAACCCTTGGAGGCCCCCCGCACTGCCCCTCCCCCCCCCCCATGGGATCAATGCGAATCATGAGCCAGCCAAGCTAAAGCAACTTCCTCCGTAAGGGAACCGACAAGCAAGTATCTCTGCGCACCCCGTATCGCAACACCCAACGCTTTAATTTTTAGCCACCTGTGCGGCAGAGTTGCGAGAACCTGTTGGGGTAGCTTTTGTGGCTATAGCTGATACATGGAGACACCAGCAAGTCGGCTTTGGGGCACGTCAGCATTAAGTCAAAAGTCTGACAGCTGTCTGATTCCAAAGACAGGCTCAGTGCAATGGTGGGGCCTGCGAAACCCCAAGATGTGCACAAGAGACATAACAGAGGCTTACAAAGGCCACATCAAAATACATTTGCCAATCCACGTACCTGGCCCAAATGATACCAGGGAATCGGTCGCTGGGGTCGTGTTCCAGATGGTCTTGCTTGCCCCTCCCTTGCTCCGCCTGTGGCATCTTCACATACTCATAGGTGAGGTTGCCGAAAAAGTTCTGACCTGACACACATCTTTGCGGCTGCTCCTAGCCATGTCTCAAACCGGAGAGAGATCACCAACCCAACCCATAGAATTCGTCAGGAAAGGGATCTGCATCTTGGACAGGGCTGCTTGAATCCCTCACATGTCTACGTTCTGAACAACGACGTGCTTGAAAAGTTACAGGCTTACAGGGCCCCGGGCTCCACATCCCGTCCCTGCATCCATCACAAAGGTGCGTGATCTCGTCTTTTTTCTGGTCAGCCGTGCACGCCAACTTTACATATGGCCAAAAGCAAGGGCCCCTAGTGATCCATGACCCAAAGACGCATGCCTTTGGTGCAACTGCAGAAAGGAAGCCCCGCAAAGCCTCTTCATGGCGCAAAGAGTCCACTTGCCACCATTTGCGCCGACCACTTTTGCCTTTGGCCGTGCGGCCAAACGCGGAAAATACCCGTTGTTGCCAAGAAGCCGTTGAAGGTCATTTGCACCGTGACGAAGCCGAAACAATCCACAGAGCTGTTCGGCCCGACGCCGTCAAGGTACATGGCCTTTCAACCGGCAGAGGAAAGGGGCGAAGCCCCGGACAAGTGGGTAAATTGCTTTCTGGAACAAACCGGTTGCACAGTCCTGTTGTTTATGATTTCCACTGCTCCTCCACAGTTTGAGTGCTCAACGCGAGGCCAACATGGCCTCTTACCAACACAGAAAGCAAACAACACATTGCTGCATCATTGATTGGAACCTGCGAAATGACTTCACGTTTCCAATTAAAAAAGGAAAAGGTTGCTTGCTCGAAGTCAACCACACAAAACGGCAATGCAGGATGGTCGCCCAAACAATTCCAAGACCCCTTGCACCTTCCAAAAGGAAATCCCACCCCCTCGCAACAGCAAAGGGTCTCTGTGAGGCGCCCCATGGGGGCCAAGATCAAACCACCAAAGAATCGTCATCCAGCTTTGCCTGAGCGCTTCGCTCGGCCAGCTGGCTTTGGAAGAACCCCCACGGCCGTTGGCATGCCCCATGCGCGGAGGCCTGCTCACAGGGCGGCGTAAGGCATGTGAGACGGGGGTTGGCGGGATCGTCCGGGTTGTACACCTCCACTGTGGAGACCGGCGCGTATCCAAACACCTCAGCGAGAGGTTTGAGCTTTCACACCGGGCGAGAGTGGCCCCCCCCCTTTGCAGGGCAGGCAGCGCAGTGATGGAGCCATCTACCGTCACCAAGTTTCAATGCTGATGCCAGGCAACTATGCCATAATTAAAGCATTTCTTTGGGCTAGTTAGCGCAAGGGTCCGCCACATTTCCTCTTCAGCGCACCGAGCTGACCCAGCTGAAGGCACGCAGGAAAGGGAGGGCAACCAGTAGAGGCCGCTGGTCACGATGGTCACGTTGGTGCCGCCCACCCGGAAGCCACGATCCGGGATGATGGCTGTGACCTGAAGGTGGAACCATTTTGTGGCTCAACTCTTGTATTTACAAACCGGGTGCATCATCATATGGGGTTGTCTCAATATAGGGGTCCCCTCCTCAAAACTTGGTATCCACAAAGGGCAGCCCCAAAAAGAGACACACATTACAATATACACATATATACATACAGTATGTATCTTGCCAACATCCCACACCGGTTGAACCTACAGTTCCCTCGCTCAAGAAAAGGCGCCAGGGAGGTAGCCGAGGCGATCCAAACCAGGCCAGTGTCCACAAAGGTCTGGTCATCCACCGAGTAGTAGATGGGGTACGTGCCTGCGCTGAGCAGGTGTCCATTTCAGCTCTAGTTGCTGTTTGGATGTTTGGTTCCGGGATTGAACCCTTCTTGTACAGGGTCTGGGAAACCCCTCCTTATCCACCAGACCACCAAGCCACAATCCAGACAAGGGGAAGCTGACCATTTGCTTAAGCCCCCTGCACCCAAAAAAACTCTTGTATGTCCAACAGGGGTGGTTTCGTGTACACCCTGCGAGACTCAGAATACCCCGCAAGAAATGAACAGCTGTTGCTCTCAGAAGAACCGCTGATCAATTTCGTTGATAAGTGACCAAGCACCAAAAGGGCATCTCCAAAAGGAATGTGCAAAAGGAGTGCGCAAAATTGCGCAAACACTTCAGGGGATCCCGTAAAACCCTGCAATCTCATGCATACTTTCTGTACACATGCAGATATAGTTACTATATCAACGCTCGCGTACCTATCACCAACCGCTTTGAGAAGCATGTGTATACATGGGTCCCCCCTCCCCTTCCCCCCCCCCCCCCCAATCAAAAAAAAATACAAACAAACAACTACAACATCAACAACTCCCAAGCCTAGACCAAGTTGGCCCCACAGAACAAGCAGCTCCGATCCGCCCCCGGGCGATTTTTTTTCCTCCGGCTTCGCCTGGCTCTGGCTGCAAGGGCGCCACGGCACGCAGCGTGTCCGTGGTGGCGGCGGCGGACACCTCTTGCCGCTTCGGTTCTCAGGGAATTCTTGGGGTGAGGGGGTTGGAACCATGGTTGTTGTTTTTTTATTGGAAAACCATAAGGGATGGTTCAGTGTTGGGAATGAACTAGTGTTTTTTTCTGCGAAACTATAAGGGATGGTTCAATGGGGTCATTCCCTCATTCCCAAATGAGAAAAGGCAAGTGGCATACTGAAAAGCCAAACTAGGCCATGGGGGGTGTGGCGCACTGCAAGCCAAATTGGGCTCTGGGAGAAACATGCGCGCTTGTCAAAGCCAAGAGCGCTTGGACGCAGACGAAAGAACTCGCCAAAGGGAGGACTGGCTTGTTCGTTTCACAAGGGGAGTGGGACTTCATACTATCATTCTACAAAACACCATTGAACAACACCTGCTTGGTCGTACGAGGGCGCAAGGGTGACTTTCTAGTGTCAAAAGCAGGGCTAAGTTTCCTGCGTTTGGAGCAGTTTGGCAAAACACGGCCCCGTTGATATTGCTTGATTGGATGCTCAAGGACGTTGGTGCATGACAGAACGATGGCCATTAGGGACCTCGATGCTCAACCCCCGAACCAATACCTAATTGCGCAGAAGCAAAAGCATCCCTGAAAATAATAAATACCGGTCACATGATGCAAGAAAAATAAATCATGAGCAAAGGCCTTGTGGGTGGTCTTGAAGGGAAACCAAGAGGGAAACCACAATTTTGGGGGTTTCCTAAACACACAAGCACACACCCTTCATATGTTGTCCTCCGTCCAAGCTTGACCATGTGCTTTACTTTGTTCCCTGGACAACTTGAAGGCGAGAGAGAAGCTCTGGCAAGGGACTCTGGCCACACCCTCAAACATTAATTGTGAGTGTTGGCTGCTCTACCTTATGCCGGGCCCGCCAGAGAGGATTGATCAGCATGGCGGGGGGGTTGGTTTACTTCGGTCTACATTGATCATCGCCCCTCTTCTCTCCAGGTGACTTCCGGCAATCAGAGGTGGCTCACATGCGAAGTGCTCCCAGGCGATAAACAACAAAGCATGGAAACAGCACAATTACAGTATGGCCAGGCAAGCAAACTGCACAAATGTCTAGCAAGAACAGTGCTTCCACACACGCACGAGGACGTGCAACAGCAAAGGGCAGCTAAAAGGAACACCACCATTTGCAAGGCCTAACATTTTGACACATACCCAATAGCGCAAAGACCCGGCCTTGACCTCGCCAAACTTGAGGAAGATGTTGGGTGTGCGCTTGAAGTTGCGGCCGCTGATGGAAGCCAGTGTTTGGGTGCCTCGGGCAGAGCCCGTCCCGAAATGCCAACTGAACACCAGCATCCCTCAAGGCAACGGAACCAGAAGCACGATGCTTCAGCGAAAAACACTCTAGACCTTAGACACGAGTTTGTGCGGGGCTCCACGTCTTCAGGCAAACCTGACAACAAGCTCCCTTGAAGGACGCATTGCGGTTCAGGGACCTGATGTCAAGTTTCACGTCACTTTGTAGAGTGGTAGGCCCAGCAACAAAACATTCGACCGAGCAAACTGCAATTCATGCGGCCTCCAAAAGCAAACGCAGTCGAAAGCGACATCCCTAATCCCTTCTTCATACTAATGAACTGCCGCCTAATAAAGACAATTTGTCCAAACACCACAAAAAGCCAGGTCCGGGCAATGCTAGATTTTGAATAGGCCAGTTCTGAACCAATACTAAGCCAGCTATTCTCCCTCGTGACCCAAGTCGAGCCCTATTAGAGGTCCCCCCTCCCAATCGTTTCCTCCAGGACCAGAACCCGAAACTTGCCAGTGGTTCTTTGATTTCTTTACTTGCAAATTGCATTTGGGGCGCATTGTTTGGCTTTTGAAAAGCAATGACACGGTGACTCCACTGCCTTGTTTTGCGCCGCGGCCTGCGTGTCTGCATTTTCAAGTCCTGTTGTCTGTGAGCTTTTTGGACCTGTGGAACTTCGTGCTACAACTCAAATTACTCCCTGCCACCCTGCCGGCTGAGGTGATTTTTTTTTTTTTTGGCGTAGCCCTGGCATAAGCCTAACCCTGGCACAGCCTGGCGTGCACTAGAGGAGGCACTAACGGACAAAGGTTTAGGGTAGGTTTAGGGTGGGTTTGGGGTGGTCCATTTGGGATAGTTTCAGGCCCGGCATCATTTTAACATCCTCAGCGTCGTTTTCAACATCCTCGGGTTCCAGGTTGGCTCCGGGTGGGTTCCAAACTTGTTGAGAGAAAATTTGGGGGTGGCTGTGCTTGCGGCAGATGGTTTAGTGCTTGTTTATGGTGGGGCTTCTTGGGGTTGGTCTCGGGTAGGTTTAGAGCTGGTTTCGGGTGGGTGTAAAATTGGCTGCGGCCATGGCTTTGCTTAAGCCCACTTGGGTGGTTTCAGGTAGGTGGCACCCGCAGCCAATTTTAAACCCACCCGAAACCAGCCCTAAACCTACCCGAGACCAACCCCAAGAAGCCCCACCATAAACAAGCACTAAACCATCTGCCGCAAGCACAGCCACCCCCAAATTTGCTCTCAATAGGTTTGGAACCCACCGAGGGCCAACCTGAGCCAACCTGGAACCCACCCTAAACCCAGCCTGAACCAAAACCTGGTGATGCTGAGGATGTTGAAAACGACGCTGAGGGTGTTAAAACGATGCCGGGCCTGAACCTACCCTGAACGGACTACCCCAAACCTACCCTAAACCCACCCTGAACCCATCCCAAGCCTTTTGTCCCACCGAGCCTCCGACCAACCAACCAACCAACCAACCAACCAACCAACCAACCAGCCAGCCAGCCAGCCAGCCAGCCAGCCCCAGGGTCAGCCCTGTGCCAGGGCTAGGCCAACAAAAAACACACCCTCTACCCACCCTGCCACACAAACAAAACAAACAGGGCCCCTAATAGCATGTTATCGTTTCTTGTCCGGGAAAACATCTTTTGATTTGGGGGGTCGCAAGTGTTTCTTGGGGGAAGGGATTAATCAGCATCCTCGCCGATCTAAACTTTCCTAAAAACATTAATGCCCTTGGGTGGCCGAATGGTTAACGCACGCAAACACACGAACACAAAGAGACACGATGACACGTGTCTTGGTCCAGTCAAGTACAAAAGGCGCGGCTTGGCAAGGGGCTGAAAAGGCCCCCGGTGGGCAGCACGGAGATGAACCTGAGCAATGCAGATGGGTCGAGCAAGAAGTCCCAACACGACTGAATCAAAGAAAAAGGAGAAGCTAAGACTTGTTTGTTTCTGGGTTTGTCGCTTGCCATAGCTATCAAAGGCCATGCCCAACAGGCCAACCTCTTCCATGCTTTGCCGGTTGCTGCCCACATCCATCTTTATATGGGTATGGGTCAAGATTTACACCACGAGAAAACCGCAGGTTTTGTTGGTTTTATGTTTCCAGTTACTGCAGTTCCATTTGGGGGTTACCCCATTTTTGACCCATCCATCTTCACAAGTCTTGGCATTCAAGGCTTTGACTCGGGTAGGTTTGATTGCTCCGGGATGGGCAGACATGCGGCTGGACGAGCGGCTGGGACGTCACAAGTCTAAGCCCAAACCTGGTCGGGTAGGGAAAACCACCGAACAAAGGCTCACTTGCCCAAAGGACCCAGAACTCGAAGGTTCACCTGGGGCCATGGCTAAAAATGGACCAAAAAGGGAAAACCAAAAGGTCAAAACGTCAACTGGGAAGGCCTCCATCTGCGAACAATCAAGAAAATACCTGGCCCAAAAGTCCGAAGATATGGAACAGCGCGGCTTCCGCCTGAGTGCCAAGACGCTCGAAGTCTTGCAGGTAACTGTAGATGTTGTTCAAATCCGTCCTCGCACACCCGCCTTGGAACCCCCTTCTTGGAGACTTCTGAGCTGAGAGAAGTGGGACTTTGTGAATGAGAAGAACAACAAACACGAACCAATACAAATCAAATAGCATCAAAGGGTACCCTTCACAACGGGTTTCTCCTCCAATCACTTTGGACCAATGCAATTCCTGGTTTTCTGAGCCAATGATATTTAAAACATGCTCGGAAAACATCTCAACGTGTGACATCATGTCATTGTTAGAATGCATGCTTGTATTTCATGTAACGTTGTAGCATCCCATTCCATCCTCGTCTGTCCGCCGTCGAAGGTTAAGTCGATGGTCACGTCCTTAGGTACCAATGGTGGCAAAGCCTGTTTTTGCGAATATCCAAGAACAGAGCCCGAAACACGCAATACAATTATCATGCTATGCGGACATGCGTCCGATGATCTGGCAGGTGCTGCGATATCTGGGATTCATAAAAAAGAAGGTGTCACTAAGATGCCACCGCTCACACTGTTTAATATAATCTAATATAATATAATATACATATATATATATATATGTTGCCAACACTGCAACCAGCATGAATGTTTGCATGCCGGCTACTCGCAACAACACTGCTGCGGAGATGCTATCACAAGCCGATACACTTGGCAGCATGCGAGCAATCCAAGGCCCCCTTCTCACTTCAACATCAAACCAAGCCGCTGCAACAGTGCATCCATTGTTGGCTTGCGACTTGCCCGCTGCAACATAACACGTATGACTCCCAATGCAGACTGCCCATGAGCCAGATTGAAGCGGAGAGCTTCTTTCAAATTGAAGCAACGCCCAGAGACTTTCCAGCTTCCCTCAAGTTGGTGGTTTGGATTGGTGGTTTGGTGGTTAAGGAGGGGTTTCCCATGTACTACAAAAACCAGAGGTTCACATCAACAACCACCAACCCGAACCACCAACTAAAGGTGATCTTAAATTCATAAATCATATCCTTCTATAAAGCAAAACAACGCCGCCGAACCTGCTCAACAGGCCCTCGGGTGCCTAAGCCAACATCCACAAATGAAAAGTCGACCCGGCAAGACGCCCAAGCTGTAAATGAGACATGTTACTCAAAGATACTCAAAGCCCATGCTATATATCAAACACATAGAACGACTGGCAAACAACCGACCAACCAAGCAAACACATGTTCATTGAACAACTACTTCCATGTGCTTAAGCCCCCAGGAAAACTTGGAAAACATACTTCAGTAGCAGGGGAAAATAAACATGTTCTTAAGTAAATGGATGACAAAAGCGAGAACACACCCTTATTGCCAGAGGCTCTGCCGGGGGAACCGCATCGGGGAAGATACTGCTCAGCGCCGGCGCCCGGCATCTCATAGAGCTGCTGCTGTCCACGACCCCTGGTGAGAAGAAGTGACGCCCGAAGATGCAGCCCACCAAGGAGGTGTTCACCTGAAGGCCACGAGGCCCTGGGTTTGAACATTTTGGGCGATTGGGACTAGTTACATGATAACATTGATAATGGTGGCTGTGAATATGTGAAGGTGTGGTACATCCCGCGCGTAAGGTTGAGATAGTATCATCCCTAAACCTTTCCCGGCAAGGGGGAGGCGGGGGGGCGGGGCGGTTTAGCCAGGCCTCGCATGAGCCACCGTCAAACCTAATTATCGTGCCAGGATCTCGTTGATTGAGTTCCGACCCCAACATCCGGTCCATCGCCAGCGGACCTTGGAAAAATCAGTTGCGTTGGGAAGAAAATGCCCCCTTGGCCCTCCCTCCCTTTCCGCGCCGTGGGGAAGACAAAGCCGGCCCCGGTCAGTGTGAGCGCAGCGCCCCCCACTGAAGCAATGCCGTGGCGGGGAGCCACAAAAAGCTCCTGCAACTGCATGTCATGGCAGGAGAAAGCGATGCATCTGTGCGGGCGTGTCGGAGTGTATTCTATTCTTGTCCAAGCCGTCTCTGCGTGATTGCACGTGTGTGCCTGTGTCTCTCATGCGGGTAGGCTTACGCACGCGCACGAGCATTCGTGCACAGACGCCCGCCAGCGCACACTCGCACGCGAGCGTACAGGAAAGCAGCTATACAAAATATGCAAACACAACGCACCCACCCACCCACGCACAAGCACGCAAACACAACAGACAAACAAACAAACAAACAAACAAACACACAAACAAACAAACACACAGACACACAGACACACAGACACACAGACACACAGACACACAGACGCACAGACGCACAGACACACAGACACACAGACACACGTCAGACACGTCAGACACGTCAGACACGTCAGACACGTCAGACACGTCAGACACGTCAGACACGTCAGACACGTCAGACACGTCAGACACGCAGACACGCAGACACACAGACACACAGACACACAGACACACAGACACACAGACACACAGACACACAGACACACAGACACACAGACACACAGACACACAGACACACAGACACACAGACACACAGACACACAGACACACAGACACACAGACACACAGACACACAGACACACAGACACACAGACACACAGACACACAGACACACAGACACACAGACACACAGACACACAGACACACAGACACACAGACACACAGACACACAGACACACAGACACACAGACACACAGACACACAGACACACAGACACACAGACACACAGACACACAGACACACAGACACACAGACACACAGACACACAGACACACAGACACACAGACACACAGACACACAGACACACAGACACACAGACACACAGACACACAGACACACAGACACACAGACACACAGACGCACAGACACACAGACACACAGACACACAGACACACAGACACACAGCACACACGTCAGACACGTCAGACACGTCAGACACGTCAGACACGTCAGACACGTCAGACGCGTCAGGCACGTCACACACGTCACACACGCAGACACGCAGACACACAGACACACAGATACACAGACACACAGACACACAGACACACAGACACACAGACACACAGACACACAGACACACAGACACACAGACACACAAACACACAGACACACACACACACACACACACCAAGACGTGCGCACCCATCTGCATGCCTGTGTAATAATGTTGCTTCTGCATCTGGTCGCGTGCACACGTGCCGGCTTTTACTTGTGATGGTGGATTCCGACTGCGTATGTGTGTGTGTGTGGTGTGTGTGTGGTTGTGTGTGTGTGTGTGTGTGTGTGTGTGTGTGTGTGGGCGCGCGCGCGGGCGCGGGCGCGGCGCGGCGCGGGGGCGCGCGGCGCGGGGGCGGGCGCGGGCGCTTCAGCAAGCGCGCGAGCGAGCGTGCTTGCGAGGATAGGTGGGTGGGCGGGCGTGTGGGTGTGGGTGTGGGTGTGGGTGTGGGTGTGGGTGTGGGTGTGGGTGTGGGTGTGGGTGTGGGTGTGGGTGTGGGTGTGGGTGTGGGTGTGGGTGTGTGGGTGTGGGTGTGGGTGTGGGTGTGGGTGTGGGTGTGGGTGTGGGTGTGGGTGTGGGTGTGGGTGTGGGTGTGGGTGTGGGTGTGGGTGTGGGTGTGGGTGTGGGTGTGGGTGTGGGTGTGTGTAAGTGTGTGTGTGTGTGGGTGGTTGGGGGGTCACATTTACGCAGTCTGAGATCTTGATATGCTGGCTCCAGCCCCATGCGAACCTATCTCCCACCTCCCCGTCCAGTCTCCTGGGTCTTCCGCACAGGAATGTTGTGCTGCCTGAAGTGCAAACTTCGTGGCAGCGGTATCCACACCTTGGAGCCGCGGCTGGGCAGCCGCCGGTCCATCAACTTCCATTTGGTTTTAAGACGCCGGGAAAAAATGAAAAACATGTCCAATAGTGAAATCGATTCCCAATATTAAACCAACAGGGGAAAATAGAACATATTCTTAGGCAAATGGAAGTCAATCACTTTCTTTGGACCTGTCCAAAAGGTCCGGCGTGGCCAGCCCCTTGCAATCTCTGACAGGCAAAAGTCATTTAAGAGGCTGCAATTCAGCCAACGGGAGGCTTAAGCGCCGCTCGAAGCCTCCAGAGTCTTGGTAGAAAGCGGAGGCAGCCCCCGTAGGCTTCTGAAAGACAAAGCCAAGCACTAGATCCATGCTAGAGTTGCTTTCCAACGACAGCCGGATCTACAGCAAGGCTGTTAACAGCATTCATCAAATTAGCCGTCATCTGCCGCCAAGTGTTCTGGCCAATGCACATTCCCATAAGCAAACCAGCAATGCCGTGGCATCCGGTATCTCTGTAACGTAGTTCTCTCTATCTATCTCTTGCTGTCTCTCTCTCTCTCTCGCTCTCCCTCCGTGCCATCTCCTGGCCTAGCACTCTGAGTGCTTCAGTCACTTGTCTAGCGGGCTCCAATGTACTGTGCGGCCAATCCATGGGGCGTCTTAGCCTCTTGGGCTGTCTGAAGTTTCGCACTTTCACACCGGCCATTTTGTTCAAAGGGTAGCCTTTTTTTTCACCTTGGAACTTTTTTTTTTTTGTTATTTTCAAAGGGCCTTTAAGCATGGGGCACATCGATCGATGCGGCGAGTCGGAGACAGCCCAGGCGCCGGGGGGATCCCTGCGAAGCTCACCTCCAGCGTGAGCGGCATATCGTCCCCCTGGCAACGAGCCGCGTGCCTTGAGAGGGCTATGCCGTCTCTAAGTTTGTGACAGCTGCCCCCCCTGCAATTCAAGGGCGCTTGCCTCGACTCGAGATATGCATTGCCCCATATATCCCCATGAGTTGAAGAAATCCAGTCAGTTTGAAAGACACCCAGTGTTTGCCAAAGCGAAGCTGCTTTCAGCATGGGCCGGTAGCCCAAATCAGCACGCCTGGGACTAACTGATGGGTACCAGTGATGAATGCACTGCAGGTCCAATGTTCTAAATGTAGCTGGACTCTCCCGTGTGAGCCACTTGACACCAAGAAAAGATGCACGGTCAGATTGAAGGCCAGAATGCACCGAGCTTTTGGTCACTTTTGGTGGCCAACAAGGTGATTGTCCTCTACTTTTGCCCCCATCTCCCTCTCATTTCAATGCATCCTCCTCACTCTACGCCATCGATCGCGCGCCAGCCCTGGTCCTCTCCGCCCGCATCTGCCGGAAAAACATTTCCCGCCTCCCGGCTGAAGGGCGCAAAGGCGCTGTGGGCCGGCACAGGGCAAGTGATGTGGTCCGGGCCCCCGATGGTGATGGGAACCGCAAAGGTGCCTGCGGAGCATTGGCATCGACTGATGCCCTGGTCCGAGTCGGTAGCCACCTAAAGGGCAACTAACTGCAACCGGCCAAGGTTGCAAAACACTTGCAGCAAGTATCAAGCTCAAGCTGGAAGCTATGAATCGTCAACTAATTGACTCATCTTGAGCTTCAACAAGGCACCCGTTGAGCAGCATCTTGGCATGGGCACCGGCATGGACTCTGATCCACGGAGTGGATTACGTCGATGCTGCACATCCCAACAGTCCGCAGCACGAATCGCTAAATTAAAACCAAGCAAGCAACAACCCAAAACAACTTGACGTATAGACATTCGCTGCATGAAGACAGCCATCTATCCAAACATCATGCTCGCTCTTTCCGGCACATGCGCTTGCCAGCCATTGACGTCGTTGGCAGCCCCATGGATTTAGTTAGAATCACCTAAGGTTTATACAAGCACAAGAAAAACAACTCTGCATGAGAACCTGTTTTAACTGGCCAAGTTGGCTGTTGGTCTACCATTGCTCTGCTAAAGGTTTGGCACGGGCCCTCGAAGCAGTTGCTTAATACATCAGTTTTGGGGGAGAAGTCCTTTTTCGGGTTCACTGTGAATTTGCAGGGTATAGTACATGTGTGTTACTACGTACTGTACCCGCTGCTCATCATTTCATAGATCTTTTGGCACTAGAAGGATGACTCTCACACAAGTCCTTTTTCGATGTATCAAACAACAAGTCTCTGGTTGCTCGTCCGGCAACGGGGCTGCCTTCCCGAACAAAACATGCCAAATGTCAAATGGAAGCCCCAGTGTGAACGACTCAAGCCAAAGCTCAGGGTCGCAAGCCAAGCAATCAAGCAAGCCTTGCCAGCGACAGAAGGAAGGCACCGAGTCGTCGGTTGGGAATTGGAAGACGTAGATCGACACATTGTTCCTGCGATTGACCCCCAGCCCCCGTGCCTCGTGCCATCCTTGCGATACGCCACCCGTATCCAAAGGAGAAGAGGCTGAAAGCTGGTGAAAGCTGCTGGCCGCCAATCCGTTCAAAAGAAGCCGGTTCTCAAAGCTTGCGGGACAAATGTCACCTGAAACAATGTGGTTGGGGGCCTATTCCCCACAGAAACCACCATTTGGGGTGAGGTCGTGTGAGGTCGTTATGATTCATCCAACTGCCATTCTGACCTGCGCATTCTTTGCCTATCATTGCTCTCCCGATTCAGGTTTAAATTTCGCTTTGCGGGTGTGCAGCAGGCACATGCATCTTGGGCACGGATCTTCGAAAGCTTTGACTGAAGCCTGCTAGAAACCCATCCCACATCCCCATTTGAGTGACTGAATCTGGGACCTGATAGTGAACATGGGGACTTACGCATTTTGGAGGGGTACTGAGAATTCCGCGCCATGACTGGAAACACGAATTCCCTTTCTCCCTCAGACCAAGGCGCCCGCCGAGCAAAGATCCCAAGGGCGGCTGCAGGGCCGCGAACAAGGGCGGCGCATAGAAGGAGAATGGGGCCCCTGGGCTCCAATCCGCGCCATCGTTGATTGAGAACTGGGCCAACACCTCAGAGATGCCAAATGGATAGCTCTAGCCATGGAAATGCTCACATCTCAAATGGGCTCTGGGCCAGGGGATTCAAATGATCAGACCCTTAGCGAGAAGGTCCAGTGTGCCTTCAGCCCGATAGAAATCCCAAAAGGAAAAAGCCTCTCGCCAACCATGGAAGCTAGCAGGATGTTGGAGGACAGTCTGCTTGGAAACGCCACACGTGTACTTCCTTGTAGTAAACCTTGTTGAGGGGACCTCGTTCTTTTTTACTTGGTCCCGGTCTGCCTTCAAGTCACCCTTTGGGTAACTCTGATGATGTCAGAATGGCCTCTTTCAGGTGATGTCTGAACCACACAGGAATCAGAGTGACAGAACCGTTTTCGCTGAGCCAAGATCGTGTACAATGAGAGTTGTTCTGCTTGGGGATGTGAGGCTGAACGCACGTAGCATGTGTGTTCCCTTTTAGTCTTTTTTTTTTAATTGTGGAGGACATCATTAAAATGGGGATTTATGTCCACCAACCACTTTTCAGGGGGTTCCGACTCTTAAATATCATAGCCACATTCGAGTCAACAACAGGTCATAACCTGCGCTCTCCGAGAAAGGGATTTGCATTCCCGGGTCTGCGCTCCCTTCTAATTGGCAATGCGGCCTCCTCTTTATTGTTGGGCTCAACTTGCGGTCAGAAGGCCTGCGCCAACTGCCAGCTCAAGCACTTCAAAGTGGACTTGTTTGAACAAGACCGCTCAACCAACGTCCGTGCTGGAAGCTTCCTGCAGCCTTTCAAATGACCAGTGGCAACTCACTGGTGGCTGGCGATTAGCTTGCTAACGCCCAGCTCCAACGGGAATCCGAGCAACGCGCAACGAGGTGCAATTCACGATGATTCATGGTTTGCTCTTGCAGTGTAGGTTTTCCTCAACGGAATACTTGTTCATGTGGGCAGCTGCAGAAAAAATCAGTGTCAAGTGCGCAGTCCTTTCCCTTTCGCTCTCTCGCTCTCTCGCTCTCTCTCTCTCTCTCTCTCTCTTACTCGCAAGGCTGCGGTCTGCTCGCCGGTGACAGCCGGTGCCCTGGCGACACACAGTTGGCCAGTTTAATCTTCCGAAAATGACCAAACATCATGCAGAACATGCGAAAGTGCATCTCAAGCCCCCCCCCCCTCGCGTGATTCGCACTGTACGTTTTGTGTTTGAACAGTTGTGTGAAGAAAGGGTCCCTCCAATTGACAGAGACCCGTTGCCCCGCATATGGCAAACAATGCATCAGCCAATCAAAACAACCCACGCAAGTGCCCTACACCCTTGGGCAAAGTGTAAAGCATCTCATTTCTTCAACGGGCCCAGTGCTCGTCAGGCAGTTTTTCCATGGCCCCGCCCGAGAATGCAGGATATGGCAACCTCTCGTGTGGGGAATTCAGCCACCCTTGCTCATGTGATCCGTTGCAAGGGCTAAGCGAGTCAATTCCCACCTGCATTGAACCTGCTGCCGTCGCGCCACGCAGTATGCAGGTACCTGGCCACGGTGCAATCATACATTTCATGGGCTTTTGAACTGGTCCAGCGGACAGATTAGAAGTTGAGCTATCATTTTAGATGATGATATAATTTGTATACATATATATATATAGGTAAATAAACAAATATATATATATATATGTCATTGAGCTACTTGAGCCTTGCCTTCAATACATTGACTTCTCGAATGGGAACTAGAGCTCCCAAGGCCCTGCCACTGACAAGCCCGGCGCGTGTAAACACGGAAAGAAAGGACACGATGGCTCCTTTGTATTGAGAGGTGCCGAGCGGCAAAAAGAAGCGTAATGCAAAGACATGTATAGTGTTTGACTTAGCTTTGCTCCTTTTATGTCTTCTTTCTTCAGCGCGAGCTCGATTTTGGCTGCTCAACTGGGCTGGCCTGGCCAGCTGGCTGGCCGAAAGCGTGCTCCATCCTTTGCAGATTTATTTGGGTACGGTTCAGCCGTTTCAGCGTATCATTCGGCAAAAGGGGCGTATCGTGTTGAAGGGGCTGCCAATCGGTGCCAACATTGCACGCCACGAATACAAGCAAGTGAGAGTGCGCTGGTCAATTCGCAAGCTTACCATGACCATGGTAAAAAGTTAGCTGACTTGTCAGCCCACATGGACTTTAGCCTGGCCTTTTCTCTCTCAAACCACATGCCTGGCTAACTTCTCCGCCCCTAAGCTTGTGAGTTCTTCGCCAGGTTGTTCATGAGCTCAAGCCAAGCACGTCAAGCCCTTGACCGCCCCAGGCAACTCTTTTGATCAATCTTGGTTTCCGGCCGAAATCCGAGCCACTGTCGAGGTGGGCTTCGGGGCCCCTGAGGCACAGCTCCGATCACTTCGAAACCTCCCACCTGGACATCTCCGAAGCGGCACCGGCACCGCGCGTAGGGCGGGAGGTAGAAACCATCCTTCCCAAGATCGATGCAGGAAGACTCCCCAAAGCGACGGCCGTGTTTCTTCAACCTTTCTGGAAAGATCTGGAAAGTGAGTGTTGAGCTTCGGGAATCCACAAACTAGAAGCCCTTGGGCAAAATCCGCTTGTCTCAAAGTTTGGATAGATCCCCGCCACATGTGACGAAGGAAAGGCACCTTTGTGAGAGTCGTGAGAAGTTCGCCTGGTCTGAACGCCCAAGTGTTCCTGATGTGTCCAGAAGCCTGTCGATCGATTGATATCAGAGACCTGTGTGATCATTGGACTCCGTAACCCCCTAGAATAAACAAACAACTCCTTGGAATAAGCTGGTCAGTTTGAGCTTCGGGCGACGAGGCTAGCCCAAAACCTACCAAAAGAATCAAAGGAAGGTCAGAGTCTCAGAGAGGACAGAAGGAACCATTTTGCGAACTTAACGAAGACCGGCAGCTAACCCACGTTGAAATTGCGGCGTCGGGGAAAACCGCGTCCGTGCGCAGGATCACGTCGATGCCGTCCAGGGGCCCACGCTGCGGGGAGATGGTGATGCGCGAAAAGCCTCCGTCGAGAATGGCTCCCCGAAAAACTAACGGGTCCCTTGGCAAATCGGGAAGGCGTCAGGGTACAGTAAGTCGTTTTTCAGGGTATATGCTTTGTGAGATGGCTTTGTTTCGAATTGGGTAGTGCTGCTGGGAAACATGTTTGAGCATACAGGTAAATGTGATTGTATAAGTGCTGGAGCTTCTCTTCGAGATTGGATTTGAGGCATTTGAGCTCCCTCTTGATTTCGTGTTGCTTGATTGGTCTAGTACTGTTTGATAGGAATTTCCGTTTGACTTAGTATTGCTTGATTTGATTCTCCATGTGAACTAGGCTGCGACAAATCATTGTCCCTCAGCCCCAAAAGGCAAAGAAACATGTGTTTCCTCCTCAAGTACTCGTTGGTTCCACGTTGTCCAACAAATCAGGAAGCACACGGCGCCATGCCGAGGTCAAGTCGAGATGTCTCCACTGGGCATCTTTGGACGGAGGTCGAGACGAAAGCCAACCACCTGGCTATGAGGACGCAACTCATCAGCCTTATGACCTAGTGTGCTGGATGCCCCACGAGTTTTGTAATCCCCTCGCAAAGGGCGAACTCGGTGAGTTGCAGCCGGCAAATTGGCAAATTGGTCTCAGCGCCACCTAGCCAAGGTAATTATCCAGGGACCCTTGCATTATACACCTGAACATTGCCTTGTACATGGTGGTTTCCCTTTATTTTGGTGGAAAAAGCCATGCTTCAAATGGGCAAACTGCATCTTTTAAGGAGCCCTGTTATCCCGCAGCCATAGAACCAAGTTCTGGTTCAGTCTCAAGCGTCCGTTGCCGAAAAGCGACGCTTTTGGATTCTGCTGAGCCACTTGTGGTTTGATTGCCAATGGAGAGTGTCGACGGCCACCAGAATAACCCAGGCGGCTCCTAAGCAAACGCACAACTCGTGCATCCATTGCAAATAGGAACCATCGATTTACAGTACTCTAGTTTGTGCCTGTTTTATTTGAATCTTTCAGGAACCGCCGAGGGTGCAACTGGGCAGACCACAGGGTGTTCACGAAACAGTGCTGCTAGCCGGGCAAGCCCGTCAAACGTTTTGTGGACGCCTTGCAGTCAGTCAGGGGTGCATTGCTTCACCCAGCGGCCATGGGACCCATCCCATAGGTCAGTTCTCTGTAAGGAATCCCTCGAACAACCTGCCGCTAAAGGGTAGGGAATTGCCTTCAACGCTGCTAAAACTCGGTTGCTTTCTGATCCCCTGCTCAAAGTTTAACTTTTAGTGGTTTAATACGGAAAACCCATTTGTTGGCAAAAAGTCATCTCTTAACATGCAAGCAAAATGCAAAAAAGAAAAGGCCTTTCCCAACTGCTTTGTTGCACTCCGGCTCCTCCGCTGGGACCAGTGGTATTAAGCCGGACTCGTTGGCCGGCGGAAGCTTGCCCGTATACCTCAGCCCGGAGACACCCCTTTTAAAGGTCCCCGTCGCTGGCTGAAGCTTCCGTAGAACTCAGAACACCCCCGTCAATATGTCAGCTATCAGGATGCCGACGTCAAGTTAGGTTTTTTTCAGCTTTGATATGTTGCCTGTTGCCCTGAGCTGTGATCGTTTTTGTATATACCTGACGTGGAGCCTGTACCATCCAATCAACATTGCAGACCTCTGGGGCAATCGAAACGGCCTGCATTGAGACTTGCCACCCGCGTCATGTCGTACTCTGGGTGACTTTTGCCAAATGCTAAATGACCTCGCTGACTCGTGCTGACTGAGTGTTTGAAGTCGTGCCTTAGATCGGTGCATGCGTGCCTTAAACAAGAGTCCGCATAGCGACTGGCAAGACATCTGAGATAAACATATGTTGCTCTCTACTACACTGCTAAACACGCATACTCCGTAAATAGATAGCACAACAAACACATAGGGTGCGCATAGATTTTTAGCATAGTTATCGCTCTCCCTCTCTGCAATGTGCCGCGTGTCTGCGGGTCTCTTCGCGCTTGTCGATTCTTCGATCTGCTTTGTCCCGTCCATGTGACATCAACACTCCCCGCTAGGTTGTTTCAAGTTAAGTTTTCCAGTAAATCTAGTTTGAGAACACCTCACTTCTGAGGGGTCCAGTTTTGCTTGGGTGCATTGTCCGTCACTTTCTGTTTGCCACGGTTTTCCTAAACGGGAGCGAAGAAGACTTGGGTGCTTTCTGCTCCCCTGCTCAAAGTTTAACCTTTAGTGGTTTAATTCGGAAAACCCATTCGTTGGCAAAAAGTTAAAGTCCCAACTTTTCGCCTGGCAAAATGCGCCAAAGAAAAGGGAGCCTGCGGAATGGAACAAATCCGAGCCCATCCGAGCCACCGCTGGAATTCTGTGCTGTGCAGCTCCTCCTCTTCATCCGGCGGCCGCAGCAACGGGACCTTGGGCCATTGGAATGGTATGGGGAACTTGTGGGACTCCTGGATGGGTCAAAACCCAAATCGTCCCAGTGAACATCCCAATCCAACCACTAAAATGGGTGGCGAATTCACCTACAACATGGGATACCATTGGTTTTGACCCGCCCGGTGTGAACATCTGTGCATGTTTGCTTGAGCGGACCAACAACAGCAACACCACTTAACTGCGCCAGGGCCTGTGTGGTTGGATGGTTGCAATAGAAATATTTAGAGAATTAAGCATATGCTCCCTTTGACTGGTCAATGTTAAGAAACACAGGAGATTGAGGTAGAAGTACATGTGGCTGCAGAATTCAGGCCCCGCACTGGAAAATCAATGAATCAAGCTCACCTGGGCCTTTGATGCAACACAAGCCACGCAAGTTCCATCCATCCCCAACACGGAGCACCACCGTTTCTATTCGAAATGCAAGCGGAGGGCGGGGGGGGCATCACATCTCGAAGCCCGTCTCTCTAGGATCCCGTGCGCAGGTACACGGAGCTGAGCTAAAAGGAGCTGAGCCAGGGAATCCCGTAAGGCGAACGTCAATATTCAGTCAGAAAAGCTAAGCCTTCCTGGTTGAAATTGTGGAGGCCCAAAAGCCCTCCACAATGGCGCCAAAAACAAACCGATCTTTGACACCGACCCCTGGCTCTTCCATTCCAAACATCCGAGGGGCAATGGGCTCTGGAGGTCGCTCCCTGAGCGCGATGAAGAACTCCTTCTCCTGGTGACCCCCAAAGGCAGGGCTTGGCAGGTAGCACAAGGGTTCAGGGAAACCAGCGGGACCTCCAGACCAGCAGTCCTTGAATTGACTTGGTGAACCCCAAACCTGCCGAGGCAAGCCTTGCTCTACAAATTTCGAGGGGGTGCAACGCTGTGACCCACAAAAAGTTTGTGTCCCCAAATGGAGTTGGCCGAAGTGGGCGATGCGCGCACCATAGGCCTATGGCATGCCACCATCCAGGAAGCCTTCCCTAAACCCGCAGTCGGGCTCAAACAGGGGTCCCTATATTTCCCATTAAAACATCACCCCCACCAGGGGCACTCACCTTTCATGGAAAAACAAGGTGATGAGAAAAAACAAAACAAAAAAGGAAATGGAGCTGGACCCCTGTCAAATGCTCCTCCAAAGCGTACTTGCCCTCCCGGGCATGGTCTTCTCGCATGATCAGGCGCAGGCTGACGTTGCCGATGCCCAAATGCCTCCGCCACACACAAGCCATACACACATGGGTTTGTCTCTAAACGGGTCCGCAAATGAGTGTCTCCGTTTGATTCCCCTGAGAAACACCCAAACAATGGCTGTCCTCAAACCTGGAATATGCTTCCTGCGATTCTAGCGAGTCCGTGCTCGGACCTTTTGGCCCAGTACCTTGAGCAGCACCGACATGCTTGCCAAACAAGATCGAGATTGGGCAGCCACAACTGTGTCGTTGTTTCGATGTGTGGGTTTGGCGTCTTTGCCCGACAGTTCTTTCCGGGTGAGCCCCCCGGTTTGCCGACGTGTAATATTCCGCGCAGACGGTGAGCAATCCAGAACCCATGGTTGAATTCCAGAGCTGTGAGGATGCCTACCAATGGGAAAATTATTCCCTTGATCACTGGGGTTCTATGTGTCCTTCCTGGTCAAATGCATGGCGCAAGCAAATGATTGGACAACGAGCAAGTGAACTGAAGCTAGCTGCTGTGAAAAAAAAGCAGCAGAACTGACACGTGCCGCTAAAGGAGTATAACCAACCTCAAACCAGTGCCAGCCATCTTCAAACCCAAAGGACACGTCTGGAGCTCGGATGCTTCACAGGCCAAAATCGGCAAGGCAAACTTTCAGCAAATTCGTTAGCGCCAAGGGTCAGGAAGTCTGGCGGGATGATGCAGCGCAGCTGCGTGTGCCAAAGCAGAACCTGCGCCGCTGAAATGGACCATTGGGATTGCCAAGTATCTGCGTTTCTTCTCGGACAACCCCACCCAAATGGCACATGGCCGAAACAAATGCTTCCACTGAGCTTGCACGTGCTGGATGGGAGGGTGTCAGAAAACCCTGCTGAATCCGAGCGCCGGACCGGCTCCACCCGAGCATAGTCATTGAACAAGCACCTGGGCGTAGCTCCCGAGTGCTCTCCTGAACCTTCACTTCGGGCCCGTGTCATTACCACATTGCGGTTGAGAAATTCACGGTTATTATCAGGATATAACCAATTCAATGCTGAAAGCTATGGAATTGTCCGAAGAAGCTCCGGGTGCTGTTGGGGATGCCGCCTGGGCATATTCAACTGACCAACGCCAACGCTTGATGGCAAAACAAAAAACATGCCCAAAACCGGCAGACCACATTTCGCGGTGTAGTTGGAGAACCTGACACGTGTTCAACTAAAGTCTAAAGATCCAACCAAGTCTTGGGAATGGGCGGGTAAGCCCGCGCAAAACCCACGCCACTGGTTTCCTTTGAGTAGATCCCAACGCAAAACCCTTCCCAAAATGTCTGATTCCCTACTGAGAACCAGAAGCGAAGAACCAGAAGCAGAGGCAACCGGCACTCTGGGCTTCTGACTGCAGACCGCTGCGGAAGTTTCGGCCCAGCACCGTGATGTTGGCCATATCCCCGAGGTAAACAAAGCCTCAGGGCGTCTGGCAAACTTAAATAGAAAATCCCGAAATTGTGGGTTCAATCCCCCCAAAACCGATCCAAACAACCAAGTAAGGGGAAAGGGGAACGTTCAAACAAAACACACCCAGAGGGGGAGCAATAGTTTCTTCCAATGTGCATGTCGGGAATGATCAATAAATTGGGAACCCTCCATGCGGCTTCCTCTCATATTGAGACACATGCTATTCAGGGGGTTGGGATTCTTGGCCGGACATCAGATATACTTGAGATTTTGAGTCTGCCAGCTTTTTCTTGGGCGCTGGACTGGCATTCACCCGATCGCCGGCCTGAAAGGCCGTCTTTTCTCGGGCCCTGCAGCATGTGCTACTGATTCCTTGTGTTTGCAGCCCTTTCGCGATTGAATCGCCAACCCAAGATGCACGTGAGCCCTTTCGCAGTAGGCCATCCACAGACATGCTGTACATAAATTGGCTCATGCATCCAGGGTTGTTTTCAACTGGGGACCAACAAAAGTCGCGTAAGCCTCCTTTGAGTTCTTTCAAAGGACCCAACAGCGGCAATCTCAGTGTGTCGATATAAAGGTGAGACAGCTAGATGAGTTCGGATTTAGGGAATGTCGTTGAGAAACAACCTGGTCACTCTCTCACAAAAAAATAAAAAAAAAAAAAAAAAAAAAAAAAAAAAAAAAAAACACCACGGGGTAAATAACACGGTTTGACCACGGACGCAGCAAACAAGGGCTGCCCTAAAACAACGTGGGATACTGACCGCGAAGGGCCACACAAACATTCACAACAACTCTCACAGACCAAACTCCTTTACGAAGCCTAGACCTGGCGCTTGTACAATGTGGTTGCTTTCTCTTGTCCATCCGTCCGTCGACGGCAGTCCCCAGGCCGCACGAAGATTGGATACACGGTCATGAGGAGAGCTACCCTAACAGCATTGTCCACTGTGGCAGAGTTTGTGAAGACGCATCCACAAGCGTTTGCCCTTTCTGCAAACCTTGGCTTGCGAAACTCTGATGGAGGGTGACGAACGGATTGAACTTGTCGCAGCCCAGCGCGGCTGTGAGCTCCACATTCTTTGACGCTGGCGTGTGTCCATGTCAAGCCTTTCCGAGCTTCTGACTGTTGAGACGCCATGAGCTAGCTATGAACCCGCGAATTTGCGAATTCAGGACTAATTGCCCATGTGCCTCACTGGCAGAAGGTTGAGCAGTTGTTTATTGACGACACCATATTTGAGGTAACGCAAAGCTCGGCACTGAGCCAAGCTTGCTGGTTCTTGACTCCTGAACACCAAAACACTTTTCAAACAACTTACAGGTGGAAAGGTCCAACCAAATAGCATTCGAGAAAGGGTCCCCCTCAAATAGATGAACACTCTACCTTCTTCCTGGAAGATCCGCCAACGTCGCAAAACACGTTAGGACAAACACGGAGGGGGCCAGCAGCTGAGTATGCTCAGCGGCTAGGCTCAAAGGCCATGATCCGAATGCGGGCCCAGGTGTTGAGGATCACCGTCTCCTGGGACTTGGCGAAGAAATCTGGTGCATTTGGGCGGTCCCCAGTGGTGGGCCTTCGCAACCTGACTTCTTCTCGGGTGATTGTGGTGGCCTTGGCTCAGGCTTGGCTGCCAAATGCGCAAGGTCTTCGTTGCATGGCTTGGGGATTGCAAGTGGTCCAAGCTGCCCGCAAAGGAAAATCCCCTCCTAAAGCTACCCACCGCATGTGGTCTTTCAGAAGCAACTCTCCAACTATTACGGGCGGATGCAATTGTCGAGTTTCAGTGCAATGCAGTGCTATCTCAAAAATCCAGTGCTCCCTTCCGCATGCTTTCAAAAAAAGAAAAGAGAAAAGACGGCAGCAAAACAACCTGAAGGGGCCCGAAGCTTTCAGCCCACAGCCATTTGTGACCTCCAAAAAAAGGCTTGGTTGACGTTGAAAGGGGAGCAAAAAAATGTTTTTTAGCAGTTAAGTGGGGAATTCCAACCACTAAACCACAATAAATAAAAATGTAAAAACATGTTTCCCAAGAACAACCATGAAGGGCCCAGCCCCTCCTTGGAGAAGAACTGGCCATCGTTGGAGAAGGCCACCGTGAGGTTGGGAGCATCCTGGCGGAAAAAAACAACAACGAGAATCAGCGCAGCGATTGGAGGAAGACCAGCGGCGAGACTCAAGAAGTCGACCCCTGGCGCATCCAGGCGAGTTGCGCAAACCACGCTAGACTGGTCCAGGCAGGCGACAAAGGCATCCGGAATACTCATGACGGAATGGGCGAATGGTGGATGCCTCGACTTGCAATCCAGAAAAAAGCATCCTGAACATCACCAATTGAGAGCATCCTTTGTGTAGCCGGCCCTCGGATTCATCCACCGGTCCTGTTGCCAGAGTGGCACACGACACATCACCATCTCGGAGCTCACCACACGAACCTTGACGCCGAGCACCAGCTCATTGCCCATGAGGCAAGCACGGCCTGCACGGGTACCCCGAAGTTCCCGAGGTTCAGCCCGCTTTTGGGCCATTTGGGCCCCAAGAGCTGTTGGGGGTCTTTGACTGTTGAGTTGCTGCACTGTTGGGCTGTTGGGCTGTTGGGCTGTTGGGCTGTTGGGCTCTTGGGCTGTTGGCTGTTTGGTTGTTTGACTGTTGGTTTGCGCGGCCTGCGAGATTTGCCAATTTCTGGGCGTAGAAGTACCAACTCGAACGACATGAACAAGCAACACCTTCTAATATAGAACCTTGCTGCGCCAGCCAGCTGCAAGGTAGAGACTGGAAGCGGAAGAAACATCCCTTGTTTGGGCAGCCTGTCGGAGGATGCCTCTCCAAAGAGAACAAATCATTCGGAAGAGGGGCACAAACCTATCTCATAATCCTGGAATCAAATGTACAACGACAAGAAGAGATGCATTTGAAGAACACCATAAGGAAAGTCTCTTTCCTCGGAAATCCCGAAGAACCAAACTTGCTTCCGGGCTGAAGGTTAAACGAGCTTGCCACTAAGCATGCCCCTCGAAACACCTGGCTCCTGCCAACACGACGCGCGTTGGCCAAACAAAAGGAGCAAGGCCGTCACAACAAGGGCGCTGGCCGCAAACAACGACACCAATGCATTTTCCAATGCGACAAACATTTTCCAACGCCCTCGCGTCAAGCTTTCCTCGACTTCATCACCCAACCCGCTTGTTAAAGCACCTGGAAAGTCTTCGAAGAAGCGGCCATGGAGAGTGAGCCACTCGTGGCTCTGTGCTTCGACCTCCTCCGGGCTTACCCCGAAAAGCTCCGGCCTCAATTCGCACAGAAATCACTCGCATGCCGCATGCAGCATGCTAAGACTTGCTAAGACTCATGGGGGCTTACACGCTACGTATCACCAAAACAAAGTCCCAAGCACTGGCTTCATGAGTTGCACCGGGTTGGACAAGCAAATAAAATAAGCAGTGGGGAAATTGCTGGATGGAGCATATAGTCGGACGCGGACTGCTCCAGCTGACCTCGCAGCCCTGCAATGACCAAGGACCGACAGCTTCGTAGCACTGTGATGACATGTATCAAATTGGGCTCATCTCACACTTTCGGAACCCCACAATTCGTTGAAACACACCCCAAAATGGGTATCTTCAAAGAGGCACTCAACTCAGACAAGGTGGCTGCGTTTGAGCGTCAGTGGCCACCCGATACATACAGTGCTGCAACGGACAAATTGCACAAAGGCGCTGCGTAACACAAGGGAAGGATCAAGAACTGCCTTGGAACAGACCAATTGGGCTAGAATTGCTTTTCCTCAGCAATGAAGACAAAACTCTGCAGCCACGCCTCAGAATTGTTCGTGCTTGGCAGAAGCAAGCGCAAACGACCGCGAGCCGTCGCAAGTTACCCAGCAACAACTGCTAAAGTCGGGGCAGCACTCTTTCGTTACAAACGTTTACCCAGGCACGAGCATAAGAACGAACTGGATTGGGATAGCAAATGCTGGGTGGGCGACCTTCAAACAGGGATCCTTACATTATACACCTGAACATTGCCTTGTCAATGGTGGTTTCCCCTGATGTTGGTGGATAAAGGAAATGGGCAAAATGTATCTCTTAAGGAGCCCTGTCAAAGAAGGACCAATATAGAACGAGGAAACAGCTCGGAGACGGGCCCTCGCGATTAAAGAACCGAAGCAATAGCAACACAGCGCGTCATTTGAATCATGGTTGCTGAGGTCATGATAACAACAAAAGCCTTGCTTTGCACAATCGCCTATCATGGACCCTACCTAAACAATATAGAGCATCCCTGCACCTTTTCCGATTGCTTGATTGCAACCAGAGCAAGCACCGCAACCTGAAGTCAGATCTCATAGAATACTGAAGGCACAGTGACACGCTCTAGAGATCCGCTGACAAGTGTATGTCTCTCAAAATGATGCGTTTGTGTTTTTGCGTGTGAGAGGGGGAAAAAGAGAGAGAGAGAGAGAGAGAGAGAGAGAGAGAGAGAGAGAGAGAGAGGGAGAGAGAGAAAGAGGGAGAGAGAGAGAGAGAGAGAGAGAGAGAGAGGGAGAGAGAGAGAGAGAGAGAGAGGAGGGAGGGAGAGAGAGAGAGAGAGCGAGAGCAACAAGGGTAAACAATGCAGCATGATGTTCGAAGGCGTGTTCCCGCAACAATGGCCGGGCTATCTGAATTGCAGACCAAGGCACAAAAAAGTGTAGCGGAACATCCAGGTCTGAGCGTACGTCACCTGCGTTGTGGTCTGCTCAGGTGCATCTGCTGACCGATGGTGTGGCTTGATGCGTTCCCTGCACCCGTTGATCTGCGTATGTCATGCGTGGTTTGCTGTTCTTTCACTTGCCTTCTATTTCAAGGCAAGCTCTGGACAATCAATGAACCCAACTCAAATGTGAAATGTGTCTTTTGAAACAAACGTGCAGCAAGCACAGCACATGCGATCAGTGTACATCACAGTCTTCAAGGGCAAAGCTGTTGCAAGTGCCAAAATCACGAACTGGAGCAACTCAAACTCACCAAGCATCGACAAACAAAACGTCTGAAAAGCCCGAAGATGACCCAGACAAAAAAGACAGCTAGCTATCAATTTCAATAAGCCTAAGTGACAGGCCGACAATCAACAGCAACAGGATACTTCAGCAACCTGCTGATTTTATCGACCTAGCAGCTAGCCCTGCTGCTCAAATCTTTGCAGGAGGTGAAAGGGGCATTCTGTCATGTGCAAACTACTGTGCTTGACGGAAAGGCATCGCGTCCTTGGCGAAAGTGGAGCCGTCAGCTAACAAAAAACTACACAAGTAATCGCAGAGCGCAAAGATTCACACACACACAGCACGCAAACAAACAACCAAACAACCACACAAACAAACAAACAAACAAACAGACAGACAGACAAGCAAGCAAGCAAACAAACAAACAAACAACAAACAACTACAACCAACCAAACACAGGCAAGCAAACAAACAAATCAAGAAACAACAAACAAAACACACACACACACACATTCTCGCACACGTGAACATACCTAGGAAAGACCACGCGCACAAGTGCGCGTCCCTGCGTTGCCCGCTTGCGTTGTCCCTTTTCAACCAGCCGGCCCGGGATCCACAATTCACGCATGATTCTGTCTCTTCCTCTCCCTCCGGCGGCAATGGCGGTCCATCCCACTCTGAGAGTGCCACGGCGAAACTGGAGTCACCTTTGGGGAAACAAGTCACGAGTTCGAAGCGTGTCTCTGCCTGCTGCATTGGCTCACCGCAGAAGATGTGAAGGGGCACTGTTTGGTTGGTGAAGGCTTCCGGGATGATGGCCTCCACGAACGTTGAGTTCTTGACCTCGGGTCAAGAAAACTCCCGCAAGCTAAGCTTGACTAGGTCCTCCAGTAGAGAGGTTAGAATAAAGGTACCGTTTTTTTCTGTAGTCAATTTTAGTAGGGGAACCCTCCCCCGAAAAAGGGTAAAAGGGCACTACTGGGGGACCTAGTTGAAGCCCCTCACGAAAAGCGCAAGAATGTACATTCGTTCGATTCGTCTGGTCTCGATCTGTCGGACATGCGCCCGGCTGCGATGTAGCGCCTGATGTGCAAGGGCTCTGCTAGTGCCCTTTTGGCTCCTCCATGGCTTGGCATTGGACAAAAGATGCGAATGGAAATCAACGAGACCAACACCATCTGTCCATACTTACCGGCGGATACTATCAGAATTGCGGGAACTATATTGATAAAACGGAACATGATTCAGAACGTGTGAAATGACATCAAAATGCGCTTGATACATTTCCTCATGTTGAGAAAGTGTGGCGTTTGGTTCATGGCAGTTGCCGCAATTCGCATCTCGAGACATGTTGGAACTTCACAACGCACAGACTTTATCATCCAGGCTTCGACTACCGTAAAACGTCATGAACCCAAAGGCGAAATCAGCTCAAGGCTGCTCCAACGGGCCAAAAGCGAATCATCCGATGCTTCAAGGCACCATGGTTTCCGCCGGCACATCCCCAAAGCGCACCTCGCAGTGGTTCGGGGTGAAGCCTGCCAAGGGCGATCCAAGGGGCCCTCCACCCCACAGTCACCCCAGGAAGTGCTACAAACGGCAGACCCCGACTTAGGAATCGCAGTCCGATCTTCTTGGATCCCCACTCCCCCTTACCGCCCCCCCTCCCCTCCCTAAATGTAAATGGGGACTTGGAAACGGCCAAGGAAAGACTCAGCCGACGGCTTCCAAGCAAGTCGGAAGTCCTTTGACTCCCATAGGGCCGGAGTTGCACACCAGTTGCAAACGGATCCCAAAAGGCCTGTTTCGGGGCTGTTGGGACAAGGCCGCGGCTGAAACACAACCCTTCGGTCAGTCGAATGTGAGATCCAGAACCCCTGGCACGGTCAAGAAGTCTTCCAGTCTCGAGAGAGGTGGCTCGATGACGTTGCGCAAGCCTCCAATCCAAGTTGAACGGGCCCTCAGCTCTGTGCGCAGCTTAGCACAAAAGATTTGCGGCCGGAGCAATAGCAAACATTCGTCGTGCTGTCATTCTGACCATGCAAACAAAAATGCATGCGACTCAACAGCTGTGCTACTGTTCGCATGCCCCTTGCTCGGCCAACAGCTAACGGACTTGGGCAGGCCACCAAATATATCTGTCTCGGGCCTGTGTCACTTGGCGTCGCATCATCTTTGGGGAGCAGCCCTGCGCAGGGCCGACATGCACGCACAAGCCGTACAGATTGGCAAATTGATCTGGCGACTTGGACATCCGCAATCCTTGTCACAACGCCACATACAACGAAACCACCTTGCAGCGATCTTTTGGCTCATGTGGTTGGTTCCTTCGATTGATCCCCGCTAAAGAAACGTTTGGCTATCACAAGAAGCGGCATAGTTGAAGAAACTGGGGACATCTGTGGATCGCCCGCTCGACCTTGAACACACCCCCTCTGGCCAAACATGTGGGACCACGCCTTCGACGTGGAGGATGGTGAAATACCTCTGGCTGGTCTGGGACTCCACGAAGGGCAGGTAGTTCCGAGGCGCAATGCGCTGAATGCGTACCCCGGGGTTATAGGTGGAGATGTTGTAGGCAGGCGACCTCAGCTAAATGCATGCGAAGAAAGCTGTCTCAAACCACAGTTGACACCTCGTATTAATAAACCCAGTTTCTTAATAGACGGTTTTCTCCTCCAAAAGTGATGAATCCCCACTAAACCCAAGGACACCCCCCTTATTTAGAAACTGGGGTTGATTGATATGGGCTCAACATTTTGCCGTTCCGGTTTTAGAAGCTTGGGAAACAAGTATATATATATATATATATTTCTAGGGAACTCTTGCCCGACCACTGTTGGACTTAATTTTGCATGGCAAACATTGATAGAAACGCCAGCCATGAAGGGTTGCCACGCAAGCAACAGTAAAATACATGGTACTTGCACGGCCGTAGTGGCTTGGTCATTTGTGGCTTGGTCATTTGCACAGCTTCTCCCGCCATCCAGAAGTGGAACCAGCACATACTTGGCTGCGACCCGGAAGGGTGCGCATGTCTCAGGGAAACGCTCATTTCCGCAACCCACTGTCAGGGCAAGACTTGTGTGATTTCCAGACTGAGTCAATCCCGTGACACTTCCCTTTCATGCTTTGAAAGAAGCAAAGGTCTTTTCCTACTACCATGCCAGTAGACAACTTGAAATGTCTAAATTGCATGCAACCCACCGTCAGCCTTGCATGTCAGGCAGGTGGACAGTACATCAGCTCCACCACAATGCTTTCACATGATGTCTGAGCACCCCTGGTTCAGCATCAGCGTTCCATTGAAACAACGCACGTGAGCTATGTGCTGGATGCACTTTGCAAAACCCCAACATTTGATTAAACGCGTGTCAACCATTGGCAGGGCCCAACAACACAATCATGTCCGAAAGGTGTTGTTTTGCACCTTGCCTGCAAACTTGTTGAACATAGCATTAAATATGAGTGTCAATGCCAATCCAAACACACAAAATGCAATTTCTGAAAATCTGCTGCGCGGTCTGGTTTTAGACAGGTGAGTGGCGAACATGCTTGACTGCATCAAGCGAACCAACAAGATCAGGGCGGAAGCGATAGTGCTGGTGCTTCCAGAACTGTGTTTTGAATACAACATGTGTGAACATACTGCTTATCTAAAGTGAGGCAGGATTTCATAACATGCGTACTAAGTGCCAGCAAGCTTAAGTATGTTTGCAATTGGTCTACATTGTGCGTGTTTTGCCTTCCCAGCGAAGGAAAAAACAAGGCGAACGGCTTCAGGCGAGGCTGCACGCTTGGCGGGATCTGCTTGATTTGCAGCAAGCATTGTTGCTTTTCGATGCTTTTCAAATTTAAGGCTGAAGTTGCGCGGTGCTCGCAGCTAAGGATCTCAAACTATGTTTCCACGGCTTTGCAATACGCCGATTTGCATTCATGTTTTTTCTTTGCGTTGCCTCGTGTCAAATGCTGAGCTGCTTCTTGAGGCGCTCTGCTGGACATGGGACGCATGCAGCAAGCGCATATTCAAACAGCAAAAGTGGGCAAACATGTCCATGTGCCCGGTAGTCCTTCACCAATGCAGGCAACAACTTTTGAGCACTTGTTGCAGCTCTCAAGGCACAAATTAAACACATCCGAAGTGCCCTGACTAGAAAACCATGCTGCTAGCGATCCTTTTGTTATCAACTTTGATATTCAAAGCATGGTGTGAGATTTCGTGGCCCAAATCTTGCCAAACATCTGGAAGCTGCTCCTAACAGGTCTGCCTGCAGTCAAGCCGCTGGAAGCGTACTGAGCTGGGGATAGCCAGAGAGGCCACCTCGGGACGAAAGCAGAACTTTGGCTTCCCCAAACTTTTGCAGCTGGGTGGTTAGCCAGGTCCTCCAGTAGAGTGGTCAGAATAAGTTGGTGCCCATTTTTCTGTAGTCTATTTTAGGGGAACCCTCCCCCAAAAAAGGGGAGAGAAGGGCACTACTGGGGGACCTAGTTAGTTTTTTTTTGGTTTCCCTCTCAAACTTTGATTCATTTACCAACCAAACGGTTGCGATTCCATGATTTTGAGAAGCCCCTAGCTGCGCACCCTGTCAGCATGGGCAGCCCGTTTGGTGGCGTGAAGCCGCAGCTCTTGCCTTGAATGCTCTTGCAGCTCGCTTCAGCACCAAAACTGCTATGTAAAGCTTCCAAATGGGTGTCTTTTGTTGGTGGTACCACTTTTGTGGTTGGTAAGGGAAACCCAAAAAGAAACCAAAGCCTGTTTTGGGGGCTCCCCTTTTTTCGACTTACCCATCTTGCCGCCTCAGGAAAGCTGGCGTTCTCCGGCCAAATGGAGAAGGGCACAAAGTAAGTCGGAGGAGGCCTCGAAGCTTCACCATACCACATGGGTGTATCTTTACAAGGGGAACGCCCCTCAAGCAAACATGGGTGTCCTTTTAGCTTGCCTTCAAAGACAGGACATAAAAAGGGTAATTACCCTCAAAAATAGACACGCCTACATGTCGAACAGCTCATTCTCGAGAAGTTCACTTTGCGTGATTCAGACATCTCGTGCAGCTCTGCTTGTTGCCCTCATCTGGTTTACCTGCCTTCAAGAGCCGGTGAGGATGACAGGGATGACTCTTGCGAAAGTAAGCCTCCGCTGATTCCCCGCAGATCTTGCCCCCGACTTCTGGACTGTGGGCTCGAAAACGCTTGGGTGGCATTGGGGGCTTCGAATTGGCCCGTCACCCGTCTTCCTGGGTTTCAAGCGGGGGTTTCCCACCCACTCCTCCGGGTTTCATAGGCGAGACATGGGCCTGTGCAGCCACATGTAGTTGGAAGACAGCTTCGGCGGGCAGAAGGCTGCCACTGCGAAGCTGGGGAAGTCTAGGCCAGCACCTGGGACCCGAGACCGCGAGCTTCGGCGGCCTCGGAATCTCATCGACCCAGGGGGACCTTTGAAGGCAGGGCCCAACCCTTCCCCATTTGCAAGTGAGAGATCATAGTCCCAAGCTCCCTCCAAGCCAACAATTCTAGGGGCTATCTGATCAATGGCTTTTAAAACGGAAGAATCTATCGGACAGGGCATCTGCAGTTGCTAGGCTTCTCTGACAGGAACTCGGGAAGGTCGAAAAATATGAAGCTATGTGGCCAGGCCATGGGACGTGTGTGTGGCCAGGGTGGCCCATCGGACATGTGAGTTGTCTGCAACTTTCCAAGTGAGCCCCTTATGTCAACCAGAACCTCCGTCAGACTGGCTGCCTGAGAGCCATCTACATTTAACATTGCAATGCCTTGTTAGCTGCACTTCCCCCCCCCCACATCCCAGGAATCCACGAGTTGTTCTCGTTTTTATGTACTGTTTTTGTTTGGCAACTCGTGGACAAAAAGTACCAACTCCCACCCTTGCGGGCTTGCAGCAGTGCATGAGGCTGCTATTGATCACTGTGGCTTCCGCAAAGGAAGCGCTGCTGGCATCCCATTCGTCTGGCTCCTCCAGGATGAATGAACACCTGCAGCCTGGCAAACGGCAGGCACCCGTTGGGTGGAAATCCCGCAGAAGCACAACAGGGCAAACCCTGTGTGCAACCACTCAGGATGCGACAATCCAATGCTGGATGCGACGAGGGCATCGCCGGCCTCATTGATCTCAGCTTCAATTGACCAAACAACCTTCAACAGGTTGAAACAAGCAAAGTATCATTGGATGCGGTTTTTTGCGCCAACAGCGGCCCACAGCCTGACCATCGGGCGTCTCTAAAGTAAACCTGACGCCTGCCAAATGGCCTGTGGCTCCCCATAGCATGCTCTACTCACTTTGGGCAGTCTCTTCTCCGGAAGTCGCTGTCTCAAAACCTACTCTACTGCAATAGACTCAGCACCAAAACCAGAATGAACTGGCACAAAAACTTATGAGTCGCACCTCCCTATGATGCTGCTATCCCATCAACTTCCAAGAGCGCAGCCATTTCAGCTGCAACTGTTGCCTGGCAACCTGTGAAATGACCAATGGGCATCCCAGGCATAAGGCATAGAGTAGATTGAGTAAGATCTAATCCATCCGTATTTGCTTCACTTGGTATCCGCCTATGGTGCTGCGTTGGGGAATTCATGAGCAGCAAAGGCTGCTAGAACATGAGCAAAACAGTTTTGTACAGCTGCGATTCGCCAAACGTCCTGGCAACGTCCTTCTGTCAGCCTCAGCTCATGTTGGAGAAGTCATTTCAACAACCAGAGCAGCTTGGATGTGATGGAAGCAGAATGACTGGAAGGTACTTTGCCCTTGGCAAGGGGTTGCCTCAAATACGCCTTTCGATGAGCTCGAGCCATACTTCCTTCGACAAGCCACAGCCTCCCACCTCCCACCTATGAGAGGACCCAAACTGATCCAACATTACATCTGGGCCCCGTGTCCATGAGTCTCCGCAAATGCCCGCAACCGTGGGCCAAAGTCTCTCCTTTGGAAGTCACGGAAGCATGTGGCCCTGTGGTTGTGTGATGGGGCCTATTGGGTTTTGTGTGTTTGCCATCCATTTCTCACTTCCTGGACTGGCTGGCAACAATATCTGAACTTCTTATTCTAGAACTGTCTTTCCAATGAGTTTGAAGTGAATGAACTTCAGGCAGTGAGATCGGATGGCCGAAAGGATCAAACCACTGGCCCCCGCCCTCTTGCCCCTCTTGCCGCATGCCTGCGCGGAAGTTCTCGCCGAACAGGCGCAGGTCGGTGTCCCAGCCTTCCTGGCCTGTCAAAAACTTGGGGATTGTCAAAGGGTTGGGTTACATACTATAGGAAAACAGCTTTCTTTGGATGTTTTGGGGCCGTGTTTTGCAGATTGTCCTGTAACCAAACCCTTTGAGATTGGGAAGCTGTTTCTTCGTGGCTTTCGGTGATCCGCTTGAAACAACCTGAGAAAGGGACTTTAAAAGACACAAACCCAAGCAAACCCCAATAGGGAGCTAGGGGGAGAAAGGAACCCGCTTCCTTCTTTAGAGCTTTGAGGAGTCCGATTTCTTTGCGCTGAGTCCCTTGTCTTTTGGACTTTGTACACCACATCTTGACGTGTGGTGTAAGTTTGCTCCTCTTTCGCTCCTTCTCTGACATCCTTGAAATTCCTTACTTTCTTGAGGAGAAAACAAAGGCCACCGGAAGAACTCTTCAACATACCGCCCGTTGCCTTCCAAAGGCGTGAGCGCGGTGATCATCGGCACCAGCTGCTCAGACTCCAAGAGCGGCTCGCGGTACTCCGAAGCAACCTGAGTCAGGCCTTGATGATAGAAAAAAAATGGCAACTTGCAACCTTTGCAACCTCAAAGGCTGGAAAAAGCCGCTGGTAAAAGGGAAAGCTGAAATTACTTCAACCACAAAACATTTCTGGGCTGAGACGGTTGATGCGGGTAAGCTAAACTTAATTACTTAAAACAAACACCCTGTGACAAGTCTACCCCTCAACAATCGGTTCCTCCCGTTCCCGTTCCCCATGGCGAGCATGAGGCCCTTCTCTCGCGCCTCCACCTCTGGCTCTGCAAACTCGAAGGCGGCGTGGCCGATGCCCAAGTTGGTCATCTCGCGGTCAGAGCTCAAGGTCAAGCTGCCTCAACTCGGTTGAAAAAAATCTGCGAGCCCCTGCCAAAAGTGAAAATATATTTTGGTGGTTTAATGCGGAAAACCTACGTATTGGTTGGCAAAAAGTGGTTCAGTCCTAACATCCCTTGGCAAAATGCGCCAAAGTCAACCATGGGCCCCCAGCCACGGCCCAGCCTCGCTCGGAAGTTGGTTTGCGCCTGCTCAAAGGGGCCCCTCTTGGCTTGGCCAAAAGTGCCCTATGCTGTATAGGGGAATCCAGATCCCCATCTTTGACCTGCCGCAAACGCAAGATCTCACCAGCCCCGCTGGCTGCAGAAGGATGGTTGATGAATGCTTTCCAGGCTGCACATGGTGGGCAACAGGATCTTGGGCGGCTGGCAAAGCAGCGTGGAAGAGTTGAGGAACCTGCGCCGTATGAGCCCACCTCCGACCCCTTCAACAGAATGCAGGGAGATGGGCAGAGGTCGTCAGTGCGATGTGTCTTGTTCAGCAAAAACGGGGCCATCCGACATGTCCCTAAGCCGAGAAATGTGAAGCTCACTGTGTCACCGGCCACTCTTGGGTATGCTTGTCGGGCCTGGTCTCGCGTTGTCCCTTCTCTCAAAATACAACCGGAAAGCCCATGAACATTGGCCTGGAACCAAGCGGTTTATTCCTATCCAGTCTCTGTCTTTAACTTGGCTTAGCTCGGTGCCAATCCACTCGGAGGGCCATTTTTGCCCTTTAAACACCCCAGTTGCTTTAACCCTCCAATCTGTACCCAAAAAAGGACTAACCAGGTCGCAATTCATTTCAATCCGCCCCTTGGGTGCGTTTATTGAGAGGGCCACCAACATGCCGGGCTTCCGTTTTCCTGTTGGCCACAACAAGTAACTACACTTGTTCTTTACCACCAAAATGGCCCACACCCAAAAAGTGACTGAAGTCCAGGGAGTGAACCTACAAGAGGGTCATGAAAAACAAAAAAAGATGAGCGGCACCCTTCGGGCCTGGCAGGCTCCTCACTCACCTTGGGCAGGTGCGACGCCAAAGGCGCCACAAAGGTACAGAAGTACTCCACCCGCGCGTCGAAAGGGCCTGCCAGTCTGAGTTCTCCCAAAGGTGGGGTGCCAAAAGCAAACAGAATTGCAAACATAAATTAGTGACTTGGAGCCCCTTTTGAACTCGATGAAATGTTGATTTTAGATGAAATGAGGAAACGTAATGGAAGGTGTTTACACCTCCGAAAATCACACGACTATTCAAAAGCACACAGCTGGGTCAGTTTTTAGTCCCATGCTTGCTTCACCATACCATTCCCCAAAAGAGTCCTTGTTTTGACTTGTTTTGATGAGTGCAAGAGATAACAGGCCTGCATCCCCTGAACTCCTGAACTCCAAGCCCATAAGAAATGAGGGACGTTCCAAACAACTTGGCCCCCCCCCAATTCAGAAAACAAAAAGCAGCAACGATATGAGCAGATCCAGTTCCCTACGGGCTTGGTGAGTTCTATTTTTGTATTGGTGTCGTTTGGCATAGCTGATTCGAGCCGTGCACAACTTCTGCAATCCTTTTATGGAGTAGATCTATAATGCTCGTTCTTGCGGAATGGCTGCTACACCACGGCGAGCAGGTGCGAGCGATAGTCCAAACACATATATCATATTGCAGTACGTTATGGCATATGCAATTGGATCATGTTATGGTACACAGCTGTACTGTATCATACCAACGCATATGATCAGGCTTCTCTGCTTAGTATTGGCCAAGTAGTTGTTCAGTGCTGGTTGGTATTGAGCTAGAATGTTCCGTAGACCTCACTAGACCTGGTTACCGAAATTGGGTAAACTATCTTGAAATGTTGCCAGGGCCAGGGCAAGTAGGGAAGACGCCAAGGCCACAAGCTTGAAGAAAGCATAGGGGAAATTCTCCAAATGCCAGTGTTGGTTGTGTTGTTTGTATTGAAGTACCAAACATACAGCCCATTTTGGGGTTCCCCCATATTGAAAAGGTCAGTCTACTCGACATGTGCGCGCGGGCGAGTGTGTGTGTGTGTGTGTGTCTGCGTCTGTGTGGTGTGTGTGTGTGTGCGCGTGTCTAGGTTGTTGTGCTATGTGGTTGCCTTGTAAAGTGATTGTGCTTAGTGTGACGTGTGTGTGTCTGTGTACTTGTCTGTGTGTGTGGGGGTGTGTCTGTGTCTGTGTGGTGTGTGTGTGTGTGCGCGTCTAGGTTGTTGTGCTATGTGGTTGCCTTGTAAAGTGATTGTGCCTAGTGTGACGTGTGTGTGTCTGTGGACTTGTCTGTGTGTGTGGGGGTGTGGGGGTGTGTCTGTGTCTGTGTGGTGTGTGTGTGTGTGTGCGCGTGTCTAGGTTGTTGTGCTATGTGGTTGCCTTGTAAAGTGATTGTGCCTAGTGTGACATGTGTGTGTCTGTGGACTTGTCTGTGTGTGTGGGGGTGTGGGGGTGTGTCTGTGTCTGTGTCTGTGTCTGTGTCTGTGTCAGTGGGTGGGTGAGTGGGTGGATGGGTGGGTGGGTGGGTGCGTGGGTGCGTGCGTGGGTGCGTGGATGCGTGCGTGGGTGCGTGGGTGCGTGCGCGCGTGCGTGCGTGGGTGCGTTTGTGTAGTGTTGTGGTGTGTTGTGTTGTGTTGTGTTGTATTGTGTTGTGTTGGGTTGGGTTGGTGTGTGTGTGTGAGCGTGTTTGCACGTGTGTGTGTGTGTGTGTCTGCGTGTGTGTGTGTGTGTGTGTGTGTGTGTGTGTGTGTGTGTGTGTGTGTGTGTGTGTGTGTGTGTGTGTGTGTGTGTGTGTGTGTGTGTGTGTTCGTGTGTACGTGTGTGTGTGTGTGTGCATGTGTGCATGTGCGCGTGTGAGTGTGTGAGTGTGTGAGTGTGTGTGTGTGTGAGTGTGAGTGTGAGTGTGTGTGTGTGTGTGTTTGAGTGTGTATTTGTGTATTTGTGTATTTGTGTGTGTGTCTTTGTGTGTGTGTGTGTGTGTCTGTGTGTCTGTGTGTGTGTCTGTGTGTGTGTGTGTGTGTGTGTGTGTGTGTGTGTGTGTGTGTGTGTGTGTGTGTGTGTGTGTGTGTGTGTGTGTGTGTGTGTGTGTGTGTGTGTGTGTGTGTGTGTGTGTGTGTGTGTGTGTGTGTGTGTGTGTGTGTGTGTGTGTGTGTGTGTGTGTGTGTGTGTGTGTGTGTGTGTGGAGGCGTTCGTGAGTGCCTGCGTGCGTGCGTGGGGTGGCGTTGCGTGGCGTTGCTTGGCGTTGCGTGGCATTGCGAGGCGCTGCCTTGTGTTGCATGCGTTGCGTTGCGTGCGGTGGGTGGCGTTGCGTCGCATTGCGTTGCATTGCGTGAGTGCGAGTGTGTGTGTGTGTGCGCGGGTGCGTGAGTGAGTGAGTGAGTGAGTGAGTGAGTGAGTGAGTGAGTGAGTGAGTGAGTGAGTGAGTGAGTGAGTGAGTGAGTGAGTGAGTGAGTGAGTGAGTGAGTGAGTGAGTGAGTGAGTGAGTGAGTGAGGAAGGGAGCGAGCGAGCGAGCGAGGGAGGGCGTGCGTGCGTGCGTTGCGGTGCGGTGCGGTGCGGTGCGTTGCGTTGCGTGTGCTTGCGTGTGTGTGTGTGTGTGTGGGTGTGTGTGTGTGCGTGTGTGCGTGTGTGCGTGTGTGCGTGCGTGCGTGTGCGTGCGTGCGTGCGTGCGAGCCTGCGTGCCTGCGTGCCTGCGTGCCTGCGTGCCAGCCTGCCTGCGTGCCTGCATGCCTGCGTGCCTGCGTGCCTGCATGCCTGCGTGCCTGCGTGCGTGGGTGGGTGTGTATGTGTATGTGTATGTGTCTGTGTGTCTGTCTGTGAATGCGTGTGTTTGTGTCTGTCTGTGTCTCTGTGTGTGTGTGCGCGAGTGTGCGCGGTCAGATCAGATCGAACATAAGACCATATAAGAAACAAGAAACATGTGTGCTTGTGTGTTTGCGAACTTTCATGTCAGCATAGTTATCACTAGCCACTAGCATTTCACTGGGCAAATCAGTAATGTGATTCCATTCATCAAGGCTCAGGGGCGCTTTTCCACGCGTTTCAGCCCAGTGCTCAATTACACAAACGCTGCATGATAAACCACATCCGCCAGTCTCTGGATGTGAAACATGCTTGAGAGCATGTCAGGGCCATCTTTGGAAGCAACGTCAAACAATTGCTCAAACATGGAGCACCTATACTGAATCCACATACAAAATGTGGCTTCCTATTAATCAACCTTATTATTCTTTCTTTTTTTTTTGGGGGGGGGGGGGTTATTAGGGAGAAGCGATTAAGAAACTGTGTTGATACAGATCCGCATGTATGCCCTGCGATTGCAGCAAAAGCGAGGAAGAGCCTTGGTTAATGATTTTCCCCAAAAAAACTAGGAAGGCGCAGTAAGAACTGTCCATTGGCTTTCCTTTCATTCACCTCCCGCCTCCAAATACTTCCAGCCAAGTCGTCCCGTCAAGCGAGGCTCGCGCCGGAATGGAAAACAGCACAGTTGGGACAGCCTCAGTCCCCATGGTCTGCGTTCAGCATCCCCGGCCAGAAACCGAAAAAGAAGCATTCCGCATGTTTCCCTGAAAACACGCCACCCCAAAAGGAAAGTCGCTGGAACTGGCCCAAAAAGGTTTCAAAGGTCATGCGTAAAGCCACCATACAGGGCGAAACATAGCCGGTGTGATCATTGTGTGGTGCATGCTCACGTCAGCAAAGCCACATTCAAGCTAAAGCCAACTGGAAAGCCAGCAACTTCCCAGCTGGGCATCACAAAAATCGGCCGAAACACGATCGCTGAAAGGCTCAGCCAAGCTGCCATGTACGTGTACGTAAGACCCAAGTCGTAGAACGCAATCTCTCCATTCAGAACTGTCCTCATCTTCAAAGCCACCTCGAGCACGTTCAGTGATTGGCAATCATAACACAGGGATCCTGAAAAAGCCATGTTTCAAGTGGTTGCAAAATTAATTTCTTTTAAGGAGCCCTGTTCCTTCTACTAAAACATCTCTTGGAGGACAGCGTCCAGGAGGTTTTGGTTCCAGGGTTGAGTTGGGAATGGTTCGTTACATTTGCCGGTGTAGGCAGTGTTCAACGTCAGCAACAAGTTTCTTCAGGTGAATGAAAACAGCTCAGATACTGTGCTTGGGGCTTGGCTCGACCGGGCATTCCCCTGGATTTTTGAATACGAATTGGGCAACTCATGTTGGTTGAGGCGTTGGCTTGGCATTATTTGGTCTTGGGGACTCCTCGAGTCAGGCATCGCCTCTCTCGGTTTCGGGGCCCGGGGCGCCTTGGACCCGAGCGCGGGCCCGCACGACGCCGTGTCTCATCCTCCTGGTAATTGGGTTGCCCCATAGAGGCCCCACAAGTTGCCTTCCATGGCATGGCCACCCAACTGAAGGCGACAAGTTACTTGTCCGCGGCTCCTTCAGTGCAGGTCTTTCACTTGGCTTCGAGTGCTGGGTCTTCTACTTTAGCTGGAGAGATTTATCCGCACACCTTAGCCCTTGAGATCTGACAGGCACCCACCCCACTTGGCTCGGTGCTACGTCCAAACCGAGGCACCTCCATGCCATCTGTCGAGCTGGGCGTCGGCACCACACACTCGGCTTCCCGGGAACTGCGCTCGCAGTCGCTGAAAACGTCCCGCTCTTCAAAGGCCTGCCACCGGCTCCCAGGTCTGTTCAGTCTCTAAAATACATGGCTGTGGGTCCAAAATAGGTACCCAAAATAAAACCCTGGTAAATGGAACCAAGGACTAAAACCTGTGGTTTCATTTTGACCCATACCGTCCCATACCCATATGGCTGTGTGCCTTTTGAGGGAACCATTTGGCTTGGTGTTAAAGGGAAACCCCTTTGAGGAAGACTGCCACTTGGGCTGTCCCCCTATTTGACACATACGTTACCCATGTAGATAAAGTTTTTTCTCCTGTCAGTTTCTGCTTGGTGTGTTGGTGCCAATGGTGCACAGGAATTTCCGCGGCATTGGGCTAGCTTGGTAGACACCAAATACTAATCGTCAACAAATATCTCCCAGGCCTTCTGTGGCCAAGGTGTTGCAGGCAAATCTTTGGGTTACTTGATGTATTTTTGACCCCATATTAATCAACCCCAGTTTATGAGTAGGGGGGTATTCCCCTCCAAAAGTGATGTGCCCTATTAATCAACTGGGGTTGATTACTGTGGGGTCAACATTACTCAACTTCAAGGACTCTGGCCAGGTACCCCTGACAATGCGATCCTCACAGCTCCACCCCATATGGCCATGGGTCAAAAGCCCGTACCCCCAGTGAACATCCCAATGCCCACAAGAATAGGTCCTAAAATGGGTGGTGAATTCACCTTCCAACCAAAATGGGATCCCAACATCCAAAAAATGGAGTTGATTGGGTGGTGAATTCACCCAAACCAACCAAAATGGGATCGATACCAAAATCCCACAAAAATGGAGTTGATTGGGTGGTGAATTCACCCAAACCAACCAAAATGGGATCGATACCAAAATCCCAAAAATGGAGTTGATTGGGTGAATTCACCCAAACCAACCAAAATGGGATCGATACCAAAATCCCACAAAAATGGAGTTGATTGGGTGGTGAATTCACCCAAACCAACCAAAATGGGATCGATACCAAAATCCCACAAAAATGGAGTTGATTGGGTGGTGAATTCACCCAAACCAACCAAAATGGGATCGATACCAAAATCCCACAAAAAGTGATTGAGTTGAACCAAAATGGGATCGGGAGTTGATTGGGTGGTGAATTCACCCAAACCAACCAAAATGGGATCGATACCAAAATCCCACAAAAATGGAGTTGATTGGGTGGTGAATTCACCCAAACCAACCAAAATGGGATCGATACCAAAATCCCACAAAAATGGAGTTGATTGGGTGGTGAATTCACCCAAACCAACCAAAATGGGATCGATACCAAAATCCCACAAAAATGGAGTTGATTGGGTGGTGAATTCACCCAAACCAACCAAAATGGGATCGATACCAAAATCCCACAAAAATGGAGTTGATTGGGTGGTGAATTCACCCAAACCAACCAAAATGGGATCGATACCAAAATCCCACAAAAATGGAGTTGATTGGGTGGTGAATTCACCCAAACCAACCAAAATGGGGGTTTGACGAAGCCAGAGCCATCCGAGTCACAAAGATCAGGCTCACTTCCAATTCCGCGCCCTCCGGCCAGGCGAGACCCATCCTGGCGCTGAAGGCATGTCTCGAACAAATTCCACCCGAAAACTGAACTGCAACAAAAACAAAACATGTTTTTTTAAACCTTGGAAAAGAAAAAAACAACACTTTTTGTGCTGCCTTTTGCTTTTGGCATCCTTAAGTCTCGGACTAGCTTCTTATTGCTTGGAAACCTGATAAGCATGGCGGCCTGAGAGCTGGATTTGCGCAGTTCCCCCAACCCAACTGCTCGCTTACACTTTGCGCTTAACATGTGGCCACGACGGGAGAACACATGCAACAAAATACCCACTTTAGGTCCGCTTGTCCATCATAAAGCCGGAAGGCCAGTAAGAATATCCACGCTATCTATCAAGCGCCAGTTTTTGCTCATCGTCAATCATCAGATAATGCGATTCGACCTTGACACATGGCAAAAGTTGAACATCCTTGACGCTTATAATCCCTGTTTCGCTCAAAGGGTGTGGGGTATCCATGCACCATGCAAGTCCCAATCAGCCCAGCCGCGCAGCACCATGGCCACATGCTGAATAGCGAGCGGTCAGGGCAAAAGGTGTCCAGGGCCGAGAATGCCGCACATGAGTGTATCTTATCTTGAAATAGTGGACCCACTAAACTGAGCGGTGTTTTTTTGGGGGGTTCACTCAAAAAAGACAGAGCCGCGTCAAAAAGCAGGGCGGGGTCAGTCTGCATCGAGAGCCCAGCCACGTTCTTACCGCAGTCGACACATTGCCAGCGCTGCTTCCGCAGGACAACTGCCAGTCCCAGGATCTAGGGTTGGGATACCCAAAATTCAGCAGTAGCAACTGCAACTCGGCGATAGCTCCCCATGTTCCATGTTCTCCATGGTTCAGCAGGGTACATCAGCCACCCAACACAAGGATCTGTCAACGAATCCTGGCCGAAACACAACTCAAGCTGAAATCCGAACTAGAAGGAACCTGCTTCCCACCCCAGCTGATCCAACTGCCAACGTGGAGGGCCCCCCAAAAAAAATCCGCCGCCCCGTCTATTTAATTGTCCAAGGCTCAGGCGCACTCGTTGGCCCCCGGCCCAGCCATATCTCCGCTTCACCTGGGTATGGGTCAAAAAAAACCACCAGGACATGGACCGCAGGTTTTAGTCCATGGCTCCCTTTGCCAAGGTTCCATTTTGGGGTTCCCCGATTTTTGACCCACACCTCGTAGGGCAGCGAGAAGGGGCTTGAGGACACCGAGCCCGCGGTGTAGAAGTCCCCATCCGGGCCTCGAAAACGCGCTCGCGCAGGCGCAGGCGTGAAATCCCAGGTGCACCAACTCGGTGGCGAAATCTGCGAGCTCCTGCTAAAAGTGAATAACTTCTAGTGGTTTAATACACACAAACCCATCAGTTGCCAAAAAGCTGTTCAGTCCGAACATCCAGGCAAGATGCAAAGCCAAGAACATCAACCAGAAAGGGGGGGGTGCAGGCATAGGAGTTTGCGTCCAAAGTCCATGCCACAAGGAGGACGTTTCAGTAAGGGAGCTCTTAGCAAGACCACGTCAGGGCCTCATTACGAATGGCTGAGAATGTTGAAGCCAACAAATCCGCAAACTGGGGCGCCAACAAAAGGGCCTCAACTGCCATTGTTGAAGCAAGGGATGAAAAAAAAACACCGTTGGCATCAGCACCCTCCCAATGTGCAAGGGCAAGAGACGCTTCCAGGAAATGAGCAAGCGGGCCCCTTCCAATCATCCAGCCCACATGCACGCATAAGTTGACAAAGGCAACATGCTAGAAGGTTGTTGTTGCCTCCAATCCCCAGCGGGATCCTTTGTCCCAACAACTCCACCCAGATCTCCAGCCAGAATTCAAGCCCGAGGTGCCATTGAAAGAGACTGCCATGCGCAGGTTGCGATCGAAATGTTGCTCGATCGGTGGGCCGATCTCCTGCGTGGTGGTTGCTTCTGTGTCCTGGCGAAGTCAGCCAGTCAGACAGTCACAAGCCGGAAGAGCCAAGCGAAGAAAGGTGGGCATGACATCTAACCAACCATGATCGAAGCAAAGGTTCGGCCCATGGCAATGCTGGCACCTCCAATGGCCTCCCCCATCCAACCCAAAACCATACTTGAGCGTGTGTTTTGGTGAGACTATACATTCCTGTTGGGTCGGAAACAAATCGAAACGCAAAGCAAACCAAAGTTCCAACGTCTAGCCTCACGGCCACTAACATGGCACCTGACAGTGAGTCCCTACAAGAGAAATATCATCCTTCAGGAACCCTCCCACAATCTCCCACAGGTGCTATGCTAGTGGAAGGAAGAATGCCGCCTTCTCAAATTTATGGAGGCAACCACTCCTGCGTCACCGGGTACTGGCCGGGCTCCAGCCAGAGCGGAGCAATGGCTTCCGTCGCTTGCCAGCCGGTCCTGAGCCCCACTTGGCGTTCAGCTTACGAACGGAGGCCATGGTTGTGGAAAATCACCTTTTCCTGTGATACCAAGGTGGGCGGTTTATCACTTTAAAGTTGAGAATTGCCTTGGTATCACAGAAAGTGCTGCCAAAGCCATATATACCCTGGGCTTCCAAGGCCTTTTGTTAGGCCTAGGCCTTGTTTTGTTCCAGAGGCCTTTTTTCTCGGGCGTGCGGAGGCCTCACAAAGTACGGAAGGCCTCGGAAAGGAAGGGCAAAGGCCTTGAGAAGTTGGGGCCTTGAAAAGTTCTGGCAATTTACTCGAAGTAGAATGCGTGTAACCAAAGCCATTTGCGCATGCCGCTGAAGGGTCTCGAGGGGTAAAGCCAAAAACTCCCCTTTGCAGAATCATAGCTGCAACCTTCCTACCATCTTGCTTGGGACGCTCTTTAGTTTGAAGCCCCCCCTCATTTATATCTGCTTGAGAAATTGGAGCTAAACTAACAACAAGATCTGCAAAATGTTGCCTGTGTCAGCAAAACGCTGCGCTGCATTTTGCGCAGCGAAGTGACTGAGAACACCAGCTGGACCGTGGACAAAGCGTGGACAACCCGTGGAAAAGCAAAAAGGCGTGGAAAGGCCCCAAAAAGGCGTGGAAAGGCCAGAAAAAGGCGTGGACACCATGCAAAAAGCAAGGACAGCACAGAAAAACCCAGCAGGACCACATGACGCTACTTCCAAAACCCAACCTTTTTCTTGGGCCAAGTGCAGCCTTCGTGCAAGAGCGTGGCGTTTGTTCCACGAAAAATGCAGGGTCGCCGAAACTGTGCCGACACCTCCAAAAGAAAGCATGGAATCGTAACTCCACTGGAGTTCGTCCGTTTAAACAACTGCCTTGGAGCAAAGCAATGCGAGGTAAAGATGTCAGACATTGAGAGCACAAAGGACAACATGTAGCGATATCGTGGGTGACGCACCATATGCAGCCAATGTAAAACCATGTTTTTTGGGCCAGGAATAAGGGGCCAAAGGCCTTGAAAAGGCGTGGATACTTACCATGGATACTTCCGGGTTTACAAAGCAAGGCCTCTTGACAAACCAAGGCCTCTTTCCAGAGGCCTCCTTTAGACAGGCCTTTTGAAGTGCAGGGTATATATATATATATATATTGTCCACAACCATGTCTAAGGCGTCGTGCCAGGTACAAGTAAACCAACGCACCCTGGGCAATGCTTCATATCGATGTACGGTTTTGGGGCACCCCCTTTGAGGTGATAGAGGCAATTTTGCGACACCCAGCTCAACAAATCAGCAAAACTGGGCTTGGCTCAAATGGTTCTGACCCCCGAAACCAGGGTACATCACTTGGGGACAGCTCCATATGTGGGGAAGCCAGATCGCTGGCTTGTAGCGCAGGCAGCGCCAAGCACTTCCCGCACCAAGTGCGTTGCTAGCATTGGCAGCGCTTCTGAATTTCCACGAACCAGACCCCGAAACACGCCGCCATGGGCAACGAAAGGAAGACGCTTCCTACAAGTGGGTGGCTCGTCTCTTTTTCAGGGTACCTTTTTTGTGCTCTCTCTTTTCTTTCGGGGGGGGAAGGGGGGTTAAGGGGAAACCAAAAGAAAACCGCTGCGACATGTTCGGGGCTCTTTCTCCTAAAGACGAAACACCCGGGCTGGGGCCCGAGCTTCCTGGTGGCCGCTCGAGTGGGGATGGGATCCGCAGCAAGGTCCACAGATGAAAACCTCACGGCTGGTGTTTGGCTGTGTTCTTTTAAGGGTACCCATTTTGGGGAACGTAGTTTTAGGGAAACCAAGGGAGCCAGCCATTTGAGGGGTCCCTCAAAGACAACAACCTGTTTCCTTTATGTGTCAAGGGGGTCACTAAGCTAGAATGAGCGACTTGGCAAGCTCCAAGATAAAAAAAAAAGGCCCTAGCCATGCTTGGTGCAACTGGGATGGTCTGTACCATCGCATGCGGAACAACGAGGTGTGGCAAATGATGCAATGAACAACATAGTACACTTGTCATTCTCGATTCACACATATCCCACTGGTCCTGCCCTGCTCACCCTTGTGCGTCGGCTTGTCTTTTTGGGAGCCGCAAACAGCTGTGCCCGGTGGGACTACGTTGACAGCATTATAAACGCCCACACCCCGGCAACACACTTCAAGGAAAGCACAAAATGCAGCAGCAACAGCTTAAGGGCGACCAGGAGGCAACAGCAACAGCACCAGCGAGCCGCAAAATACAGCCGACGGACACAAGCACACACACACACACACTTCACACGCAACACAAACAGCTACACAGCATCACGCACATACAACATGTTTAATGATACATTTTGCTCCAGACATTCGGAATGGCACTAGGCGGTCCAGAATAAGGTCAGCCTACAGTACGAACGAGGGCAAAGATGGGTGTGCAAACATGTTCCCTTAACCACACTTGGTAAATGAACGTGTTGTGCTTCAGGCTGTGACCTCGCCAAATGCCCAGAACGTGACTTTGACCTGTCACAGCAAGCCAGGTCTGAGCTTTCAAAAGGTTTAGCAGAAGCGCAAACAGGGCAAGGGAGCAAAGATATGCTTAATGATCTCTCAATTCCTCGCGAATTGCGCGGACATGTTTAATAGTCATGACGACGACGACGACAACGACAACGACAACGACAACGATGCTGGTGGTGGTGGTGGTGGTGGTGGTGGTGATGGTGGTGGGGGTTAACAGTGATAAGAATGAGGCTGAGTATGAGAGTGAGGCTCATGACGATGGCGATGATGATCATAATGATGATGATGATGATGATGATGATGATGATGATGATGATGATGATGACGGCGATGCTGATGCTGACGATGACCGTGAGTGACGATGACGGGGAGGACGTGACGAGATGACAAGATGACCATGGCGAGGATGACGACGAAGATGACAATGATGATGATGACGATGATGATGATGATGATGCTGATGGTGGTAAGCACAATGCTGATTATGCCTAGTCGGAGGAGGCGTGTGACTGGTAGTGATTGTGGCGATATGTCATGCAATGCCGGAATCGCGCAGCCGAGGCATGTACCACGGCTCTCCCGCGCTGCCCTCATGCGTCAATGTCAACACGGCATTCGCCAAGAAGCGGAGAGAACTGCTTGGGAATCGAGCAGGACACCTCAAGCCAGGCATGCGCTTTGCCGGCACCAAAGCATCCTAAAACTTCAGTGATGTGAATGGCGGTAATGTGGGTGTGCCTTTTTGCTGAGATTACCCAACAAAGGATGGGTTTCTTTGGTTTCCCCTTCAGCTCCCATGGGCACTCCAAAACAAGATACACCCATAAAGTCTTCAATAACAGCATGCGAGAAAGAGGGATGAACTCAAAAGGTGAGGGAGGCCACCATAGACCATGCACCTTTGCTTCGTGGTGGCTTTGCAACGCTCATCCAAATGAGCTCCAAACAAATATAACCTTATGTTTGCTGGAGAGGTGCGACGATTGCCGAAGTCGTGGCTTGGCAACTAACAATGAAGACATACTTGGGCTGTAAAAAACACACGCACACACAATAGCGCGCACACACACACACACACGTTATCGGTATTTGTAATTTTTCTGAAGCCTTCATGAAACCAAGATTCCGCCGCCATGCCACTGCCATCTGCCAGCGCGAGGCCTTTGGACAGAACGCCTGACAAGTCGGAAATCTGGGCATGACATCTTCCCCCAATTGCGAGACTGTGGACACAACTGGGGCATCTGCAATCCTAGCACTGCCGGGGCACTTCCCAAAAGCCTCTCACAAGAAGCATCCCGTCGAAAATCGCTAGTACTGATCCTCGTGCGGAACCTGAGAAACCCCCTGAAATGTCCTGTTTAGCGCAAAGCTTCAGAAGTTCTTGGTACTCACTCCTCCCACTGCAAAACCACTAGTATATACCAGCTTTTTTGTCGCAACGGGAACAGAGTAGTGCCCCTTTTGTTGCCTGCCGTAGATGCAGCGTAGCCATTGATCCTCATGCCGCTCGCCGCAATGCCTCAGTATGTTTGCTAAATGCAATTTGCTCTTATCGGACATTCGGAAGGTCAACGCTACGGCATGAATATCCAAGCTGGACCAGGCATGCAAGGCCCCCTTTGCTTTGGACTGGCAAGCGTTCAAACAGTTGCTCAGTGAACCCCGGGCACAGCTTCAATGCCTCGCCCAAGAACCGCGTTTAGTGTCTGTTGTCCGTACTGAAAGTGCGCTTCAATGTCTTTGTTTGATGCAGAGACAGACTGCTTCTCAAGCAAACCCCCCGTGTAAATCCACCGTGTTGCGGCTGGGTCTCACACACAAACCATGTTTCAACCTCGCACACCGCGTCTAAAATCCGTCGCACGGAAACATTTCTCGCCGAGCTGCTGCTCATGGCATCAAAGACGTCGCTGACGCTTTGGTTCCTGCAGGTGCCGGTGCTGTTCACGCCGCTCCTGACGCGAGACTCTGATCAGCCTGGCACATCAAAAGGCTTCTTAGCGCATGTAGCAACTGGAGGTGTGTTTGTGCGTGTGTTCCTCAAATATGATAATATATATAAATACATATGCAAGGTACTCGCGAATCGAACCGGTAGTTTGGTTTCGGAAACTAACCGAACAAGCTCTCCCGAAGAGGCTGGTTCACTTGCACATAACCGAACAGAATAGGTCACACCACGCGGAACCAGTTTGAACCGAATGCCTCGGAGGCCTAAAGCAAAAACTCCAGGAAGCCGAATGCGTTTCCTGAGCCTCCGAAACGGCATTTGAGCAAAGGGCAAGGCGAAGCGAGATGCGCTTTTTCAGCCGCCAAAAGCGCATTTGGGCCCAGGTCAAGGTCAAGGCAGGGAAAACTGCTGCAGGAACACTCCCGCAAACCTATGGGAAGACTCCAGCAAGACCACAAAAAGCCACATGCATTTTCTCAGCATCCAAGATGCACTTGGACTCAGATCTGGGCAGGAGACACAGGCAAGGAAGACTACTGCAAGACCAGGCAAACTCCGAAAACTCATTTGGGCCCAAGCCGGACAAGACAAGGAACACTACCATGCATAAGACCATGCAAAGCCAGACGCCAACCACGCATTGTCTCAAGCCGAACACTACCATAAAACGACGGGAAGGATTACTGCCGCAAGATCGGAAGACCACGCCGGCACAAACTGAACCGAACCGAACCGCTGCGTAATCCCAGAAGATACGAACCGCATAAACGACGCGCCCATGACGTGGAAACCGAAACGCAATCCCGCGAAACGCGCTTCGTGCGAACCTAAACGAACCCAAACGATGCGCGAGAACCCTGCATGTGCATAATATATATATATATATATATTATATATATATGTGTGTGTGTGTGTGTGTGTATATATGTATATATGTATGCGTGTGTTTTTGGCACCTGAACTTGTGGCGAGCCAGATTTGCGTCTTGCAGTTTAGAGGTGGTGGGCAGGAAGCGGCAAGCGCCGAGGGAAACGCTACAAATCCTGGTGAAAGTAGATGGCACAACTTCCCAAGCCATTTTCGTTTAGAGAGCCCCGCGCCATCCTGGGCCTGGCCGTGCTTTGCGGCCGTGTAAACCGCACGCAGGCCACAGGAACCCGCCACACGGACTGTGTCACAGCTGGGGAATTGAAGCAGAAACTTGCTCCACAGGGTAAGATTGAACCCCAAAAGGCGCCATTTTAAGCGGAAGCTCCTCTTGGAGGCGTCGTGTTCTGTGATCCATGTTGATTTGTATATGGGAGCACCACTCCCAACCCACATGGAACCTGGCTGCAAATTGTTGGGCACATTTTATGGTATCTCCGTCGTAAAACACACGGTGAGAACAAAAGCATCAAGAGTCTGTTCTTTGGGTTGCTGGACCAGGTGGATAGTTGCGAGAAGTTGGGCGGATACATGCCGCACTTACCAGACCCCTGAACCACCCCGGTGGGCTTTGGATATGATCAGTCTGACCGTCAGGGTAAGTGCCGTGACCTCTCCATGCATTGGGAACAGAGGAACTCTGACTATCGGAGCGGGTCTTAAAACAGGAGAATCAATCATCTTCATCATCGTGAGTGTCTTACTCAGGTGGGCTCGCTTCGTTGTGCACATGTGCTGATGCTTCAAACTCCCCTCCCCCACCGCGCAAAAGAGCAAAGGCGCTGCAAGCACTCCCAATCGCCCGTAGTCGTCGCCTGAGCTTCACCAACTGATCCGAGGCAAATTCCCAAGCGACTGTGCCCACTAGCCCTACTCAAAATCTATCGTTTTCCACTAAAATGGTCTTCCCAACAACGCTTAAAGTCCAGGAACTTAAGAAGTGAGCTTCATATGCTTTCGCTCACTTGCCACAGAGCCTGGCCAAGGATGAGCCCATCATCGGTGAAGGAGTGGATCAGACAACTTTATACAAAAACCTGCCAGTGAAGACCCAACTTAGCCAAGGGGACCAAGGAGCCTCGGGCATGGCCGTTTGGCAATCCAACAATCTGATGGCAAAGCAAGCTCCAACCCCCCGGCAAATGTACGACAAGGAGACGTGGCCTTCTTGGACCCTTGTTCAGGTGAAAACAGCTCATCCTGGGCTCGGCCTGCCGCCGACCCTTCGACAGTCCCAATTAAATTACGTCGTCTTATGCAGCTTGTTGCTTGAAACCCCGGCGTCACAAGCAAATACAAATGATGATATTCGTGCAGTGTTACTGTTGATCCTGAAGGCTGCATTCAGGTCTTGTGTTTGTTTGTATCACCAACTTGTCCCCACTCAAAATCTTGCCAACATTTGGCCATGGGTCAAAAGCCCGTACTCCCAGTGAACATCCCAATGCCCACTAAAATAGGTCCTAAAATGGGTGGTGAATTTACCTACCCCAAAATGAGATCCCAAAACCCACAGCCATTTGGCCTGCCAGGCGCCGTGGCGCCTCTCTGCCACTTTGCCGCGTGAGTTTCTGCGGCTGACTTTGGAACTAAGGCAGGCTGACTACACCAAACCACTCACAACAAGACTAGGCAATTGCCATGGCTACTAAATTCAAGCAACCCAAACAATCGCAGGAAAGAAGGGGTAGTTGCACATACGAGTTAGCTACACGTCGCCCGGAATCGTGATGACACTAGCCCTAGGCTCGTTGTTTTGACTTACATATTCGGAACAGGTGAATGCAGGCCTTCACTTTGCGAGGGCGCAATTGACGATTTCAGCACAGCTTTGCCAATCAAGCAGTCACCTTTGAAGGCCAGATCCGGGTCCCATGCTTTCCTGTTCATTGCACAAGGGCAACCGAAAGTACAAATCCAAGCAGCGACCTCTTGACGCGTCTCAAAAAGTCAACATGAGCCCCGCTCATGCCTAACAGCCTAACCAGACACACCCACCGAAACGAGCAATCACTCTGGGACACACTTCCTTTTGTGGCTCACGTCAGTCCGAGTCACAGTTTCTAGCGTCAGCAGGGCGCAATCTAAGGCATCGCTCAGCGATGCAAAGTGCCTTAGACCGTCCATTTTGGGGCAAAGTGCATGGATTTGGCCCCTTTGAGTCACAATCCGATCGGTGCTAAAGGGGCCTACCCAACATCATGAAAAGCATAGGCGCTGGCCTAGAAGTCTGTTTTGGGCAAGCCTGAGGGCCGGAGTACGGGAGATTACCAAGGGGCCAATGCCTTAGCCTCATACTGCAAGCTCCTGCGATCCGAAGTCTCATGCAGCCTACCTGCGGCAAACCCTTAGACTCTTCAGGTGGTTGCCCAGTGTTTGCATACTTGGCCTGAATGAGTGGCCTTGGCTTCCAAGCATGCCCACATCATTCCTGCAAAATGCACCGATATGCACCGGCAACCGGGAGCCTTGGGGCTGTTGCATGGTTGCCACAAGTTAGTTGGCCATTTCGCACCCCCTGTGCAAAAGATGCCGGAAGCAGTGACGCGCCGAAGCTACCCTTCGCGCGCGTGCCTTTTGGGGATGCATGCCAATCAAGACAAAGTTTTAGTTGCCGTGACCATGTTCCCATCAAACAAAAAAGTATTTTTACGCGGGTTCCTCAAAGGACACGTCCAGTAAACACCTGCGTGTCAAGGACATTCTGTAACCCAGCTGATAAAGTGCTTTTCCCCCAGATGCATTTTGGGAACCCTGAAGGTTGTAGCCATGGCCCACCAATTATCCACCTGACAGTGTGTCCCTACCAAAGGAACATGGTCCAAACCAGAACCCCCCAAACATCAAAACGTCAGGTTACATGTGAAAAGGGTGGGAGGCTACCATGGCTATAAGCTACCCTCCCGCAGGCTAACGTGGAAGATCCAACCCCTTCGGAAGACTTGGTTCCAATTAAAAAGCCTTCTGGGAGCTTCCATCTGATAGATGGCCCTGGTAGTTGACTGAACCACCAGGTAAACCAGGGCCCTCTATTTTTCAACCACATCAACCAAAAAGGACACCTATGCTCCGGGAGTGTCCCACTCTATCTATTGAGGGGCCCTTGCGGTTGCCACGAACCGAAACCAAAAAGATTCCCTCGAGGCTTCGGCACGGAGTCCTCTGAGCCCACATGGATCGTCACCTACCGACAAGATGATCAGCAAAATTTGGGGGAACTACAAAGCAAGCAAGCGAGCTTGCAAGCAAGCAAAAACCTTGTTCAACCTCGAGTCGACTGTTGACCTCCACTTGTTTCATGAGAGGCTGCTTGGAGAGGCCTGCAGATGTACAAGACACGTGCCCCCGCCTGCTGATCCATCACAAAGTGGTGAGAGACCAAGTACGGGGTGATGGTGGCCATTGTCTCAGATTGGCTTGCCGAGAAAAAAAACAACGGTACCACTGTACCACAGGCCTCCAAACCGCCTCCAACGGGGATCTCAAATTGGTGATTGCTTCGGGAGCCAGCCTTTCCAGCAAAACCCAGGGCTCCGACTCAGACCAGCGCTGAGGATACATTTCCCGGTCCAGCTTCAGTCGTCAGGCCTCCGAACCTATATGATTCACCACCTTGTAGCTAGCGTTACCTGCACCATGCCCCAAGGAACCTGAAACGAATGAATCAGTGTTGACCCCAGATCCATAAACAGGTTCTATTGATAGCGGGTTTTCCCCTCCAAAGATCATGAACCACCACTACAAGCGGACAACCCACATTGATCAACCAGTGGGTTTGCTACTCCGGGGTTCCCATTACACATTCCCAGAAGGAGACCTAATTAAGATGAGCCGGGCTCCGGACGTGAGCTAAACAGCCTAGACTGAAGTGAGACGGTTTGAACGTGTGGCATGGCAACTTGCGGACGCTTTGCCTACCCATGCTCGCGGCAAAACGAAGCGTCAGTCAGCAAATCTGTGACCTAGCATTGCCATCAGGAAGTTGATCGGTCTAACATCCAAGGAGTGCGTTCAACAAGTATTGCGGCATCTCAGCTGCTTGCGGTGCCCTCTCCGTCTCTACATACATACTCGCTCGGCCCAAGAGTCTGAACAAAACAAGTTTGCATAACACAGATGCTTGCACGACCCAAAGAAGACACCTTGCGGCCAAATAAGTCGGCGGGTTCCGCCTTCACATCAACATGTGCATCTGGCAAGGGGCTGGCGTAGGCTGGTAGGTGAAGAGCCGAGATCCTTCGCGAGCCTCGCCTGGACACGTGCCCCGCTGAGTGAAACGTGCGAGCACCGCGATGTCCGAGTTTTTGAGCGCTGGCTTCTTGCGAACCAGCGGAAGAAAACTCCCGCGGCAAACCTTTCACTGCAACAGCGTGAAGGATGCAACCGCTTGATCCCTGGCTCGTAGCCCCTTTCGCATGGAATCGCATCTTCTGCTGGTGAACATGCACTTTGCAGAGAGACTACGCCACCCGTTTCAGAACCTGCTTTTGCCAAGGGCACCCCACTTTGCAACACAAAAGTCGCCCTTCTGAATTGGTTTCCTGACCTCCTTCCAAAAACAATCCACTGGCATCACCGGATCTGGCTGAGTTTTCATGCTGGGGAATCTGCCCATGGCCCGCCTGGTTCAGAGGAGCGGGCGATGTAGAAAGGCACCTTGCCAATGGGACTGGTGGACTGACGAAATGCCTTACCCCGCTGAACTATTCTTGAGTTTCTAGGTTTTGAGAAGTGGAAGTTTGCTTTTTGGTAGCAGGTTGCCTGGAAAACCTAAAAACAAAACTGTGTGTTTCTGGGGGCAAGTATGGAGGTAGCTGGATGCACAGCCTCGAGGCATCTATCGTCTCCTCGAA